TTTCCACATTCTTCATACCTGAAAAGGTTTCTGGTATCACTCCTGATAACTTGTTGTGAGAAAGATTGAAAGCTCTTAGTTCCAGAAGATCTCCAAACTCAACCGGAATCTCACCGCTCAGCTCGTTTTCTGAGAGATCCAATCCATACAGTAATTTGAGATTTCCACCCATGTAGGCATCGTATCGGTGTTTTGTTGCAAAAGAAATTTTCGTCTGTGTGATTGCCTTGTAGTCCATACTAAACGGATCAAGCATGAGCAGAGATTTGACGTTTTTTGTGGAAGACAAGTCTTGTTGCAGATAAAAACCGCTGAAGACATCTGAAGGGAAAGAAATGCCGAAATCATAATCATATGATGTACATTCTTTCCCAAAAACAAATGATGTATTGCTGAGACATGAAGGTATGGATCCATTCAATCTGTTGTTGGCAAGATCCAGAAGTTGGATGTTTCTTAGGCCACACAACTGGTGGGGAATGCTGCCTGTTAAATTATTCCCTCGGAGAAGAAGAACACTGATGTTTTGTGTGTTGATGAACTCTGGTATATTCCCAGACAATCTGTTGTTTCTTAGATCAAGTATGCTGACATTTGCCAGCAATGTGTCTGGAATATCTCCTGATAGATGATTGTCTTGAAGGAGTAACACAACCCCACTTGTAGAACTGATGTGTGGATGTATGTGCCCAGACAAACTGTTTGCAGAGAGGTCAAGTAGCTGAAGACTGGATTTGTTGAACAGCGATGCAGGTATTTCACCTTCCAACAAGTTGTTTGAAATCAGTAGTGCAGTCAAGGATGGAAGTTCGCCAATCCAGCTTGGTATAACACCTGTGAGATTGTTGTTTGAAATGTCAAGCAGTGACAAGTTTCTCAGGCTCTGCAAACCTTGTCCAATCTTTCCTGTAAAAAGATTGTTATCCATAAACATTATATTAGTAAAGTTGGGTGGTTCTTGAAAAATCTCTCCACTTAGTTTGTTATGTGACAGCTTCAAGATTGCCATGGCATTACAACCTTTCACAAAACTTCTTGGAAGCTTCCCGTGGAAACTGTTGCGAGAGAGATCCAGATACTCAATATTCTTCATGTTACCCAGAGAAGATGGCAGATTTCCTTGAAAATCGTTCTTCGAGATATTCATATACCGTAAGTGAGGAAGAATCCACCCAATGTTCTCAGGAAGCAGGTGGTTGAATTTATTAACAGAAACATCCATGAAAAGAAGACTATGATCAGCAGATTTTGGTAGCTGAAAGCTCGTAAAGGAATTTTCCTGTAGAAGCAAAACTTTGAGTTTCCTATTGTTCGCCAACAGCCAAGAAGGAAACTCTCCAGAGATATTATTGTGGGAGAGATCAACATGACGCAATTCCTTTTGGTGTAGGAGAAATTGAGGAACCTTCTCCAAATTGCAAGATTGTAGTGCAATAACATGCAACTGAAATTTTGGCTTCCAAGAACTATCCGACACTAGTTGAAGTGAGTTGGATTTGGAGCCAAGTTTCAACACCTTAAGTTCTGAGAGATTGGTTAGGGAACCAAGTGAGAAAAATCCTTGGAAGTCGTTATGAAACAACGACAGATACTCGAGGGATTTAAGGCTACCGAGAGAAAATGGTAGCTTCCCCGTCAATTGGTTAGATGAGAGATCAAGAACTCGAAGTCCAGTCAAGCTAGTTAAACATAAGGGGAACTGACCTACAAGATTGTTTTGACTGAGATCGAGCTCTTGTATATTCTTCAATTTGCAAATACCTAAGGTAATCAAATGTAGAAAACTACGGTCACTTATAGAAACGTGAATTCAGAACACAAGTTTTAGTCAAAAGAAATAAACATTTAAGCAAACTTTCCTTGCAATTCCTTTGAGCCAGAAAATTCATTGCCACTTAGATCCAGAGCTTTCAGGTTACTCATGTGAGATAACTCTGCCACAAGACAAAGCCACAGAGAGGTAAACAACTTTATAAATGAACATGATGATCTCAAGGATGATATAAGCCAGTGATCAACCAATGTTGGTGCGGACGTTAAAAATCGATTAAATTTCAACGGTAGAGCAAGCATTTATGGACAACTACCTTGTACTGGTATGGAGCCGTTGAATCTGTTTCTACTCAGGTCAAGCACTTCCAAGTTTTTCAAATCTCCAAGTTCTGAAGGGAGTCCAACGAATATAAGAATACTACAAAGCTGAAATTAAGACATATATAGAAAGTTTTAACAGTAAGTATACATTGAATCGAGTCAAAGAAAGAGACATCATCGGATATAAGCCATGTTAGATGTTGACTTAGTTAAGAATGGAGAATATACCTTTAACAGGAAAAGAGCCATCCATGTTGTTGGACCTAAGAAACAGAGTTCTAAGTGATGTAGCGGCATTAATAAATGGAAAGATGCTGTTGTTAAAGTTGTTTAAGGAGAGATCCAGAATCTCCAAGTTTCTTAATCTTCTGAGGCTTTTATAACCTGCAAACGAGAACCTTGGTAAGCATAAATTGATAACAAGTCCAATAACTTTTTACTATTTTGAATGTGAAAGGGAATGCAAGTGACATCTGATGTGATTGCAACATGCAATATGGCACACAAATATCAGAGCAAATGCATAAACAGAGAAAAGCCATATTATCTGAAGGAATAAGCTTGATGTACCTTCCAAATTATCAAACAAGCCACTGAATTTGTTTAATGCTTCCCCGGATAAATTCAAAATTCGAAGCTCTTCAAAGGGATGCAGCAAAGAAAGATCAAAAAGAGAATCCTCTTTGAGATACACTTCACCAAAGGCAATCCCAATAACCCGTCCGCTTGTATGATTGCACTCGACTCCTTTCCACAGGCAGCAATCGCTCTTTGTGTCATTAGTCCAAGTAGGGAGAACAGAGTCGTGTTCCCATTCTTGATCACTCCTTGAGATCAAGAATTTCTTTAGGTCAAACAAAGCCATCTTTTCATTCTCAACACAGCTTTAGTATCCATGTAGCTGCCCCACTATTAGCATCACACATATCAGCTTTTGACACAATGACACCTTCCCTTCCATCGCGAATATGATAAAAATAATATGAAAGAAAGAGACTCAAATGCAAATAAAATAATATAGAAGAGACTCAAACGCAATATGGGAATGGGAGTATACCTCCACGTTTATAAGGATTTCGAAACTTTCGTTGAAAACACCAAGTTCAACGATTAATATATGTTATATTAACTAATTTAAAGTCTCGATCGATGAAAGAAAACACTTCTAAAGTCATGTGATCATATTGGTTACTTTGACTCCTAATGATATAAGACTGGTTTCGCCAACAATTTCTAACCTTAGAAAATATGATGAAAATTTCAATGATTTGTTGTTGAAATGTCATCGAAGGTTTGTTTTCCAAGCTTATATTATAGCACAATATAATTCAAGGAATTAAAGTTATGATGTGGAATAACAACCACTACACTTTAGGAATAGACCCAACGGTCAAGGAATTTCTGATGTGGCTCTACTAGATTGGTTACGCCGGTGTTGACTCTGCCAATACTAAAACGCTAGCCGTCGGTGTTGGTCAGCTTCTCTTAGTCTTACTTCGACCAAGCTTTAAATCATGACGAAACGAATTAAATGAAAAAGTTCAGAAAAACTATTTCGAAATGTTTTCCTCTCACTAATCAAGAGGAAATTTGGAGGTAAACATCTCTTCCTTATTCAGAGTCGTTTGTAGAAAAAAATAAATAAAGCACAAGAACAAATAAAAGTATATTCTTTTTCTGTAAAAGAAAGATGTTTCCTCTAACTGTCATTTTCTTCTTTTCAATATTTATTTCCTTCTATGATTTTCTCGTTTCTCTAATTGCACAATGCAGCAGAGTTTAAAGAAACGCCATTGTTTAGAAGAGTCATTTTTTAAATGGATTGTAACTTTGTAAGTACACTATGATGTCACAAATACCTCATGCTTATAAGCATTAACATTCTTTTTTTGACAAAGAGGTAATTGAAATGCTCAGTGGAAAACTGTGAAGCGGTATACAGTATATATTTAAGATCATTCCCCAAAAATAAAGAGAACTAATGGGAAATTCTCTTTCTATTTTGAGATTTTTTCATGTTAAAGTTCATGTGTTTTTTATATTATGTATTGAGCTAGCCAACCACCCAACCAATTCCACGATATGTTTAAGGCATTACATATTATTCAAATTAGATAGATAGCACACAATAACCAAACACAAGCTATGTTCCGGTTTTGGGACAGCACCCGAGAGATTGTTGTTCGAAAAGTCAAGCATATACAAAGATCTCGAGTAATGCCAACCTTGTCCAATCTTTCCTGTAAACTAATTGTTATCCATAGACAATGCATATATACCCGCAAAGTTGGCTGATTCTAGGTAAATCTCTCACTTAGTTGGTTATGTGAAAGCTTCAAGATTTTTTAAGGAATGACAACCTTCTACAAAACTTCTTGGTAGCTTTCCATGGAAACTGTTGTGAAATATATCCAGAAATTCAATCATTTTCATGTTGCCAATAGAAGATGCCAGATCTCCCTTGAGTCCGGACCCGTAAAAGTCTAGACTTCGTACTTCTTCAAAGGGATACAGCAAAGAAAGGTTTAGGAGAGAACTCTCTTTGAAGTACAAATCACCATAGGCAATCTTGGTCACCCGCCCGCTTGTACGATTGCACTCGACGCCTTTCCACAGGCAGCAATCGATCTTTGTGTCATTAGTCCAATAGAAAGAACAAAATTCGGGGGACCCTGCAATACTTTGTGAGTTTATGTATTTCTTGAGCACCAAGAAAGCTTTCCTTTCTTCCTCAATACAGCTTTTGTATCTGTCCCAACAGTATCATAATTTTATTTTGGTCAAACACCGTCGAAAAAGAAAACACTGTCGTTAAGTTGTGTCGTTTTTCCATCGCCGGCGTACAAGAACAATTATTAGATCGCCGTGGTAGCAAAAACAATTAGCTTTTTTTTTTTTTGGACGAAACAAAAACAATTAGCTTTAAACTTCAAAGTTAGAAGTGGATAAGACTATCACCATTTTTCAGAGAGCTTCTTTTGTTAGAAAATCACGCTAAGAGAAAGCAAATAGAAAAAAAAAAAAAAAAAGTTTTTGATAAGGATCATCCAAGAACTGAGCTGACATGATTTTAAGGAAACATACTTTTCGCAGAGGCGATGAAAGCATCGACAAGGTGGAACCATGCTCGGCTCCAAGGACAATCAAAGCACAGGAGAACAAAAAAGCCTATCATCACAGTCACAAAAAATGAAACTGCACTACTCCAATAGAAGACCGACATGTCAATAGCAGCTTCATCTTCTTCTTCTTCTTCGCTTCCATTATCTGCTTCCCCTGAGCTCGAAGTGTTGTTCCTTGATTGGTTGAAGAAACTAGGAAACTGCAGCAGGGGATTTCCAAGAAAAGAGTCTTCTTCAAAGGTTGCCAGTTGTCCCGTCGACGGTATCACACCAGAAATGAAGGAGTTATATGAGATGTTGAACTTGCTCATCTCATTCAAGTCATTTAAACTTGTCGGAAAATCTCCTGAGAAATTATTGTAGGACAGATCAAGATTCTGCAGACACATGAGATTTCCGATTTCTTGAGGAATCTGGCCTGAGAAATGGTTTCGGGTCAGGTTGAGAAATGCGAGAGGCAACTGTCCAATCCCTATAGGCAGTTTCCCTTCGAACTCATTGAAACCCAAATGAAGCGTACTCAACTTCTTCATCTGAGAGATATTTGCAGGAACCTCACCGGATAGCCTGTTTCCACTGAGCTGAAGATAGGCTGAAATATCAAGCGTGCGTACTGTGGAACCAGCAGAGCAGACAGGAAAGAGACCGTACCCTTTAAGAACATGGTCCCATAGGCTTCCGCAACTCTGTTTTGTAAGAATTGCATATACAAACATGAATGGAGGGAACTCTGCAGGAATCCATCTCCTCATCGCCAAGCATTCACCGGAACCTGCAATTATGTTGTCTTTGTTCTGCCTGTTCACTTCAAACGTTGGAAAAGGATTGCTACCCATTTTAGTCAGTTCAGGATGGAATCTACCAGAGAGCTGGTTGTTTGCCACGTTAAACCATAAAAGACTCGTGCAGTTTCCAATCTCTCGAGGGATTTCTCCTGACAGAGAGTTATTTGCAAGCGTTAGCCACAGAAGAGACGTCAATTTTCCAAATGAAGCTGGTATCGAACCGGTCAGGTTGTTAAAGGAGAGATCAAGTGCTTGAAGACCCGGCATGTTCCCATATTCCTGTGGTATATCACCGCTGAAGTTATTATAAGCAAGAATCAAGAACTTCAAACTCTGGATCTGGGAAATTTCAGCAGGCAACTGGCCAGAAAAGCTGTTGTAGCTCAGATCTAGCCTGAGAAGATTAGGTAACTTGAGGATGTTTGAAGAATAGATGCCTCCAACGTACGAGTTCCCATGCAGGACTAGATACTTTACTTGAGTGAATCTCCCGAATATGTCTTGTACGTCTCCTCCAAAATGATTTCTGCTCAAATCCAAAAACACCAAGTTGCTCAAGTTCAAGAGAGATTCTGGTATGTCTCGAGAAAATTTATTATTCCCCAAATACAAACCTCTAAGAGAGGATATGGAGCCTATCTCAGCTGGAATTTTCCCTGTGAAGTTGTTTCCCCACAGATTCAGTACATTCAGATTCTGGCAATTCGAAACCTGGCCTGGAAATTCCCCAACAAAACTGTTCTCAGACAAATCCAAGACTTGCAAAGTACAGTTCCCCCTGAACATGGAAGCTGAGATGTTCCCGGAGAGATGATGATTCTCAGAAACTGAAAACTGAACCAGCCTCCCAAAACCACTCCATATATCTCCACTGAATCTGTTGGAACTGAAGTCGACATACTTCAGATACCTACACCCATTGAAGATGTCATCGATTCTGCCAGTAAAGTTATTGGCCGACAGATTTGCAACAACGAGGCTGTTGCAGAACAATGGGAAGCTAGAGTGAATATCACCTGCAATCCTATTCACCGATAGATCAAGAACCTCAAGATTTGATAAACCTGGTAAGCTAAGCTCTCCGTCAAGGATGTTATGAGAAAGATTCAGATGCTTTAGGTTGTGACAACGGCTCAGGTCATCTGGAATCCAGCCTTCGATGGTGTTCCTTGATAAATCGAGATATGTGAGCTGCGTCAAGGCAGAGAAGTTCCCGAACAGAGCACCTGAGATGGTTAAATCACTTAGATTGATCCCTGTGACTCTACTTCCCTGAGGCGTGCATGTGATTCCAGGCCATTGACACACGTCTTGCTTCTCCATTTTCCATTCCGTGTACATTCCTCTGTTCGTTGGGTTACGAGATTCGAGGTAAGATTTCAGGTTCAATAAGACTTCTCCATCACTGTCCAGAGAATCTCCGGCCACTGCTATGGCTGCCATGTAGGAAAAATCAAAACACAGAAAACGAAATCTTCAGATATAAGCTACATACAACTTTACCACCAAAATCCTGGATGACGTCATTTTTAGTTATCTATAATATTCGCAATTCTTGTTATCATGCTCGTCAAACAGAGGAAAAATTGAAACTGTGATTCATCAACACACAATAAAAAAAACCCAAATTTATGATACTCGAGCTTCATCTCTCGCATTAACTTTCAAGTGAATAACAATAATCCATAAAATAAAATCAGGTCAAGTTCGGCATAGAAATCTAAATTTCATCACTCAAAATCACATCTCATAATTTCAACCAATTGAAGTAAACGTCAAGGAAACAGAAACCAGAATAGAGAAAAAAAAAAACATAGTCAAGCAGATCACACAGTATATTTCCACGAAAAATAACCAAAAAAAAAAATGAAGAGTTGAAGAATTACCGGTGATGGAAACAAAGAGTAAGAAATAAACCAAGCTACGTGATCCAGAATCATCATCTGCCAATATCGCACGGTTTCCCATCTTCATCATCCTCCAAATTCTCTTCTTTTCAAGTTACTATTCAAGTTTCCATGGTAAAAGCCAAGTTCAACAAGGAACTACTTGAATACATTAAGAAAATCGATGTCCCATTTAACGAAAACACTTAAAAAGTCGTGTGAGAGAGGGATCACTATCGTTTACTTTGAATTGTATGAAAAGACTCGTTTTTGGCATACAAAGCCAAGGTCTTTGTAAAAGAATACACGAGACAGTCAATGAAAAAAAAGTTCTAACCTTTAAGATCTGCTCAACGGTCACTGAGTTTGGCTCTCTTAGTTACGCCTGAAACAGTAAAACGCCGTCGTATGGTGGCATCATTTTGTCTCCGCGAAAGATTTTTGACTGTCCGTCGCCAGCAACGGCGTGACAAAGGATGATGTCACGACGGTCACTATTAGATCGCCGTAATAGCAAAAAGCAATTAAACTTTTTCTTGGCCAAAAAAAAAAAAGAGAAAATCTTTGAGAAGTGAAGCTGAAAGGATTTAAATTCTTTTTAAGACAACATACTATTCGTAGAGGCAATGGAAGCATCGATAATCTATTGCAATTTCTTCTGGTAGATGAGAATATTAGGCATTTTCTCCAAGTTTCAAGCATTACAATTATTTAAAGACAGACAATACACAGGAACCCAGCACAAGTTGTGATTTGGTTTTGTAACACAAAGCAAGAAGTTTTGTGAAAAACAACAACAGATGGAACAGGATTTGAAACCAACAGTAGTTTACCCAAAAAAACTCGTCACCTTGTGGAGAACAGCATCAACGATGTAAAACCACGCTCTGCTCCACGGAGAATCAAAAGAGAGAGATGCAAATAATCCAATAAGTACTGTCACATAGGCTGCAGCAAAACTCCAGCAGAAAGATAACTTGTCGATTGTGGATTCATCAGCATTCACTTCGTTATTGTCTGGTTCTTGAAAGTTATTACCGTTGCAGCTTATGTCGGTTGGTTGCCCACAGAGAAGAGGATTACCTAAGTAGCTTGGCACATCGAAAGTGTTAAATTGTCTGTGGAATGACTCCACGGAGAATCAAAAGAGAGAGATTACCTAAGTAGCTTGGCACATCGAAAGTGTTAAATTATTAATTTTGTTTAATTAAGTATAATATTAGATAGTATCTTATTGTTTAATGTTTAAGTGTCAAATAAAAAGATATGAAAGTTTAAGGATTATTTTGTAAATAAAAAAGTTTTTACCAATTTTCAAATTTTTTACAGAAATTACAAAGATTACAAAGAAAGCAGAAAGACCGAAAATAAAAAACTACTAACAAATCTGACAAATGCAGCAAACAACAACGAAAGCATAAGAAAATGGAATGCGGAATTGATGCTAAAACCGAAGCAAAACTAGACGGGAAAGCAGCAGTCGCACGCCAAAACGCAGACCACCCCGTAATTGCCACAGCTCCGAAGAACTAGAGTTCTCATCTTTGTTGCCACGAGCATCTTCCCGAGGTCAGCCCTTAAACCTCAAAAGAGAAAGCCTACAGCTTTTCCGAGAACTAACGGAATTTCCGGATTCCGTAACGGACTAACCTGCAACCGTTGACAAAGGAGCCCGCAAGGGCCATCGGAGAGTCACATCGGACTACCATTCCCGAAAAAACGAATTTCCTCGAGAACCAGCTCCCACAGCTACAAACTAGCCGCAACAATGTCCAGTAATACTCCACCATCTACACCGGATCACATCCGGTGCCATCACAAACCAAGAACTATACACAAACACGGAGCTATCGCAAATAATCGGACATACGCACCTTCGGAAAATCTCAGGCCACACCGATGCCGTAGACGGCGGAGGAGCCAAAAGCTGAGACAAACCAGCGGGCAACCGCCGAGCCACCCGTCTTGAGCCACCGCTGAGAGACACAGTCGATGGAGCCGCACCTACCGGAGATACGAGAGCCATCACTCCGAGGCTTGCCACAAGCCAAAAGCCGCTGCCAAAACCCCTTAAGCCAGAGATCAAATTCGTCCTCAAAATCCAATACTCGACCGCCGGGATTGACAGAAGCTCTTTACTATCTAGCCACCACTCCGACACCTCGTGAACGAAGTTTGAGAGGGACTGTAGCCAGAAGAGACAGCCACCACCTGCACACCTTCGACTAAAGCCAGAGAGCTCGTCTCAGGTAGGACACTCTAAAAGAAACGCCGAGGAAACGCGCCGGAGAGAAAAAGAAGCCAGATGCGAGAAGAGAGGAAGAGACGCCGGAAAAACGAAGGCAGACAGAGGGGGACGCCAACTACGAATGAAGACGAACCACCTCCACCGCGGATCCAGCGACGCCGCTGAAGCCCGCGCCGCCGTCGTTGAGAACCCACCGACGAAACCACCATCGTTCCTGCAACACCCAGCACGGCGGAAACCAGATCTAAAGAGAAAAAAAGAGATGCAGAAGAAAGAGGGAAACATGGGGGTCCTTCCTCCGGCGACGGTGAGCCACCACGTGCGCCGGAGAGGGAGATCGGAAAGTTTTAGTTTGTCTGCAAGTTCAGATCTTGAAATTGCAGAGAAGAAGAAGAGGAGAGAGAAAGTCCGTAAAGAATTAAGTTCTACTTTATAAATAGAGAAATGAACAGTATATTTAATATAGAGATATACTGTTCATTTCTCTATTTATAGAGTAAGATATAGAATATCAATGCATATGATTTTACTCTAAAAATAGAGTTTAGAGCATCTCCAAGAGATACCTTATAACTTCAAATATAAGGTTTTATGTCCTCCAAGAGATACCTTAAAACCTCAAATTTTGAGGTATTGAACAGTGACACCTTATATTTGAGGTATCACTGTTCAATACCTCAAATTTGAGGTATCATCTTTTTTATTTGCATTTCAGTCCTTTCAGTTATATGCTTTAAAATTAATGATAATAACTTTTGTTTTTATCATTTCAACTCTCCTAATTTAATATCTTATTAATATTTCATTTTTATTTTTATAAATATATGATATATATATATACAATTTTAAAAGATAATTTAAAATAAAAATAATAATGACAAACAGTAATATAATACATAACATTAAAAAATAAATACATAACAACATTATTATATAAAGCAAATTTCATATAAACTAAAATAACACAAAAATAAACTTACATGAACATATAAATTTTGTTTGTAATTTATTATTTAGTTTTTGTATTTTATTATCATTAATATATATGTAATATTATATTAAAGTTGTATTAATTAATATTCCTATAATATTTTTAATATGTATTTTTATAATTATTTATCAAAGTTTTATGATATTAGTTAATTAATTATAAATAGTAAGGACTAAAATGCAAAATATAATATTTTTAAAGTATCATTTTAAGGTTTATCATTGGAGAGCATCACCTTAAACCTCAAATATAAGGTTTCTTACATCTTAAAAATATAATATCTCTTGAAAATGTTTTTAGAGACAGAAATAGAGTACCATTGGTCCATTGCAATGCTCTTATAAACAAAAAAAACTAGAAATAGCGCTACAAGCCGTGTGGAGGGAAACAATACAACATGCGAAAATAAATGAACTAAATTCATATATTTGTAACAGTTTAAATATACACGGTCCTCACATATTTAAGGGTCCTAGAAGGATTAAGAAATTCGGAGTCTTCTTTCTTTGAATTAAAAATAATTAAATTTCAAAAAAGAAGATAAATATAATGGAAAATATTATCCTTGTAATAAGCTCACAAGACACTTTTTTTTTTTTTTTTTTGGTCGAAGGCTCACAAGACACTTCCCATCACATATATTTATATTCCTTGTGTTTCCATCGTTTACCAATGTAAGCTAGTTGAATTATTCAACTAATGATTAATTAATTTAAATCATGTCAAACAAAATGAACAACCACTCAAGCACATGATTTATGTGCAAAGAAAGCACACCATCATTCCACTGCCCAAAGTAATGTTTCTCAGACAAAAGGAAAAACGGTTACATAAAAGCTTATAAACATCCAACGTGGCCACGAACCCGTCCTAATTATGCTATCAACATACCAGTTTATAGCATGAATGTAAATATCAAGAATTGAAATATAATCATACCTTAGCCAGACGCCCAGACCAAGTCCCAACTCTCTGAACAACAAAATAATTTGCATGCATTACTGATGCCTGATTGCCTGTGTATATAACTATATATAGGCAAAAACTACACATTCCCATTCAAATATCCATTATTTTAATTATGATGTTCTTAACGTTAAACAAAAAAATCCATTATTTGAAGGTAACCACTTGTGTGATGTAAACCTCTTACAGAACTGACATGTGCTGCGGAAGAATCTGAATGAAAATGAGCAGATTAAAAAAAAAAAGGAGAGAGGAGAAGACAAATAGCATACCACATTAAGTATGGCGGGAAACCTGAGCTCAGGTTTCAAGGTAATAAGCTTTGGCTACTTCACCTTAGCTGAATAAGTAAATAGCAAAATAATACAATCACATTGGAATTAGCACATCAAAGGATCAAACCAATGTAAATAATTTAGGACGGCAAATCTTTCATCTTATGGATGATAGCAATATAGCATTAACAACACGAAGCCAAGCTTTGCTCCAAGGAAAATTAAAAAAGAGAAGCGAGTATTCCCAGCATTTATGGCCACAAGCTACAGAAAAACCCACGGCTTCATCATCTACTACTCTTTTTTTATTTGTCATCTGAAGTTCTATTGATCAAAGAGATACAAAGCTTGGCGATTAAACAATCCCAGAGTTTTTGAAAGGTCGTTATTTACAAATTCTGTCGGTGATTATCCATATAAAGCGTGAAACATATATCATCTGAGATAGCGTGTGGCGCTGTTAAGCATCTTTTGGGTAATAATTCGCAAGAAGGTCCGTCAATTTTTTGTTATATCAATACTGTATTAGTTAAAGTAATGAGAAACAGTTTGCCAAAAGAAAATCCCAAGCATGCAATGAATAAAGTTGTAACCTTTGAATTCTGCTTGAATAACCATTATGCTTGAGCCTCAAGCCTTGAGCAACTCTACTATTATCAAACGAAGATAAATAAAATGCAAAGTCATCTAGTAGATTATAAATCTCACCTGAATTTCATTGTTTTAGCGAGGTAAGCTCATTGAATTCCTGTTAATTAATCTATTCAAATCATATGCTAAACGCGTGATCCTTGCATACGTTTTTTTTTTTTGGCGTCACCCACCACCACCGGCTTTTCTGAATCAATTCAATTAATGTGATTAACTTTGACAAAAGATCTAACCGAGTTGCTAATACGTTAGCGTTTCACGCACCATTGTGTCTCCGGCAAACAAAAGAACCCTAAATCCTCATGGTTCAGGTTTGAACATTGGATCAGCATCACAGTGTAGCCAGTGGACAGATCCTGCACAATGATTCACATAATTTTTGTATCGGAGATGGAATCAGCGATTTCGATCGGAAATGAGAACAACGATTTAGGGCAAAGAATTTTTCCGGAGAGCGCCGTCGAGAGAATAAAATGTTAATACATACATATATTGTGGATCAAAATGATAATGCGAGACTAGTGGTTTTTGTTTGCAATTTCCCGCACGTAGAGGAGGAGTATCTGGTAAATAGTATATTCTTGGTAATTTCGCAAAAATTACCGATTCGAATCAACAACTCACACACTAATTTAATTTATTTTAATTACTGTGGAAAAAAATAAAGCAACCTCAAAACTTGTCTAATAACCAAAACTGGACTGTCATCTTAAAAAAAAAAAAAACCAAAACTGGAATATTCGTGAGTATGGATTTCGCCAGAGAAGGTCAATGGACTGACACTGAGATAAAAATAGATCCCAAAACATTTCTTCGTCTATTAAAAGCAAACGGACAGGAACCAATTGGGTCTCAGAAGAGACAGAGAGAAGAGAGTTAGACAAAACAAGCAATCCGATTGATCTAGGAGATCGTCATGATTCTTACAAGTAAGTAAGCTTCTCAAATTTCAACCTTTTTTTTTTGTTTTCTGGGTTTGAAAGCTTAAACTTTTCTTCGTTTCTCATTGTTCTGTCTTTCTCCATCTGAGTATGGAGGTAAACTTGTTTTAAGCTTGAGAATGGAGTTTGCAAAACTTTATCATTGCCGTTTGACTTTTTTCTGTTCATCCATTAAAATGAATAGCAAATTGAAAAAAAATTATGTGTGAATACGCTGGAAAGAAAGAATCTGGATTTGTTCCTTTTTTCCAGTTTACGCGATGGTAAACAAATTGAATCTTGTTGAGAGACTCAGCTCATTTCTCATTTAATTGAATCTGGATTTGCTTCTTTTTTTCAGTACAAGTTTCAGAAAAAAGTTTGGGACTTTAGAGGCTAGGCTTTATTTCTTATTCTATTGAATCTGGATTTGTTTCTTTTTTCACTACAAGCTAAAAAGAAAAGTTTGGGAATTTTCTTGCCTAGTTTCTGCTAACACCACAAAAAAAAAAAAAAAAAAAAAAAACATGAAGAAAACTGAAGTTTGATCAAAAGTGGATATTGTTCATCTTACAGAATGCTTGCCATTAATATGGCTGTCTCTGCTTACTCTGTGTGCTGGAAGGACATTGTACCCACTCCCTGGTAAAGGAGCCAAAGGCGCTAAGCTTCAAATCCAGACTTCACGTCCTTATAACATCGCACACAGAGGCTCAAACGGAGAGATCCCTGAAGAAACTGCAGCTTCATACTTGGTATACCATTGATCTTTCCTTGATCAACCTCTTTCTGTTTTATTTGATTATTTTGGCGTATCACTTTTTTGTAGTTTTCATGTCTGAAAAGGGGAATTATAGAGAGCTTGACTCACGGAAATCGTTAAGCACTTTCTTTGTTGAAGTGGATCCTCTTCCTTGGAACAATTTGTTTAAGCAACTTTTTTTTTGTCTTTTGACAGAGAGCAATTGAAGAAGGTACAGACTTCATAGAAACAGATATCTTATCATCCAAAGATGGTAAGCTTATCTGTTTCCATGATGTAATCCTGGACCAAACAACCAATGTTGCGAGTCACAAGGAGTTTGCTGATCGTAAAAGGACGTATGAGGTCCAAGGATTCAACATCACTGGCTTTTTCACTTGTATGTTACCTCCATTCTCCTTGTGTTCTTGATGCATGAGAGTCGATGCATATCTCAGCATATTACTGGAATCTCTTTCAGCATTTAGACTATTTTCATTTGCTCAAAAGAGCTCGTGCACGTGATTTCATCTATTAAACTACTTAGAGAAGCATCTGATAAAACCTTGATATTTGAATTTGAGCTATATATTCTCTAACAACTGATTCCTCTTTGATTGCTTGCAGTTGATTTTACTCTCAATGAACTAAAAACACTACGTACAAAACAGAGATATTCTTTTCGGGACCAGCAATATAACGGTTAGCTAGCCTTTTCTTTCCAGGATTTAGCTATCGGAAGAAATAAAAAGGAAATATTTAACCATGCTCATCCATTGTTTGAATTGCAGGAATGTACCCTATCATTACATTTGAAGAATTCATTACCATTGCTCGGGATGCTCCAAGAGTTGTCGGGATATATCCTGAGATTAAAAATCCAATTTTGATGAACCAGCATGTAAGTTACAATCTGACAGGCTTATTGGAATCCTAAAGACTGACTTGAAAAGTCTCTTGCACCACCATTAGGTTCAGTTTGCAGAAAATGATGAACTTGCTGGCTTTAATCTTTGTTACTAAATCACTGTTGATTATCGGCAGGTTAAATGGCCTGGTGGTAAGAGATTTGAGGATAAAATTGTGGAGACTCTTAAGAAGTATGGGTACGGAGGCGAATATTTGTCCAAGAAGTGGTTGAAGAAACCGTTGTTTATTCAGTCATTTGCCCCAACTTCACTCGTGTACATATCAAACTTGACAGACTCACCGAAAGTCTTCCTAATAGATGATGTAACCATGCCAACACAAGATACTAACCAGGTCAATTCTCTGATCCTCTTCTTGTTTGTGTATTCCTGGAAGTTCTTATCCTTCTGCTAAAGTGACTGATCGATCTTTCCCTCAAATCTAAGCAGACATACGCAGAGATCACATCAGATGCATATTTCAGCTACATTAAGCAGTACGTAGTGGGGATTGGACCATGGAAAGATACAATTGTTCCAGTACAGAACAACTATATGCAAGCCCCTACGGATTTGGTCAAAAGAGCTCACGCGCATAATCTACAGGTAGGATTTAAGATTCTTCCGGAGACTGGGAGTCAAGTAAAACATTCTAATAACTTCTTGAACATGTTCTTTGTGATACAAATTCAGGTGCATCCATACACGTACAGGAATGAACACGAGTACTTACACTTTAACTTTAGCCAAGACCCATATAAGGAATACGAGTACTGGATCAATGAGATTGGAGTTGATGGACTCTTTACGGATTTCACAGGCAGCCTCCATAACTTTCAAGAATGGACATCTCCATTACCTGAAACGTCCAAGTCTCCGCGACAGCTCTTGGGTCAAATTGCTTCATTGGTCCTCCCTTATGCAAAGGCTTAAAGTACCACACTAATTTCTTTTCAGTGTATCTATTGCTTGTCATTAATTGGGTACACTTTAAGTCGTATCCATCATTCTTAGCAAAAAAATAAAAACAGTTGTCCACAATTACTGTATCTTGCGTGCTTCTACAATCTTCAGTAAGTGTCTAACAGAGAGGAGTCTTGAAGAAGAAAGACGCAAAATTATCAAATCGTATTTGTTTACTTCGCAAGATTAGACATAAAAGTCAAACTTGGTAAATCTATAAAACCAAGGAGGAGGAAAGTGACCTGACGTTGATCACAAAGATAGTATACAAATTACAAAGCAAACTCAATCCCAAAATTAATATGAAACGGAAGCAATATGTGAACCTTTTCTGTAAGAAGAAGGAAACAATTTCTCTAAAAACAAAAATTATATTCAAATGTAGAGAGATAGTACATACAAAGCAAACTCAATCCCAACAAAAAATCTTTCAATTAGACACAGAAAGTTGTGCAGCAAGGGAAGCAAGATAACCATCTAGGGTTGCAATTAGAGGCATGATCAGCTTCTTTAGGAGTAACTGATTTAGGAGCTTCCTCTTTCTTCAGTCTTTCATCTCCTTCAGCCTCAGTCGAAATCTTTGGTGTCTCTGGCTGTGACGGCCTCCTCTGTTTCTTTTGTGGAGCTGAACCTTGTAATCCTCCCTTATCTGCATTCCCCAATCTACACAAACAACAACAACAACAAATGTGAGCAAAGAAAACACATTTCTATTTTAACCTATAAAGAAGAGATAATAAGGATAGTAAACAATTTCCTTTCTTTTTTCTTACATTGGAAAAGCGAAAGACTTGACGCTTACATCTTCTGAGCGACGAGAAACCGAACGATCTAATTTATTGGTTTTGTTGTTGTTGTTGTTGTTTTCTTTTTTAGCAGCTTCATTAGCCATGATAACCTCTCTTATACTTGCTGCAGCCTTTTGTTCTTCTTCTTTACTTGCGCGGTACGCTTTATCTGTTTCAGCTGCTTTCTTACCTATATCCACCGGTGTTTTGGCCTCCTCCACCACTCGGCTTCCTCCTTGGTTTGTTTCTTGGTGTGGAGATGGTAAAGGAGAAGGCAAAGGAGGAGTTATTGGTGAAGGAGGCTGAGGAAATGTTAGCTCGCCGGATTTGAAGTAATCTCCTCCGGTGAAGCTATTGTTTCCCATGTGGATGCTGAATAGAGATTCGTTAGAGAGAGTGCTCCATTCAACTGGAGCCGTAGAGGTTGTTCTTGCGAAAACGCGTGATGGAATTCTGTAAGAAGTTGTATTAGGGCTCGAGGTCGTTGTTGTGGTTGTGTTGTTTGTGGATCTCTCCATGACTTGTGTTGGAGGAGATTGCTCTACGTAGTTGTTGCTGTTTAGAGTTTCATCAGGTTTTGGTTCGGCTTCTATGGAAGAACATGAGGAAGAGGAAGAAGAAGATATTCGTACGATTGGATCTTCCATTTCTTGTTTAGAGGCTAAGTTTGTAGAGTTTTGGTTCGTGGGGTTGAAAAAGTTGTGCTCTTGTGACGTTTCCATGATTCAAAATGAATCTGTTCTTGCGTTTTGAGGTTTTTTTGCCAAATTCTCAATCTGCAATGTAACAATGAAGACAAAAAAAGGATTATTGATTCAGAATAGAGAAGATCACATTAATGACATCTTCGAGAGATTTAGTTAACCTGATGTTTCAAAAGGACAATGATGAAGACGAAGAACACTAGCAAGAAGATATTATTTTTAGAAAATTTCAAAGACAAAATATGGGAGAGACAGATATTGTTGTTTGTTTTTGGAATTTCAAAGACAAAATATTGAAAATTTAGACTTCAAAGGACACGCACGCGTGTAGGGGTTTTATTTTTTGACTTCTGATAATAATAATAATCGTTATCCAATTTTAATCAACTATTTTTCGCCATTGCTAAGTAAAGATTAAAAAGTGATCATTCTAATCCAGTCTAGGTTTATATTCGGTTCGACCATTGGTTTAGTCTTACTGGGTCTCTAAATATAATTCTGTGGCAGATCAGCGAGCGTATCCAAATTTAACGGTCAAGATTATCTCATATTAATGAACGGACAGGATGAACAAACTATTTGACATAAGCCCTTCTCTAACATGGATTCAGGGTTTTCACATTTTACTACTGGCGAGAGTTGAAAGACGCTTCCAGAGAGATCGTCTCCGATATCCCTAGAGAGTGGGTACAGTCTCATCGATTGTTCTGCTTCTTTCTGTTTAGTCCGTCCAGTTCTTTTGATTGTATGGATTCGATTTGATATTCTGATATTTCATTCGCTGATCCGGAACTAGATTTTGTTGATGTTTCTGCTTATTCTTTGTTTACTTTTCTGCTCTGCAACCTAGGAATTTGATTTGGAGTGTGTATCTGTTTATTAATGTGTCCTTTCACGGTTCTGAGTGATGCAATCTGTGGGTTTAGTGAGTTGACCTTCTAAGCTTTGGTTCAATCTCTGTGGATTCTTCTTTCAGACTGATGGTTATTGCTGGAACAAGAATTAATCACGGCGTATATTATTCGTTTCTGATTATCTTTTGGTCACCATACGTGTAACAAACACGAGAACAGATCATGAAGTTTTTAAGCTTCTTGTGTTCTTGCATTCTTTGTTTTATGAAAGAATGCCTTTTTTCTTACTTGTATTGACGATTGAATTCATGGGTCGTTCATGAGTTTCATCTTTTGTTTCTGCCTTTCTGAAATCACTCTTTATATTTTGGGTTGCTCTGTTATTTGCCTAACCACTTAGTGAATGCTCTTTCAATTGTTTCCAGAATACAGATACGTACCACATGGCTTTCTTAAGTAAAGTTGGAAGGATATTCAGGCAGACCAGCACCCATGTCACTGCCTCTAACTCAATGCTACAGAGCATCCGTTGCATGTCATCGTCAAAAATCTTTGTTGGAGGTGACTATAACTCTATTTTGGCTGTGTGAGAGTGTACTCTCTTTTCGATTCTGTTTCTCTCTACTTGTCCCTCAAAATTGTCGATTTTGCTTCAGGTATCTCCTACAGCACTGATGAGTTTGGCTTAAGAGAAGCTTTTAGCAAATATGGAGAAGTTGTTGATGGTAGCTATCTATTTCCCTCTAAGTTATTGCAAATGTCTATCCGTTGAAGTCTTATCTTCCTTCTCCTTATGTATAGTTTTCGTGGTTTTACTCTCAGAGCTGACTTAATTTTTTTTTTTTATCAAATCCAGCGAAAATTATTGTGGACCGTGAAACTGGCAGATCGAGGGGATTTGCTTTCGTAACGTTCACTTCAACCGAGGAGGCTAGTAATGCCATGCAATTGGATGGACAGGTAGCACACAAATGTTCCAGCTTCTTTTGATACTAAGATGTCATGGGGCTTATTCCTTTGTCACTTCTTTTTCTTTTCTGACCGTTTATGTCGTGTTCTGGATGTTCAACCTTTTTCAAAATGACTTGTGTCTTGACGATGCATGTTTGTAAAACACTTAAGGTTTTTGGCCTTTCAAACGTTGGCAACATAGGTAGGGTAGGTACTGTCATCTAGCTTGAAATACTATTCATCGGTTAGGCAGCGACTTGCTCTTTCTAAATGAATTGGCTGAATGTGGAGCAATTCTGTTTGTTGATTCTATCTCTCGTTTCAAAATAAATCTTTGTTTTTCAGACTGCGTCTAGAAGATTAAAAAAACGCTAATTCTTCTTTGCTTGGCACGTTGGCATTGTCGATTTTTCTTTTATTGGGGTTAATTTTTTGGATATAGGACCTTCATGGTCGAAGAATTAGGGTGAACTACGCAACTGAAAGAGGAGGTGGATTTGGGGGAAGGGATTCGGTGGTCCTGGTGGTGGGCAATGCGGGTGGTTACGGTGCTCCAGCTGGTGGTTATGGAGGGGGTGGTTACGGAGGTGGTGGTTACGGAGGTGGTGCTGGTGGTTACGCTGCTCCAGCTGGTGTTACGGAGGTGGTGCAGGTGGTTACGGTGATTCAGCCGGTGGTTATGGAGGTGGCTCTTCTTATGGTGGAAATGCTGCTGGTGGTGGTGGTTATGGAGGTAACTCTCCTTATGGTGGCAATGCCGTTGGTGGTGGTGGTGATTCTGGAAGCAACTTTGGCGGCGGATATGGTGTTGCTGGTGGTGTTGGTGGAAGTGACAACTTTGCCCAAGGCAGTTCTTCTAATGCTGGCTTTGATGACAAGTTTAGCAGCAACGAACCTTTAGGCAATGATACGGATCATCAGCTTGAAAGCGGGTTTGGTGGCGATGAGCAGTTTGGTGGCGGTGACAATCAATTCGGTGACTCAGAGAATGGTAAAACAGAGGCTGGCCCTGACGGGTTTGATCAGACTGACGATGGCGATGTTGCAAAGCGAGCTTAATCTCTACAATGTTGCGCCGCCTACGTTACTCATTTGCGTCCTCGCACTTTTCTTTGCAGTTTCAGACTAAGCTTAATAGAAGTTTCTTAATTTATGTTTTTTAAGTTGGGGTTGTTTATCATGTAGAGACCTCTACTGTTGGTCGTTTTTTAATGTTTTCTGACATTTGAGGCTCATGAATAATAATAATTGTAATAATTTCTAACAGACTCGGGGTTATTATCTTGAAGATTTTCAACTAGAGACCACTTAAGTCAAGAACAAAGCTCTTCCTAATTGAAGACGACCCAACCTGCTTTGGCTGCAACTGCTTCACGAAGCTGAATTCTGGCGTAGCATATGACCAAGTCTGCGCCACCTTGGTTTACGTGCCTACATTGGACACAAAGTCGAATGAGAATCAATTGCTTTTATGCAAATGCTCAGTTTCAAGTAGCAGAGTTATAAGCTTTGCTTACCTCAAGATTGGTGGCTCCATCGCTAATTATGACGAAACTCTTGTATTGACAATCCTGAGAAAGATAGTTTTGATTGGTAAGTTCTGACTAAAAAGTGGTCATGTTTTGCGACGAACCTACCTTATTTGTTGCACTGCAATGGCTTTGCCATCACTCCTAGACGTAGGTTCCTTCTCACCAATTTCCAAATCCAAAATTGTTTGCAAAGACGTTCTCTTGAGGCTTCCTCAAATGGAACATATCAACCCATCGCTGAAAATAGCTTTAGAAAGTCATGAATAAGTTTTCAAAAAATCATAGGTATATATTTGTACATTTTCAAAATTCATGAGGAATAAATCAATTCTGGAAACAACTATGGGGTTTTATTTGAACAATTTTTATAAATATATAGGGTTTCCCAAAAGAAACTATAATATCATTAATTTGAATTAAAATGTTTCAGTAAATCGTTGCGGTTCACAAATTGGTATTCGTGGCCGGTCCGTCCATCTGGACGTCGATTTGGCGAGAAGCGCGCCAGTCTCGGAAGGCCCTATAAACCCTAACTCTTGGAAGGTTCTACGCATTCACTCTCTTTTCTCTGCAACGGAAATGGCTAGCAAGGGCGAGAATTCGAGCCATGAGCAACCTCCTCTGAGTTACCGTACGAGTATCGCCACGCACGATCAGTTTATCGGTAAGCGCCGAGGTTTCTCTTCCACTCATCGTTCTCTTTGGTTATGCGGCGGGAAACGAATCTTCAGAAATCGTTGTAGATTTGTTTTTGCATATGATTACGCTTAGACGATGAGTTTGTCAGCGAATAGGTCGATATTCCATCCGGTGTTTGCGAATTGTGATGAGAACATTCGGATCATTCTCAGTGGCATTTTTATCGGAGCCTTATATTTATAAATCTGTTCGAATAGTCATAAATTCTCAAAGCATTGATGTAGTTTGGAGAGAGTTCCTATGGGGAGGTCTTGCTGGAGCTTTTGGAGAAGGAATGATGCATCCTGTAGATACCCTCAAAACCAGACTTCAGAGTCAAATTATCATGAATGCAGCTCAGGTATCATTTAACCAGACATCACTTGCAGTGATTTTGGTTTCAGAAACTCTGTTTTCTTCTTAGGAAAGACAAATTAGACCTGATTATATGATTACTTTCATTTCTCCGAGTATATATCATCTCTAACCTTGTTCAGTTGTTGATTTCAGAGACAAAAGAGCATTCCTCAAATGCTCCGGACTGTCTGGGTTGGCGATGGATTAAAAGGTACACCATCATACTCTATGCTCTGAGCAGAAAATATTTTGCTTCTATGCTCTGAGATTTTGGTTTCTTGTTCTTTTATATCTCTGCTGACTTTTAATTTTAGGCTTTTATAGGGGAATTGCTCCTGGAGTCACTGGATCTCTTGCCACTGGAGCAACCTACTTTGGTGTTATTGAGTCCACAAAGAAATGGATTGAAGAGTCTCATCCCAACTTAGGAGGGCACTGGGTACACTTTATAGCAGGAGCTATTGGTATGTTATCTAATCTCTCCTCACCTCTCTTGGTCATCTGATGAATTAGGTGGTGGTAAAGATAAACGTATGTTCATTCAAGTGGAAACTGATTTTGAATGCCAAGCATGCATCATAAATGAAACTAAATATAACCTGACTAAAAAATCAGATACTATGAGACATTTCAATGTTATTGTTACGTGATTATTCTAAATATGGATATCGTGGGTCTTTAAAAGATAAGATTAAGATTTTTGGAAAACCTACACAAGAGCAAGGTTGCTAGACTTGCTGATTGCCTAATTGAGAACATGTGGAATTGCAATATTTCTTTACTCTCTCATGATACGCTTTTACTGGCCTTTTTGTGGATTTCATCATGAAAAATTGTGGCTGTATGTTTTACATACACCTCATGAGTGTTCCAAAGAAAAAAGAATGAAAATGAATGGAAACCAATAGTTATCTGAAGTTATAAAGCATCTGATTCCTTTGTGTTCTGTTGCTGCTTTTTTTTTTTTGTTTTTTGTTTTCAGGGGATACACTTGGTTCTTTCGTATATGTTCCTTGTGAAGTAATAAAGCAGCGGATGCAAATTCAAGGCACTAGTAGCTCCTGGAGCTCTTTTATTTCTAGGAACAGCATTCCGGTGAAACCAAGAGGTGACATGTATGGTTATTATACTGGAATGTTCCAAGCTGGATGCTCAATATGGAAAGAGCAAGGGCCCAAAGGACTGTATGCCGGGTATGTAATTTTCATCCAGGCTGTAATGATGCCAATTGGATACATCATTATAATTGTTGCATCCTTTTTCTAGGGACCCATGTTATTTTCATTTTTCCTTTGGCAGATATTGGTCTACACTTGCAAGGGATGTACCTTTTGCTGGCCTTATGGTATGTAATGTGACGCTTCAGTGAAACTTTTACTTATGTCAAAACGATGTGTCTTTCTCTACCCATGTTGGTTCTGTTTTTCCCTCTTAGGTAATGTTTTATGAGGCTTTGAAGGATCTAACAGAGCAAGGGAAGAAAAAGTTTCCACAATATGGAGTCAACAGTTCTATCGAGGGGCTCGTATTGGGAGGATTAGCTGGTGGTAAGTTAAGATGAGATGAGTTTAAAGAAAGCATTCCAAAATAGCTCATCCGTAGTGACCCATGTTTAATTAATATCTCTCCAGGACTAAGCGCTTATCTCACAACTCCACTGGATGTTGTAAAAACAAGATTGCAAGTGCAAGGAACAACGATCAAGTATGTCTCATGTTCTTATAGATTCATATGATCATATCAAAACTAGCATCCCCAAGTAGAATCAAGAACTTGTTTTGGTAATCACGATAGGTACAAGGGGTGGTTGGATGCAGTTGGGCAGATATGGAGGAAGGAAGGTCCAGAGGGTTTTTTCAGGGGAAGCGTCCCGAGGGTCATGTGGTACATTCCGGCGTCTGCACTCACATTCATGGCCGTTGAGTTCCTTAGAGAGAATTTCAGAGAGAAAAGTAAGAATGATAATGCCGTGTCAAACTTGAGCATAGAGAGGAAAAGATCATCTTCTTCAGTACATGAGGTTAGGGAGAACTAGTGAGATAGATTCTCTTCTTCTTGGATCCGAGCATAAAAAGTGAGTAACATTCACAAACTTGTCTGTGTATATGGCTCAATATTTGGTTTATTCTTGCAAGATACTGTTAACAACAATCTGATCCCTCTTTAATAAGATTCTTTATTTCTACTTTCCCTTGGCGTGAAGAGAAAAAGAAAGTGACAAAACAAAAATTAATTAAATAATTTATTGGATTTTAAAATACATCTCCGAGGTCAATTGTCGGAGAGCTTGAACTTGGCTATGCGTTTAAAAACGATAACAAAAGAGGAATTAGCCTAAACCCTAAGAAGGAGATGGCGTCTTCTTCTCGCTCGGAGAAACGATGCCTTTACGAGGTTCTCGGTATCAGCAAGGAATCATCGCCGGACGAGATTCGATCCTCTTATCGGCGTTTGGCTTTGCAGCGTCATCCCGACAAGCTTATCAAGGCCGGTGGAATATCGGAGGCTGAAGCCACCGCACAGTTCCAAGAGCTCGTTCATGCCTACGAGGTTTTATCCGATCCCAAGGAGCGAGCTTGGTATGATTCCCACCGATCTCAGATTCTATTCGCCGACCATGGCTCCGACGGTGGCTCGAAATCTCGTGGAATGCCCGGCGGCTCCGTCCCGGATCTATTCGCTTTCTTCTCCACCACTGTATATTCCGGGTATTCAGACACCGGAAAGGGATTCTACAAGGTGTATTTCGATGTGTTTAACAGTGTTTACCTCAACGAGATTAAGTTCGCGAGAACGTTAGGTTTGAGGATGGACTCTGTGAGGGAAGCTCCGATAATGGGGAATCTAGAGAGTCCGTACGCTCAGGTGACGGCGTTTTACAATTACTGGTTAGGTTTTAGCACTGTTATGGATTTTTGCTGGGTGGATGAGTATGATGCGATGGCTGGACCTAACAGAAAGTCGAGAAGGTTGATGGAGGAAGAGAATAAGAAGGTGAGAAAGAAAGCGAAGAGAGAGTATAATGAGACTGTGAGAGGTTTGGCAGAGTTTGTAAAGAAGAGGGACAAGAGAGTGATTGACATGATGGTGAAGAAGAATGCTGAGATGGAGCTGAAGAAGGCGGAGGAGAGGGAGAGGAAGAAGAAAATGGAGAAGGAGAGATTGGAGAGAGCTATGAAGTATGAGGAGCCTGATTGGGCAAAAGCGCAGGATGTAGAGGAGGAGTTAGATGTAGTGGAAGAGGATGATGATGATGATGATGCTGCTAAGAGGAAGAATGAGCAGCTCTATTGCATTGTTTGTAGCAAGAAGTTCAAAAGTGAGAAGCAGTGGAAAAACCACGAACAGTCGAAGAAGCACAAAGAGAAAGTGGCGGAGTTGAGAGAGTCATTTCATGCAGAAGACGAAAAGGAGAGAGAAGATGAGGAAGAGAATGATGGAACGCTGGAGCCACCTGAAACTGTAGAGGAGGAGCTCCATGAGAAGTTTCAGGATGGATTAAATATTGACGATGAAGAAGATGTGGAAGAAAAGGAGGAAGTTGCAGGCGAAGCTGATGAAACTGATGAGGAGTATTTTGTGGCAGAGGAATATGTGAAAGAATCTAGTGAAAGTGAGGATGAGGATGTCGATGATGAGATGGCTCTACTCAAGAAAATGGTATCTGGACAAAAGAATAAGCGAAAGAATGTTGTGTCAAGGAAAGAAGATGGAGCTCAAGTCAAGATTGAGAGCGACACAGCAGAGTTTAGCGAATTTGATAACCAGAAAAGCACAGGTAGGAATAGAAAAGGTAAGAAGGAGAGAAATAAACGGAATGCTGGAAAAGACACGACAGATGATGCCAGCGAGGTACAGATACCTGGAGACGACGGTAATGCAGATGACAATGTGGATGCAACGGAAACAGCTTCTGGAGCATTTGAGGATTCTCAGAAGGATGAGCCAGATTTAATGGAGTATGATAACAGGAAGAGCACAGGGAGGAGGCGCAGAAGTAAGAAGCCTAAGGATAAGAATAATCTTGGTGGGTTAATGGAGAAGAGCAGTGAAGCGGATGATACAAAAGATCGAAACGGAGACATGGAAGAATCTCATTCAGAGACGTTTGAGGATCGAAGTGAATATATAGAACACAAGAAGGCTCCCAGATCAAAGAAATCAACCAGAGGAATGAAAACCAAGGTACAGTCATTCCTCCCTTGTAGCATCACTAAATCATAGATTTTGGCTTGATAATTTTTGAAATTATTATATACATCAATGCAGGGTACGTCGAAGAAAACCAGTAATAACGAATGCGATAGATGCGGAGAGGAGTTCGAGTCGAGGTTGGTCCATTAGATATATGTTCTTTTGTCATCTCCATTTCTCCAGCAGTGTACTTCGCATCATTCAAATGTTGACCCATCATTTATCTACCATGACCAGGACAAAACTATTTAAGCATATAGCTGATACCGGTCATGCGACAGTGAAATCTCGATGATCCATATGCTCATTTTAAAGCGCATTTAAGGATTATGCAGAGAAGAACCAAAGGCTGGCTGGAGAATTGCATTCTTTGATTTTATTTATACATTGGACACAATGAAGAAAAAGGAAGGTGGAAAGAGAGCAAATAAGCTATTGTTCTGACATCGTTGTAGTGGAAACGAATTGGTGATAATGTACCGTATTTTTTTTGCAGAGAAGAAGTCGATCAAAGGTTTGTTCAAGAATTGCATTTCTTTAAGTGTTACATAATATAATATAATCAAGATTGTGGGATAAAATGAGAACGTTTCCACTGTGTAAAATGTGCAATCAATTGAAACAAAACGTAAAAGTCAATTGTCATAGCAGATTCGACAACTTCTTTCAAAAACTCTGCAAACACCAAACAACAAAATTGTCATAACATGACTCTAAAGCTGAGAGCACCAGTCTCTAGCATTCTGGAACATCTTCAACCACGGACTCGGCCCAGCTTTCTCAACGTCCCAGCTTGTCGGGTACCAAGGAAACTGCCACATCAAGAAACAACGCTCAGGATGAGGCATCATCGCCAAATGTCTCCCGTCAGGGGAACATATAGCAGCTATCCCCAACGGTGAACCATTGAGGTTAAAAGGGTAAGCTTCAGTCACGCTCCCATCATCATCACAGTATCTCAATGGTGCCAAATCTGAGTGAAGCATATGGTCCAAGACTCCTTCGTCCGGGAAATAAGCCCGTCCTTCTCCATGAGCTGCCCAAACCCCTAAAGTACTTCCCTCCATTCCTTTCAGCATTATCGATGGCGAGTCCTTTATGGTAACGCTTGTGAACCTACACTCAAACCTTCCTGATTCGTTGTGAACGAATCTTGGCTGTGACGTGTCGAGTGACCCGCCAACTTGAGGACCTGGAACCCATCCTAACAAGGCCATTAACTGACATCCATTGCAGATTCCCAGGCTGAACGTGTCTGGTCTTTTGTAGAACTCCTGGAATTGAGTGAGGAGAGGCTCGTTGAATCTTATTGAAGCAGCCCAACCTTTGGCTGAGTCAAGGACATCCGCGTAGCTAAACCCTCCCACAAACACAATCCCACGGAACTGATCAAGAGTGATTGCTCCGGCTAGAAGATCAGACACCGTCACGTCCCACGGTTCAAAACCGGCGGCGTAAAATGCAGCCGACATTTCCCTGTCTCCGTTGCTGCCTTCCTCTCGGATCACAGCTACTTTTGGTTTAACAACTGAGAACATATAAAATCAAGAACAACTCTCATCAGGAACTATAGGCTTTATGATAAGGAAAAAGAAAAAAGAAGTTTCATAGAGATGGCTCTTACCCTTGGACATATAACTATTGTTGGTCCAGGAAGGAGTAAATGAGAGTTTCCAGTTAGGCTCATGCCTCAATTTCAAGCCTTCTTTCTCCATCTCTACACAAGATGCCAGTCGCTGCAGCTTTTCCAACTGGAAACTGGTGTCTTCCCACATGTCTCTGAGGAACGAAGTTTTCTCACTCAAATGAGTAATCCCATCAACTTTCACCTCTATCAAAGGAGCGTCAGTGACTTTCCCAATGATCTCAGCAGTAACATCGAAACCACGGAGTTTTTCCATCACAGCGTCTAAGTTCTTGTTGCTAATCTCCATCACGAGACCGAGTTCTTCAGAAAACAAAGTCTCAAAGAGGCTAATCCCGTTCGAAGCCAAGTTGAGGTTTATACCTTTGTTTCCAGCAAAAGCCATTTCCATAGCTGCTACAACTAGTCCACCATCGCTGATGTCATGTCCCGCAGATACCAAGTTTTCTGAAATGAGAGCTTGAATGCCCTCGAAAACGTTTTTCAGATATGGAACATCATCAACATCAGGACAGTCGTTTCCGATCTGACCAAAAACCTGAGCCAGTGCAGATCCACCTAATCTCCGCTTTCCCTTGGCCAAATCAACATGCAAGAGAACACCATCATCTCCAAGCTTCAGGTCCGGAGTCACTGTCTTTGTTATGTCTGGACAGGTAACGTAGGCACTAATCACAAGATTTCCTGGCGCTTTAACAACCTCACCATCCGCATTAGCTGCCATTGAAAGACTGTCTTTTCCACCATCAATTGCAATGCCAAGTTCGATCATCGCTTCAGATAGAGCAATTGCAGCATCATACATTGCTGATCCTTCTCCTTCAAGTTTGGCAGCATACATCCAGTTACCACTGGCTTTAACATCAGAAAGTGCAGTGACTTTTGCCCAAACAAGATTTGTCAAAGCCTCTCCAACAGCTAGTCTAGCCATGGCTTTTGGATCAAGCAGACCTTTAATCGGTTGCTCGCCAATAGCACACGCACCACCTGTTAGATCTGTGAATGTCTGTGCAATTACTGCAACATCAGCAAGGGTGATCTGCAATGGTCCGACTGTTTGCTGCTGTGCAACAAGACCTGTCACACATCTATCCACTTTGGTTGTCAAGAAACGCTTCGAAGAAACTGATGGCAAACGCAGAACCCTTTTCAAAGAATCCATCAATGTAATCCCAGGAGCAATATCAAGTGGTTCCCGTACATATGCCACGCGGTTGAACTCAAACGTCTTCTTAGGCATATCACCAAGAACCTTCTCGAGTTCAAAATCCACAGCAGGAGGAGGTGGAGGTAGCCCCTCTTTACTGCACTTTGCTGCAGCTGTGCTGTCAATTAAAGTACAGCGACCCTCCCCATTGATTGTTCCAATCACAGCCATTGAAAGCCTTTCCCTCTTACAGATCGATTGCAAAATCTCTCGGCTCTCAGCTTTCACCAAAATGGCATCTTGCTCTTGATATTCTGCTCCCCATATCTCCAATACCGACATAGTATGATCACCAACAACAACCGCTCTTATGTCAATCTCTGCACCCTGTGGATATATAATCTCTTTGACGACATTGCAGTTCCCACCAGCACCTTGATCATGAATGCTGATAATGGGATTCTTCTCGCCCATCTCGATGCAAGCACGGACCACACGGTACAACTTCTGCGCCATCTCAGCATCTCCACGCTGCACAGCATTGAAATCAAGCTCTGCATCATTCTGACCACTAACCATACTCGAAGCTGCTCCTCCTCCCATTCCAATACGGTAAGCAGGACCACCAATCTTAACAACAAGCATCCCAACTTCTGGCTCCCCTTTAGTTATATGAGTATGATCAATCTGTCCAATACCTGCACTAAACATAATCGGTTTCAACCATTCTCTTCTATCCCCACTTGGCAGTCTCATCCCAAAAGTTCTGGTATATCCTTGAATCATAGGCTCTCCGAATTTGTTCCCATAATCTGATGCACCATTACTAGCATCGATGAGTATTTGTAAAGGTGAAGCTAGGTTCGACGGGTACTGGAAAGACGAGTCTTCCCATGGAGCATAAGATCCCTCCATGTTGAGGTTCCCAACACAGTAACCAGAAGTGGATGCAACCACAAAAGAGCCTCTTCCTGTTGCATGTGTATCCCTGATTCGACCTCCAGCACCTGTCTCAGCACCAGGATAAGGAGCCACCGCACAAGGGAAATTATGGGTCTCAGCAGTGAACAATATGTCGAGATCACGTGCACTGATATCAAGCAAGCAGGTAGAACCAGGAAGTAGAGGCCGTAGCTGGTTCACCATAAAGCCTCTTATAGCACTAGAATTATCCTTAAACCCAATGACGGAATTGTTCTGATTTGCCTGCAAGATTAATCACAAAAGATAAAGAGTGAGTTATTTGAACGAAAAGCTCAAAACTGTTGGAAATGAGAGGAAGTTGACTGAAGCCCTATATTGTTACCTCCCAAGTGCTCTTTACAATTTGCATAAGAGACCTATCCATTGGCTTTCCATCAATAACAATTTTCCCAGCAAAGAACCAATGTCGACTGTGCTCGCTGTTGGATTGAGCGATATCAAAAAGCTCCACATTGGTGGGGTTACGCTGAATGTCATCTTTGAACAGTCTAGTATAATACTGCAAATCTTGCTCATCAAAGGCTAAACCCATCTCCTGGTTGATTTCTTCCAGCGCCTTCCTACCCTTCTCCATAACAGGCACATACTTTACTTCCTCAGGAACTACATTTGTCTCAAATGAAATCAGCCTTTGGGAGTACACACACTCGGTCATTCGATCGTGAACTACTGCAGCGAATTCCTTTATTTGATTCTCCAACAGTGGCTCCTTGCTGAACAAGAGGTACCTCCTAGACCTTTCCAAGCGAGTCACTTCGTTTAACCCACATGCTCTACATATTGAAACTGCATTGGTGGACCATGCTGTAGTAAAAGACAATCTAGGACCAACTTCAACAATTGTAGCATGAAGTCCTTCCTGCTTCTTCCTCTCAATAAAACTATCCGTGCCTGAAATTTAACTCAATCATCAATAACAGAGAGGCCAAAGAATTTCGTAACCGTAGCAAACAAAAAAATGGCACGACATTTAAAAGTACCTAAATTCTCTGGCTCAAATGTTTCTTGAAGAATCCACTTCAGAACCAAGAGCTTTTCATCTTCTAACTCCGATTCAAGTCCAATATTGAAACACTGCTCAGTTGCCAAACTGACAATCTGGTTGCTGATTTTGGTTTGAACAGACTTGAGAAGTTCAGCGTTTGCGCTTTCTTGAATCAAAGGCACGCGATAGAAATGGATAACCTCTGCAGCAGGTTTCTCAACCAAGCTCGGTTGCTCCTCAACAGACACAACAGGACCTGTAGAAACAGCTGCTCCAGGCTTATTAGGCTGAGCAGAACATATCAAGCCAGCAGCTTTTGTTCGATTCAGAGACAGCCTTTGTGAGGTTTGATATCTAACAGAACCCCACAGTTGACTAGTTGAGCTTCGCTGCAAAAGCGTCGTCTGTCTATTGGAACCCTGCAAGAACCATTAACTTGTTAAAAAAAAAAACGAAAACATCCTGCAATATGGAATCTTTTACCAAACAAAAACATCACAGATGCCAATACAGGGCTATACGTCTGTATACAGACTAATCTATGATGAGTTGATGCTGCAGAACGGGAGCAATTAAGCTTATCAATCATCGACACAAAACTTCAATCAATGGAGAATAAGTAAGAGAATATTTACGTTCAGAAACAAAGCCGCACGAGTTGCTTGGGCGGTATTCATCGCGAGGAAGAAGAACAGCAGAAAAAGTGAAATAAGGGTTTAGGGTTTCTCTCAGCTACTGTCTTAACGGGACCGAAGCTCCGACTCTGAGAACACCACAGTCGACAGACAGTCCTTGTTTGTCTCTTCTCAACGCGAGTCTTTAGGTTTTTTAGTGTTTTACTATTTTTTTTAATTTCCAAGAAGAAAAACAAACAACAAAAGATGATTACTTATCAGAGTTGCGTAAGTGAGGCCCAAACAAACCCTTACATGGCCCAAACAAACCTTTACAAGGCCCAAACAAACCTTTAAAAGGCCCAATGGCAGATATTACATATCGAGTCTCTCTAATGTTATACTACAAACAACAGCAGGTATGTAATTATTTTTGACTGATTATTTTGTGGGAGATGACCAAATTTAAAGAATCCCCTACTTTTTATGATGTTAACAAATACCTGCAATTATTTTTGACTGATTATTTTGTGGGAGATGACCAAATTTAAAGAATTCCCTACTTTTTATGATGTTAACAAATATTTAAAGAGACAAAACCAAAGTTTTATAGATTGACATAAATTATAGAAACATGCATTAGACACAGAATTTTAGCCGAGCGACAAAGGTAATGCTCCGACTCAACACAGGTTTCTAGTCAAATATCGATTCCCATATTAAAATTTAGGTTAATACCTCGAATTCGATTGACCTAACAAAAGATTTTACACTATAACAGACACAATTATGTTCATCATTCTCTTAACATAAATTCCATAGCCATTGAGACTATGACGCTTGAGAACATGGCAGTACGAGGGGGAAAAAGATTCTAATTTGGAATTAAAAACCAGATCCATGCTCAAAGTCTATTCAGATAATCTCCAAACACTTCAAACGAAGAACAAGAAAAATGCTTTCAATATCAAGTACAAAATAAAGAACTAGTGGACAAAACCACAGCTAAATCAAGTTTATGCTGTTTCACTTCGCTTCAAATGTTACTGGGATACATGAAGACTCTGACCCTGTTTCCCTGCAAGAAAAAAACAGAAGAGGTGTCTACTTCAAAACCCCAAGCAGAAGATTTCACAAATAAACAAGATAATGATTTGACAGGCTATAGAATGTGGTCAAGTACCATGGACTTAGGAGGCAAGTTCGATGTGAACTTAGCACGGACAACACCGCTGTTACCATGAGGCCTTGTAACTTTTCCCCAGATGCAACGGTAGTGGCTACCGTTCTTCTTGGTCTTAGCCTTGTAGATGTAAGCCATTCTCTTTCCCTTGTACCATGTTACCTCCTCCTGGGTGTTGACTCCTTCGATCTGGATAAGGGATGTGTTTGGGTACTGGTTCGACTTCGACCTGCACATTCATGAAAATGTCAGACACAGAGGCAGTATCAAATGGTTTAAGTCCAATCTCGACATGACGAGGCTATTTTAGCAAATCTCAGCTGACATTCTAAGAAAATGCAGGGCAATTAACAACATAAATATAAAGCCGGAGATTCTATAACGCACAAAAAGTTTAGATTTTTATTCAAGGACTTAGGAACAGAGTCTGATCATAAGTTGAAAACAATGAAAAGTTTAGGATGAGATCCTACATGTTTCAGGTACATAAACTATTCACCATTGTTCATTGCATTGAATTAAATTGGAGCTAAATCAAGGACCAGTAGGCAGTATACAGTGAATTAACAAAGAGATTAAAGTACTGGCTCACCTTTTGTATCCGAGGATGGTTCCTCTAACGTAGAGTCTGCAAATTTGATAAAACAAAAAGAATCAGATTTACCTAAAACATAACTTCACGGAAATTGCAAGATTGAGAATCTAAGAAAGAAAAATGTTCCATTAAAATCAATTAGGTAGTTTTCTAAACCATCACGACTCTTCAAAACAGTCTCAGAAGAGAGGAAAATATAGGCAAACGAGCAAATCGAAAACTAGGTATAGATCAAACTCGACGAGCAACAAAAGAAGAAGAAAGACCTGACTCGTTCTCCTTGGCGTCCCTTCACCATTTTTGCGTCGGCCGATTAAAGCAAGACTGATGCTGCTGAGGAAGACGGAGAAGAAAACCCTAATAGATCAACAACGAATTTATATATTGCTCCCCTGCTTCTCGTCTTTTTATTTTATTAAGAATGGGTCTATGGGCCTCAAAACATGGCCCGACAAGATAATGAAAAAGTAATGGGCTTCTTCACATTAAACGGAATTCTTGTGTCCAGTTTGGCATTTTATAACACTAGTTCTTAGTCATCCGATGGGACGTAGGAGTAGGATCTGATTGGTAAGGATTGTGATCAGTGGCGGAGGCAGGTGAAGTAAGATGGGGCAGGTGCCCCCAATAAAAAAAATAATTACTTTAAATTGTTAAGAAAAATGTTTATTGCCCCCACACCACATAATATATTTGCCCCCATCATTTGATAATGTTTTAGCATAATTGTTTTAACCCCAGTCAAAAGTACTTTTAGCACTATAGGCTGTGGATGTAGTCTTTTGGCTGTAGAAATTTATACTGTAAAAATTGTGATTATTGTTTTTATTCTTTTATAAAAATAAAAAATAAAAACTATAATTAAAAATATAAAAAAAAACTCAGGAGAGAGAATAATAGCCAAGAGAAGTGGCTTTTAAAATAAGGTGAAAACAAAGAGAAAAAACAGTTGAGATATTTTCGGAACTTTAAAAAAAGATATAGTCATAAAAGTGTGATTGGATAAATAAAAACTGTAAAGACTGAAAAACTTAAAAAGTCTTTAAAGTCCAAACGCCAATCAGAACCCTAGTTCTTTTTTCTTTTTAAGAAAACAAAATTTTTGTTACACTCATTCACGCATTAGAAAATTGAAAAGCAAGTAGGAAAAAAAATTCATGTTTGGACGTATAATCGTCTTTTGAATCATTATTATTCCACAAAATATGGGTAATGTTTCCTTTGATTGAGGTAATCATTTAAAGAAAAGCAGCATCGATTCTTTCTGATGAAAAAACAATCACTAACTAACAAAGGAGCATACTATCATCTGAAAAATGTTATATTCCTCCTTTTACCAAAAAAAAAAGTTATATTTCTCCAATCTATTCCATCGTGCGGAATACGTACGTGTCACTCTCTGATGGGTTTCATTCGTTAAATACTTAATGATTGGTCATAAGTAGATCGATATCGGATATGGTAAAAGATAAGATATAAAAGCGTCGTCTGAGAGGAAATCTAGGATCAGTCCAATTTTCGAGTTCAGTACAGGTTTTTGAAACGTGCCCCTCGTGACATATATCAAATGGGTAATTTCATGTCTATATATAGACAACAACAAAAAAATGCTTACGGAGTTCAGTATGATTCACCAACCCCTTGTATCGGTTTGTGAAACTCGTGACATATTTATATCAGATGGGTCAGTACATTTTTCATGTCTATATATAGACAACAAAAAAAAGATGTTACATACAATACTCAAAAAGAAGAAAGAAAAAATGTTTACGGAGGAAAAGAAGAAAAACAAAAACTATGGATCAATCTTTATCTACTGCTTCTTCTGTTTCGTATTCGTCGTGGAAGTCGCAAGGTTCGCAAAACCTTACTACAAAAACCTTGAAAACCTAGTGGAGGAGACAGAAGCACTAGTAGTAGAAGAAGGTTTTGTGGGCTTGGAGAAATCAGGGATACTTCCGCCATGTCCCTTCAAGAGATCTCGCTCTGCCTTATCTGTTCCTGTTCGGAATCACCAGAAACTATCGGGAGCAATAAGGAGAGAAGATAGAACTCGTCCTCCATCTTCGTATTGCGTGAAGTTCACGTCATTTGCCACTTTGCAGCAGCTGGTCAAAGGCAACGGTGACAAGTGGGAGTCACGTCCTTTCTCTGTCGGTGGATACAATTGGTACGTACACACATTGCTCTGAATCTCATCTAAATATATAATATGACTTTCTTTCTTTCTTTTTTTTGATTAAAATGAATGAATGTTACAAGGACTTTAATAATCTACCCGAACGAGAACAAGCCTCAGGGCTCGGGTGGATACGTTTCCATGTACGTAAGAATCGATAACTCAACTCTCATCGCCAATCCAAGAGATGTGTATGCAGAGATCACATTCCTCACCTATAAAAGCACTATAGACAAGTACCATTTTCTTCAGGGTAACTAATCTTGATTAAAGAGAAGATGAGAAAGATCATTTGATTAAATCTTTTTGTGGTTTCTTCAGACTACTAATTCTAGTTTTTGCAGAGACTGATGCGCAGCGATTTCATTTGTTTAAACAACAGTGGGGGCAGCTAAACTTTCTTGAGATTGGGTATTACAGAGATCCGGGACAAGGTTTCATTTTCGACGGCGGACAAAGTGTGTTTGGCGTTGACATCCTCGTTTCTAATCCTTTTGAGAACTGGGAAGTTTTCTCTTACGAAGAAAACATTCTTGATCCTGTTTTTAATTGGAAGCTCACCAAATTCTCTACCCGTGATCTTGACTCTTACTCTTCTGATCCTTTTTCTTCCGGTGGACGTAACTGGTGACCCTCTCCCTCTCTCTTTCTCTGTAGATATATAATTATTAATCAAGAATCGATTGATTTATGTGAAGGGTACTGTGTACTTACTGTGTAGGGTATTGAAAGTGTATCCAAATGGAGTTGGACCTGCAACGGGTAATTCGTTGTCACTCTTTTTGTTGAGTGCGTCAAATGAAAATGGTTACGTGAAAGCCAAGCTACGAGTTCTTGACCAGATCCGATCCACTCATGTGGAGAAACAAGGTTTGATATTTCCCTTCTCATCATCATCTTCTACTAATTTAGACTGATTAACTAGGCTTATTTAATTAAAAAAAGTTTTCAATTAACTTTTGATTTGCGTCTGTAGTGGAGGGATGGCCCAACGCAACAGAAAGAGGATGGGGTTTCGAGAAGTTTCTACCTCTTGCAGATATCAAAGACGCATCCAAAGGTTTCCTCGTCAACGATACACTCAAAGTTGAAGTCGAGATCTTGTCCTTCTCTAAATCCGACTCTCTTTAATTAGGGTTTAATTAAGATGATCGATCCCGATCAATCATTCGTGTGTTGTTTTTTTCATGTTTTACCAGGAGGTAGTGATTAGATCAAAAAGCAGAGTAATCTCTGTCTGCTATGTAATTACTATCACTCTGGTTCACCGTTTCTGTTTCTGTCTAATAATGAAAAGTCCGAGCTCTTCTATGTCTTGAACTTGTTTGTCCAATAGAAGGAATGGTTAATGTTTCTGACATGTTCGCTGAGATATCAAGTTATTAATTTGGAGAAAACGATGTTACATATACTTGGCTGGAGTTTCGGTTCATAAACGTAATACAATAGTAGAGCATATCCCTTCTACTCTCTTTTTTGGTAATCTGTAAATATTCATTTCGAATGAAAGTTTGAGGTTTTACAAAATTAGTAAGCTACCTAATAACTTGTTACCTTGGCATGCAAAAAAAAAAAAAGAACAAGGGAACAAATGGAAATGAGGAACTTAAAACGTATCATCCAGTTTCCGCATTTGACGCAAGTAACGCAGAAAGGATAACATGAGAGTATTAGCCGTGACATGATTGTGAGATTTGGGAAGTGGGAATTTGATACTATAGAACTCGAGAACGCGTTCTTGAATAACCAGAGCTCTGTTCATTTGTGGCAGGGAAATGAGGACATGTTAGTGCCTTTGACGGTGCAACATTACCTTGCACACAAGCTTCAATGGCTTCAGTTCTTCACTATCATGAGGTTTCTAAAGGTGGCCACTTCTTCCACCTCGCTAAAGGTGTGATTGATGACACTGTTAAGACGTGTTCAACCACGGGTGCGGACAAGTATAACTCGAACAATGATCTAGAAAGGCCCAAAAACTATGGATACAATGGAGAGCTAGTGTATGTAGATAGATGGTTTTTTACGAAAACATAATAAAAGTGGACTTTTTTTTAAAAGCTTCACGTCATTTTTGTCAAGCCCACCCAAAAAAAGCCTATACCAAAACAGAGCACGAGTCTTTTCCGACTCAAGAAATTACGACACATCGAAGAAGTGGATAGTAAATCCAACATAGCTCTCCAAATGTTTTCTTCATTGGTTGTATTTATCTACCATGTTGATTAACCCAAAGTTTGAATCATGAATATATTAATTACTTTCTATTCAAAAACAAAAGAATAGATTACTTTCTTAACAAAAAGATAGATTTCTTTTTTATTATTTTGTTTTTTAAAACGGTAACCATTTTTATTAATTAAAAAACGAAATCAGTACATGACCGAAGGCCATACATTTTTTAACGAGATATTACACAAGCGCATAAAGTTAGATTTAGTATAGTCATAACAAATGTGGTTGAAATGTTTATATCTTTTACAATATTTTAAGAGAGATATTAATTTGGTATATAAGACCATCTTGTTGGTTGTAATATTGTGGTATAAAGCCATAATTTGTTACTGTAAGTAAGAGCATCTCCAGTAGAGTCTTTTATCAGAAAGTTGGTTCAGAAACCTATGTATTTACTATTTTTTAAAATGTTTTAAGCTTTAAAAGTGATGGAGCGCTCCTTATATAAGAAGCAAGAAGACTGTCTTTTAAACACGTGGCAGATGGTCATTGGCCAATTCTTATTTTTATTTTTTTCAATTTTATGGAATTATTTTTAGTGGAAAAATCAATTATTAAACTATTTTTAAGAAATTCATGAAGAGTAACAATGGTGGAGATGCTTTAAGAACACTTTGTTGGTTGTAGGATGACCAAATATGTATGTATAATTTGAGGCAAAAAAAAAAAGAAAAAAAATTTAAAGAGTGTATTAATATGATAAATGAAATTTACAAATTATCATGCTCAATAACCATTGCTCCTCTCCAGGACTCGCCGACTCCAACATCAATGGGAACAAGCATGGATGCGGGACCGGTGCACACGAAGTAATGTTGCTTCCCATATTTCTCCGACATTGATCCTGGACTTCCCACATACATATCCTCGAATCCTATCCTTATCATCCTAAAGAACAATCCTCTTCCCTACAATTTTTCAAAATTCCAAAACTCATCAGATCGTAATGAATTAATTGTTATTGTTACAAACTCTCACTTAAACAACAAACTCATATCCAAAATAATGTATAAGACATATGAGTTCATTTATAAATTAGTTCTTGAATTATATGTTACAGGTAAGACACCTCAAAGCTAAATGAAACCTAAAATAACATAAAACAAACATAGTAAAGTATATACTGACCTGATCGATGGTTTCATATTTAGATGGAGGAGTGTTATAGACAGCCTTCAATCTTTCAGCAGGAGGAGCACCATAGACTCTACTCATCTTTTTCTCAAGAAGTGTAATCACAGAGTCTTCTACTGCCCAAATCCCCTGCTCTTCCCTTTCTTCTGACCCAAACCATCCTGGAGATTCTGCTTTCATGGCCTCAGAAGGAGACAAGAGCTCAAAAGGCGATGATAAAGGAGGGTTTGGGCAATAAGAACATCCCTTAAGCCCTTGAATCCCAGCCCCACTCCGTTTCTTGAACCTCAAGTAACTCATAATCCCCGGTTTAAGTGTAACCGGCTTGCGTCCATTGTTCTTCACCACCAGAGCTGTAGCCATGCTTACTGGGTAGAGAGAGATGATATAGGTTAAGTCAAGAAACCCTGCCGTACAGCTCAGTTCGATCTGAGAAACAATAACAAAGTATTATTTTTTCATCACTCTGTGAACAAGATTTTGCTAAGTTGGTGCCTGGAGGTTCAAAATCAATCACCTGAAGCGCATCAATGGCGTCTGAATCAGTGTCCTTGACACTCCAATTACAATCTGAGATCATTGAAGTAGCATCTTCTGCGTTTACAATTACAAGACCAACTCCACCACTTTTGTTCTTTTCACCATCAACTGTGTAAAGAACTTCTTCGAACCCATCGTCTTTCCAGTATACCTTTGGCTTATATGAAACAACATGAGCGTCTGATAGACTCAGCTTTAAAGAACTTCCATTTCTGACCTTAAGCTCGACCATGGGAACATTGTTTGGTTTTGAGAATTTTATGCCTTTTCTTCCGAATTTCTCTTCAAGCCCTTCAATTATTGTTTGGGTCTGAGGAGCTGAAATTGAATTTCTTATGGTGGCTTTTGGTTTTGGGAGAGAAGAAAAAGAGATAAGAGAAGCCATTGATGGAGAGTAAGTAGAAGAAAAGATAACACTAGTGAAGTTGTAGAAGCGCTCAAGCCTAATCCTCTTCCAACTTTTTGTTTTTGTTTGTTTTTGGTTTATGTCGTTTACTAACACTCTCTTATTTTAGCATGTGGTTGTCCTTCTAAAGGATTTATTGGAGGATCTAGGAGTGTCTATGGATTCAAAAACATAGTAAAAGTGGACTTTTGTTATGTAGATAGATGCATTTTTTTACAAAAACATAATAAAAGTGGACTTTTGTTACTAGCTAAATTCTCACCATTTTTTGTTACATTTAAGTCCACCAAAAAAAAAAAAGCCAAAGCCAAAACAGAGCATGAGACTTTCCCGACTCTAGAAGTTACGACACATTAAGCGTTGCAAACTCTAAAAAGGTAAAGACTTTAATCCTCAACCATTTCCTCATCATCGTCTTCTATTTCCTCGATCCTCATCTTCTTCACCGCCTGAGCTGCATCACTTTTCTTTGGCCCATTAGCAATATGAATCAACACATCCGACTTCTGCCCTGTCGTGGCATTCACTAGCCCTCCATTCTTCTCCACACGGTACACAAGATCAGATCCACCAGTGCCTGCATCTATGTAAACGGTGGAGTTTTCATCGATTTCCTCACGCACAACCATCTTCGACAACTCTGTGACCACCTTCTTCTCCATCCATCTCCTTATTGGCCTAGCACCATACACCTAATTAACCATCCAGCACAATGACACGACCACAAAGAGTCAGCAAACTGACCAAACCAATCTAGAGATTAGTACATGATAAACATTGCATTAAGTAAAGAGACTTACCGGGTCATAACTCTCTGCCAATATATAGTCTAACGCAGCATCAGTGACTGCCAAAGCAACGCCTCTCTCAGCAAGCCGGACAGCAACGTCTTTCATTTGGAGCCGGGCTACTTTCCTCAACTGGTCATGTGAAAGGGGATCGAACACCACAATCTCGTCAAGCCTGTTCAGGAGCTCTGGTCTGAAGTGCTTTCTCACCTCCTGCATCACACATTCTCGAGCCACTTGCATTGACACTTTCCCGGTCAGTCCTGAGAGAAGATGCTCTGCACCAAGGTTTGATGTCATGATTATCACCGAGTTCCTGAAATCCACCGTCCTCCCTTGGCCGTCTGTCAATCTACCATCATCCAACACTTGGAGCAGAGTGTTGAAAACAGCAACATGGGCTTTCTCTACTTCATCAAAGAGAATAACACAGTAAGGTCGTCTCCTCACAGCCTCAGTTAACTGTCCTCCTTCCTCGTGACCAACATAGCTGTTAAAAAGTGAAATCATGTAAGAATATAACCTTCATATGCGAAAACATATTGTCTTGAAAAGTAATGGATTAGGTACTTACCCAGGTGGTGCTCCAATGAGGCGAGAGACAGAGTGTTGTTCCATGTACTCGGACATATCAATCCGAACTAAGAGGTTTTCGTCATCAAAGAGTTGCTCAGCAAGAGCCTTAGCAAGTTCGGTTTTGCCAACACCAGTTGGGCCAAGGAATAAGAATGATCCAGTTGGTTGTTGTGGCCTTCCAAGGCCTGCCCTTGACCTTAAGATCGCCTCAGAAACTGCATTTACCGCTTGATCTTGTCCCACAACCCTCTTGTGCAACCTATCACCAAGACCAATCAACCTCTCTTTCTCGTTCTGGCCAAGTCTTGTCACTGGAATCCCAGTCCAACGGCTCACAACTTCAGCAATGTGTTCAGGCCCAACATTTTCTGTGAGCATCACACTCTCTTCAGAAGTTCCCTCAAGTTGGGCAATTGCAGATTCCACTTCTTGGATTGCTCCATATCTTAGATCAGCCGCTCTTGCAAGGTCATATCTCCGTTCTGCCTCTTGCAAAGCAAACATGAGCTCTTCTCTTTTCTGTTTAAGCCTTCGAATCTCATCAATTCTTTCTTTCTCCTTTCTGTATTTCATCGTGAGAGGCTGCAGCTTATCCCTAAGGTCATCAAGCTCTTTCCGCACCTACAGATTCATAGTTTGAAAAAGCTATATCAACGACTTGTCCCAAAAGAAGATGCTAACAAGCAACAGTTTCAGAACAAACATATTTTGAAAGACCAAAAGCAAGCTTCTCTGTACAAATTTTTCACATTCAATTTTAAATAGTTGTCTACTTTTCTAACCCAATAAGTTTACAAAAAATAATAATTGACCCAATGCATATGGTTGATGAGATTGTTCTGAAAACTATATCATACCTCTACAAGTCGAGCTTTACTGGCTTTATCCTTCTCCCTTTCCAAGGCATGAAGTTCAATTTCCAGCTGCATCCTCTTCCTTTCAAGGTTATCAATCTCTTCAGGTTGACTATCAAGTTGGACTCTCACATTGGCACAAGCTTCATCCACCAAATCAATAGCTTTATCCGGTAAATGCCGACCTAGTTAAACCACACAAAAACCATGTCATGCCAAGAACAAAATTATAACCATAACATCTAATCAAGATTAAGAATCTTAACATACCAGTGATGTAGCGAGCAGACAGCTGAGCAGCATTTATAAGAGCTCTGTCTTGGATACGAACACCATGGTGTCCCTCATACTTCTCTTTGAGCCCTCTAAGAATACTAATAGTGTCAGGCACACTTGGTTCAGCTACATACACTTGTTGAAACCGTCTCTCAAAGGCAGCGTCTTTCTCAACATATTTCCTATATTCTTCAAGCGTGGTAGCACCAATACATCGAAGCTGACCTCTAGCTAACATGGGCTTGAACAGATTCGCTGCATCCATCGACCCTTCAGTTTTGCCAGCACCAAGAACCAAATGAATCTCATCAATAAAGAGAATCACTTTGCCTTCAGCTTCCTCAACCTCTTTCAAAACAGCTTTTAATCTTTCTTCAAACTCTCCTCGGTATTTAGCACCAGCAACTAATGCACCCATGTCCAAAGAAATCAATCTCACATCAGTAAGACTGTTGGGAACATCTCCTTTCACAATCCTTTGTGCTAAACCTTCAACAACAGCTGTTTTCCCAACTCCTGGTTCTCCAATAAGCACTGGATTGTTCTTTGTTCTTCTTGAAAGAATCCTAACAACTCTTCTAATCTCCTCGTCTCTACCAATCACAGGATCAAGCTTCCCTGCTTGCTCAACCAAGTCTCTTCCATAAGTCTTCAAAGCTTGGAAATTTGTATCCCCTGAAGCACTCTCCACTTTCTTCCCTTCTTTACCACGAAGCTTCTCAACCTCAGATTTGATCCTCGCCGTTGCAACACCGACTTCGTTCAACAAATCTCGGATTTGAGAATCTTCTAGAATACCCATGATCAGCTGATCTACAGCCAAGTGAGTGTCACCACGAGACTTTTGAGCAGCTTGAGCACGGCGTATAACCTTGATAAGACTCGAACTCGCTGGAACATCATCTGGTGGTGGTGATTGTGAGGGAAGCTTCTTCAAGGCTTGATTGATCACTCTTTCAGCAGATTGAGCTGCGTTCTCGCCGCCGGCACTAGAGATTGCTTGAGGGAATATTCCGGCGGGATCAGAGATCAAAGCACAGGCTAAATGCAGAGGAGTGATTTGAGCATGTCCTGCGTTTACTGCTAGCTCATGAGCAGCAGCAATTGTCTCGTTTGTCTTGTGCGTGAATTTCTCCGGATTCATCTTCGATTACTAAACTCTGTTCAAATAAACCAAACCAACGTTAATCTCAGCATCTTCCATACACACTCCAAACACAACAATATTATTTCGAGCAAATCGTAAATAGAAACACAGATATGAACACGAACAAGAAAGAACAACAATCAAAAACAGTCTAGGCCATTACCTTAACGATATGAGAAACTGGTGTTTTTCTTCAATGAATCAGAAAACTTCTTCTTCTTCTTCTTAGTAACAAGTCTGTCTTTTCGAGAGAATCAAGCAGATTATCGTGGTGAATATCGTCAATTGAAATCTTCAGAATATTGGAAACTTTGTGAATTGCGAGAGGGCAAGGAGGCAGGAGTTGTATTTTTAAGGGAAGTAGATTCATCTGGAAAATTAGAGAATTATCGTCGTCTCCTCATTACTGGAACCTACTAGAGAATTCCTGACGAGAGAGAAAATCAATTTCACTTTTTGTCATGACAGATATATGCCACGTGAAACTTTCCTTTTTATGGTGCTGTCGTGGATTTATATTTTTTTTTCTATTTGGACCTTCTGAAAATATCTGTACGAAAATGTAAGCCTTCTACAAGTTAAAGGAGTCAAATGAAATTTTCAGAAGTTATAATAACATTAACGTTTATTTAACAAATAGTCCTTCATTTCCTCAGCCATTTTCTTTCCCACCAGATCTCGAGCCTATCATCCTCTGTTCTTCCTCCCTCTGCGCACCGCTTTCTCTCTCTCTCAAAAACTCCATTAATCATCCTCTCTCGATTAATCCCCCTTCTTCAATTTCTTCTCAGACCAATCGTGCTCTCGCTTCCGTCGTGTGGTTCTCTTCCTAAACGTAAGCTATCTTCCATTTCCAAGGCTTGTGTTGTGTCCATCTCAAAGATTGATAAACCCAATTGTTCACATTCTTATTGTATAAACGTTACCAAGATTAATTTGGATATGATCGTGTAGCTTTAGATTGCGATTCAGAAATTTTAGGAAACGGAACCTTTGCATGGAATGGTCACGGTGATAGAAAATCCTAATTTTGGTGGCACTTTGTGACTCTCAGAACCTCCCTTGGATTGAAGAAAACACAGTTTTTTTTAGTGTTACATGCCAATCCTGTAGTAGCTGAATCGAGTTTCTGTTTGATCTTTGTACAGACGAACTATCTTTGTGTGTCAATCAAAATTACGATGACGGGTACTGAAAAGGATGTAGAGAATAAAGACTATCGTCTGCCTCGTGAAGTAAAGGAAGCTCTACAAGCAATAGCATCAGAGTGGGAAGATGTAATTGATTCGAAGGCTCTGCTTGTTATCCCTTTGAAAGGTGCTATGACCAATGAGGTCTTTCAGATCAAATGGCCAACTAGGGAAAATGGACCTTCGCGTAAGGTTCTGGTTAGGATTTATGGTGAAGGTGTTGATATTTTCTTTGACCGTGAGGATGAGATCAGTACTTTTGAGTTCATGTCAAAGCATGGTCATGGACCATTGTTGTTAGGCCGGTTTGGCAATGGTCGTATCGAAGAGTTCCTCCATGCACGGGTAAATACATATATTTAGCTCATCTTGTGAGTGTCTCTCTAGCTTATTCTTTGACATGCCATTTGTTCCATTCCCTGGTAGTTCTTGTGGATCTTTGTATGTTTGCTTACTGAATTTATAACTTGTTTGTTAAACGATGAACTTTCAGACACTATCTGCTTCTGACTTGCGTGATCCTGAAATATCTGGTCGCATAGCAACTAGGATGAAGGAGTTTCACGGTCTTGAAATGCCTGGTGTGAAAAGGGCTTTACTTTGGGACAGATTACGGTACATTTCCTTGTTTTCTGCTTGTAATCTTCTCTGCTTTTCTAATACACCATTAATTTTTGAGTCTTTTTTAATCTCTTTCTCTCCGGTGTGTGACTTTAGGAATTGGCTCAGTGCATGCAAGAAGCTGGCTTCACCAGAAGAAGCTAAGTCCTTTCGTCTAGATGTTATGGAGTTGGAAATTATTTTGCTTGAGAAGTCTCTGTTTAAGAATGATGAAAATATTGGATTCTGCCACAATGATTTACAATATGGAAACATAATGATGGATGAAGAAACCAAAGCAATAACCATCATTGTGAGTTTTCATTATTTTTTTATTAAGTTATCATTTTTTTGTTGTGCAGCATTACTAGAATGTGGATCCTAACTCGGATTCTATTATTTCTTCTTACAAAAACTAGGATTATGAATATTCATGTTACAATCCTGTGGCTTACGACATTGCCAATCACTTCTGCGAGATGGCTGCCGATTACCACACTGAAACACCTCACATCATGGATTACAGTAAATACCCTGGTGAGTGATTGTATCAAGTAATCTTTATTTATCTTCTGAAGTGATGAAACATGGTTCATATATATTAATATGCGACTTGAATAAATAGGTGTGGAAGAGCGTCAACTATTTCTGAAAGCGTATATGAGTTCTTCAGGTGATTATTTTAGCACACCCTCTTTCTCTATGAGCTTCCGCAATAATTTAGAATATGATCTTAATTCTAAATTATTTTTGTTCTTTTGTGCCCAGGTGAAGAAGAGCCCAATGATACAATGGTGGAAAAACTCCTTGAAGATGTTGAGAAATATACACTTGCCAGTCATCTAACTTGGGGTTTATGGGGAATTATATCGGTATGTTTACTATAATCTTCTATCATACCTGCACATTGTGTGTGCACATATATGGTTTTGATTTTGATTTTGTAAAACTGTAGGAACATGTGAATGAAATCGACTTCGACTACATGGAATACGCAAGACAAAGGTTTGAGCAGTATTGGTTAACAAAGCCGAAGCTCCTTGCTTAATTTAACTGGACCCAACCCAAGAAATTTTTTTTTTTTGGTTGACGGTGGTTAAGAGGTATACATATACGCAAAAGTTACTGAATATAAAAATGTAACATTTAGTGTTTTAATTTAACGGTGAGTGGTTTATAGTTTACAACTAAATTTGTTTTAGATTTTTTTCCATCAATCTACTTAACCTTCTACTTTAATCCTTTTTTTTTTCTTAATCCTCTTGAGATCGTCTGAGCTCTTCTCATAGTTTAAGCATGTATGTAAATCAGAAAGAAAAAAAAAATGAATTATCAAAGAAGATGGTTCTAAATTTTGATTATACAATTGGATAAATCTTTTCATCTGTTATACAACTGGACTTTAAGCACACAGCTTTGTTCATATATGTGCCTATAGAATGCTTATGATAATCTACGAACTGAGCTCTATACATTATTGCCTCTGAACTGAATAGGCTCGCAAAAGGTGTACCTCATAATTTCAGAAAAAATAAATCAAACAAAATTAACAACAAAAAAATAATGCTTTACGAGCTAATTATCTATTTGCTTGATAACCATAGGTCCTGCACTCTTTTCTCCATCTCCTTGTGAGGTTTGTGATGTGATGGCCAGAGAAGTTTACAGTAACAATAACTTCACTTCCCCTGTTTTTTATCTGCAAGTGTCAAAAAGCCAACACATTTACTTTTCATTTTTCGAATTTTCTTACTCGATACATAAAAAAGCATGGAGGTCTGAACTGGACAAGTTACAATTCAGTTGAGAAAAAATACAAATATTTTGTTGTTTGTCTTGGACTTCATCGCAAAAGATGAACGTCTTTGCTCAACAAGTTTGGTTAGTTGAGCGACAAAAAGATGCAACAGTCCTATTTGTAAAAGAGAAGAACCGAGACACAATGAAGGATAGTCAGTTAAAGCTATCTCGACTTTACCTTTCTGGAACCACGGTTTTCGAACTAGCTTTCGGATGCGGCTTTCATGCCGTTCCAATAGTTCATCAACTCCATAAGATTGAGACAACAAAGGGTCCGAGAATTCGATCTTGTCCCCATCACCCTGTCACAGCTTAAATTATCAGCATCATTAAGCATGCTTGTCTACAAACCCAAAAAGGAGACAAACCAAATCATGCCTACTTTTTTCTCTTTCCTCTGAACTTTAGGTAAAAGCGTGGAGGGAGAGAGAAGGAAAAAATAAACTTAAACAGCTGAGCAAACATGATCTGAATAGAACGGTAACCTGGTCCTTTCTTTCTACCCTTTTGAGCTGTATATCCCATTTAGACCATATCTTATACATATGTATATTGTATTATATAATATTTCCTGTGATCTCCAAATTCACTTAGATACATACCTATAACAGCAGTAGCTCAATCATATCTTTAAAATTACTTTCATTTTTCCTAATACACAGAATTTTGATGATAGCATTACAGCATAAGAAAAAGTGAAGCCATGTTCTTAGTTTCACTTGAAGAACGTCTCGCACAAAGTATATATTTGGTCTTTACTATGTCTATCAAAAGCAGTAAACTGCCATGGAAACAATGCAAACAACGAGAATCTATATAGAATATGGATATCAAAGAAACTAGAAAGGTACTTTAATAGCTTCTATAATCTACGGACATACCAAATTATTACCCAGCTTGGTCGCCATTTCATCTCTCTGATAGAGTCCCAATGACAGTTCCTGCGAGTGATACTCGTCAGATGCACCAAAAGAATCTGGACGTTCAAGTTGTCTCCACTGCTTCAGCATAGAACGCTTCACCATCTCATATGAGTCCTGGCCTCGAGAATCTGTCTTGTTATTCTCACGTTTGTCATCATTCATATTCTCATTTATCTTTGATTCAGCGTCACTTTTCCCATTAAAAGCGGGAGAATGTCCAGAAAGATTAGGGATGTGTCCTCTTGAGAGAGAACGATTATGTACCCTAACACATACATCATCTTTTTCTCGTTTCGCCCAAGCAAAACTGCTTGATAGAGAAACTTGTAATGGCCCTGAGAAAGGTACATCTCCTTGGGATGCATTCTTCACATGGGAAGCTTCATCTTTCTTGTGATTTGATGGGTTTTGCAGTTTCCCACATACCCGGGCATCACTTTCAATCGAATTATGAACTAGATTGCCAATTCTTTTCTGAAAAGTCCCAGTCTGGTGCCGCACATCCTGCAAACACCAAAAGAGGGCACCATTGAGTTTCCTGCACAAGGAATTACAGATGAGAGGTAGACAAGAGAGTAAGTAGAAAGCACCTCAGCTGGTGCTAATTTATTGAATGTAAGAGCCTTCCGTGTTGGCTTCCTCGCTTCTATACCACGTCTCCCATTCCCGCTAATTTTTTTCCTGAAAATCGGACATCATCACGTATGAGGATGTTAAAAATGCTTCCAAGACCTGACCTGTAAGGCCAACTAAAGTGGTAGACTAGGTAATTTCCCCGAGCTGTGGAACAGTAGATTGTGTGTTTCACCCTTTATTTTTTGGTTAAAGATGATATGGCCATGACCTATAATTTTCTCTACTAAGAAATGAAAAAAGAAATCATTACCTTGTTGCTTCTTCCCGATGCTTTGTATCTATCTCCTTGCTAGGCGGGTAGATTGGCAAGCTTGAGGGATCACAAGCAAAAGGCTTTGTAGTAAAATACTGAAAAAAGTAAACGAATGTCTTCATTTGTAAAAGATGAGCAAAATACAGTAATATGGGTTTTTTTTTTACGGAAGTCAAATTCTTCAAACTCGATGATGTAGCACTAATGCAAAGATAAAAAGATTACCTGAGAAACAAGAGCACTAGAGGCAGTACCGCGTTTGTGGGGCTCTATAGAAAGAAGAGTTTCTATCAGATTGATTTCAGTCTCAGACAAATCTTTCAAGGTTTCCCGGAGACAACTGTCATAATTTTGCTGTGGCTTGAAAAGCATTGCATGAGGAAGTTTGGACTTTTTCCAGTAATCTGCTGGTGGAGATCCACAGAGTTTGAATATCTTGTGCAGTTGTTCAACCTGTTCCATACAATTCAAGTAATAGCACTTTTTCATCAAGTAAAACAGAACACATCCATGATTAAAGAGGTCCAATATCATAAATAAAAACCTTTACTTACCTCAGTTCTTCCCCGGAGAATAGGTTTTCCAAGAAGCAGTTCAGCGAAAACACAACCAACACTCCACAAATCAACAGATGCTCCATAGTCCGTTGCCCCAAGTAAAAGTTCAGGTGGACGATACCACAGAGTCACAACTCGACTAGTAAGAGGTTTCTTCTTGTGCCCAGAAGAATTGCTGAAGTTTGCTAACCCAAAATCAGCCACCTTTAGTATTCCTTCATTACTCAACAAAAGATTCGAACCTTTTATGTCCCGATGCATCACGCCTCGGGAATGACAATGATCAAGCCCAGACAACAGCTGCTTCATGTAGCACTTAATCTGCAGGTGCAAAATCAATGATCATCCAAACCAAAATACATAGGGAAACCTGTGGATGATGATTCTTCCACAAAGAAAACTAGGACGAACCTGTGGCGTCGTGAATTTGATGTCAGGGGAAGAAAGAAGACCAGTGAGATCATGCTCCATATACTCGAACACGAGTTGTATGGTGCAAGATAGTTTGGAAGTAATCAAACCTTGCAGTTTAATAATGTTGGGATGATTGAGTCTTCTAAGTATCAAAATCTCTCTCGCCATAAACTTAACACTCTCTGGCTCAAAATTGTCGAACCTCACCTTCTTCAATGCCACAATCCTCCCAGTTTCAGTCTCCACCGCACGGAAAACGCTGCTATAAGTACCTTGTCCGATCTACAGAACCCAATTCTAAAATTTCACTACTTCTTCATTTCCATTGGCAACATTCGTATAATACACAGAGAAGTATAAATCTTAAGAGTTAGGAGACGAAACCTTTTCGAGCTTTTCGAAAGCATCAGATCGAAGTGGGACCCAACCGTGGATAGCTTCACCAGCGACGTTGCTCAGCCACGCAGGCCAGCCAGCAGCGACCTGCTCGGCTTCAAGGTATTTGCTGAGGTTACCGAGTCGGAAACTCAGGGACTCGCTAACACGTCCTGACTCGCTTAACTCGCTCCCCAACTCACCTCCGCTTCTCTGGCTCCTCCTCCCGCTCTTACTCCTCCTCCACGACACGAGCTTCTTCAGAGTCGCGCGAGGCGGATCCTCAACCACTACTCGACCCGATCCGGAACACTCATTGTCATTGTCCCTGAAGACGCCTGAGTGATCGATTGCAGGCGTCACAGAGACCGTCTGCTTCGAGCTAACGCAACCCATTTACAGAATTTCGAACCTATCAATCACCACCACAATCACTTGGAGCTAAATCTCCTCCCGCCGACTTTCTTCCGGCGCCGACACCAGAAGATCCGTCGACGTAATCCGGATTCGGATTCGAGTGAATCTCCTGAAAGTAGTGAAACAAACTCTGAGGTTTCGTGTTTTTATAATGAGATATAGAGAGAATTTAGAGAATGTTTTTAGACTATTTGATTTTTGGCGTATTATTACGGATGACGGTACATTTTTTAAAAAAGAGTTATGCATTTATTAAGAGATTAGAAAAATAAAAGGAAATTCAAAAGAAAACATGCATTTATTATTCTGGTCCAATATCGAATCTGCACCTTCCAATTCTGAAACCCCATTTTAGCATGTAGTTAATGACAGCTTTTTCGTTGAAATGAATAGTATGCTACACAAATATGGAAGAACATTATTGAAAAAATTGAAATAGTATTAAAGCGTGTGGAGAAAAAATGAAGACAGGAAACTATATTGGTTGTATTAATCAAGTTTTTTGGTCTCTAGTCAGTACACGCGAATGGCTATTATTGAATTATTAATTGTGCGAAGGTGACTTGAAATGATTATCCATAAGCACTGAGAAGTATCTGACTAATAAGTAAGATTTAAAAAGCTAAAACTATGATTAAATTTGCTTAAGATAAGTCAAAACAAATTCATTACAGAGACACATAATAATTGCAAAGAGTCACTTGTGTCTCAAATGCTTTGCCAGCTATTAGCCTATGATGACTACTACTATTTATCATAATACTATTTCTTTTTCTCAACATTCAAAAGCAGTAATTTTAGGTATTTTGTTAGAAGGATTTCTTTTTTGGGGGTCAAATTTGCTAAAGAAATTTAAGGTAACTTTCACACGAGTAATTTTCTTACAAACCATTGACAATTAGTGAGTCAGACTAAGGTTATGATTCTTATGATTCTTATGATTCTTATGATTAACCTTTATTTTAGTAATTTGATGATTTTATCTATCATTTTGTCACTAAAAGACGAAAATAAATAGAACCAAAAAAAAGTCGGCAACTACCCAACTGCAAAAAATACAAAAGACCAAAAAAAGAAAAACAGTAGTCACATATATTCAAAAACGCTATCATTCAAAAGAATGAAAACTCCAAAACCCAAATCATTATTATCTTCTGAAAAGATTTTTAGTTAAACTGTTGGTGAGCCTAAAATCCATCATAACATACTGCTATTAATGCTAATCAGATTAATAAGAGAATTAAATTGGCAAATATCCCAAAAAAAAACTTTATAGATAATATGTCCTTGCGTATTCAACAAATGGGGTCTCGTACGGTTTAACTACACCATTTAAAGTTAAGGCCTAAACGTCTCAAAGACAAGGTGGTCCAAAACAAAGTAGGCACAACAGCTTTAGGAACCAAGAACGAAAATTTTATATGGAGGTAAGGTCGAAATCAAGCCTTCTTCTTTTTGGATTTGAGCATGACCATGCCGATGAATACGGAAAGAAGAGAGAGGAGAGTTACACCGGCAAAGACTGGAACGAGAATGGCATAGTCTTGTGGCAAGAAGTACTTGTGGATGAAGTGATCACTATCTACAAATGGCTGCAAAGGAAAATTATAACACGTTAGCATCTTCCTAGTAATAGTCCAAAACATTAGATGACAATAATACATTAAACTAACAATGTATTTTTTTAAAGGAATTTGGAGAAGATGAATCATGTTATTGTCACTTACCAGGATGATGACCCAGAAAGTATAGTAGGTGAATATGGATAAGCTGATTGACGACAATAAAAGCCCGACTGCTCGATCCGCTAATTCCATTTGTCACGTTCACTACCTGATGCACAGCGAAATTAGCTGTGAGAAAATACCAGAAAGATTCAAGAAGCTTAAGCGTTGAAGGACACAGTCAAAAGTGAAGAAAGTTATGATTGTGAATGCCGCCGAAACAATTTCACCTAGAATTTTCCCACAGACACAGGTAATGCCACGGTTTTAGATTCTGAGGGTAAGTTTACTCTGCTACTGAAGACGGCCGCTCGGAATAAAAACAGCCGAAGAACAATAATCACCGAACCTTAGATTTTCTAAACATCAGATACATGAAGCTCTAAAATAACGAATCATTGTTTGACCTAGAAACATATCAGCAACTTGAAGGACTCTTGTAGTGGAGAGAAACTCATCATCTCCAGGCTCCAAAATCAATGGCTTGAAGTGATATTTGACCTATATAGAGATCTTTGAGGTGTTGCTTACACAGCCCTATTCTCCTTCCGTTTAAGCTAGAAGGAATGCAAACAGAAAATCCAGTTTTCCAACCAGGAAACTTCTGTCTTTCCATTGCATGTAGAGTATAAACAGCAGGTGCAGCCATCGAGCAACCAGTTACGAAGCAATTGCAAGGCCTTGATTCGCTCACTATTCGAGCTAAAGACAATAAACATAAACCACTATTGGAAATACCGTACGTTAGGTGCTCATCCCTGTCAGAAGCTGGAGAATCAAGTTTCTCGTGTTGTATTTCCTGTTCTATATCTTCAGCAGAGGGAATCGTGCTCAGTTCTAAATCAAGGCGTTTCTCTATTTCATTTTCATGTATTCGATATTTTGATGCCAAGGTACGGATGCATGACTTTCTGATCTGATTGTCAATAAGAGCCTTTATCTCATCGAAATTACTACAACCTCCATACCATAACACCCATCGCCGGACAAGTCCTGAGAACCAATCAATTATTTGGGGAGTATCTTGCAAAATAAGCACAGAATTCGTTCGAGCATAACCCTCAGCTGTTACTAATCCATAGCGAAAAAGACGCCTTCTTATCGCATTGGTAGGAGCAACAACATCGCCAAAAAAAACTGGTCTATCATGAGAGAGTGGACATGGCAAGAGCGCTTCTACTTTAGCTGTCTCTGAAGAAACATATGCCGCAGCAGAATTTTGGAACTTGTAAAACGCGTCTCTTAGTTCTTGAGGAATCGTAGGTTCAACGATATGCTTGGACAAGATAAACTCCTCGCTTCTATCTGCAGAGGTTCTTAGCACATCCTCCATCCATATTCTAAGCAAGATCTTATACCAATGATCTGTTTCCATGCCTGGCTTTCTGTGGCAAGATATTTGGCTCAAGGTAGAGTTACTATCCGCCAAGCCTTTGATTTCTGACTCCTTGACTTTCTTCAATCCATGTCCTAACCATTTCTTTCCAATTCTAACTGTACCCAAGGTCCAGGCCTCTTCTTTTTGCAATGCAAAGAGCCTAACCTTCTCCTTTAACTTGTGAACAGCTTTGACAGCGGGATTCTCCCTAACCTTTTTCCTAACCAAGATACCCAAAACACGAAGCCCACTGGTCGTTTCACATGGTGACGAGTCTATTTCATCAGTGATGTCCAAATGCAGTGAGTTCCGTAAGAAACCTATAGCTTCAGATCTGATATCAACAGCGGCTTTCTTGGGACCAGACACAGAGAAAAATATCTCATCCATAAATCTGCAACAATAAACTCGGAGATGCTCCGGAGTACTTTTCAAAACTTGTTCTCCAGCCTGCCTCCTGAACCAGGAACGAAGTTTTGAGCCTGGGCTATCTTCATCAGTCTGTGAATCACGATGAAGGGCTTCATGCCTCATTGAGATTCTATATAATTCATGATCAAACCGATCAAGATATATGTTCATCAATACACGGGACAACAACCCTTCTTGTGGAAGACCATGGCCCTTGGGAAATCCTCCAAACTCGAGATTGAGCACCCGAGCTTCAAACATTGAACGGAGTAAGATGCTTAAACTACTGTCTTCAATTTTCTCCTCCATTACAGAGAGAAGGTTATCAAAAACAGAAACATCCAGTTTTTTGTTCAGGCTCAAAGTGAAACACCAATCAGAATGAGACATATTGCTGCTGATATACTTCAACGCAGATGCACGTCCCCTTCCGCTTCGACAACTATGAGAAAACTTAGAAAAATGAGGACTGAAAACGACTTCCAGGACTATTCTGATAGCCTCTTGGACAACTTTCAGAGCTACACTAGGCAAGACAAGGATCTCTTTTGTTTTATCTCTAGCCACAAGCGAGAACGTATTGGAATTGACATCAAACATCCCACTAGAGAGCTCTTCTGCAATAGAATCAAACGCAACGCTGCCGTTTCTTTCTGTAATGGGAACATTGGAGTTAAGCCTAATACAGTCATAAGCGTCCCGAAGAGTATCAGGCCTCGCAATAACCTTCTTCAGTAAGTCACTAAACTTCCCGTTGGTGTACTGCTCCTTGACTCTTTTCTTTAAACGGAGTTCAAGAGATCTCTTTAGTTCCATACGACTTCTGGGTTTGCTATCATCAACAACATGAGCAGATTCCTCCACGAGACATGCTAACTCCCCAGCTAGTGAAACTATTCCAGTTTGCTTACTACATATGTCTGCGTTGTCTATTGCAAGCAGAGCCGATTTTGAGTTTGTGGAAACTGCGCGACTCCACAGGCACCGCGAAATTAGGGTTTCAATGTCACCGAGATCAACACGACGCAACAATTCCGTAACTAGGTTCCGTTTCCTAAACATCAGGTTAAAATTTCCGAAATCCCAAAACTATAACTAAGCGATTGTATCCCGACTAGGCCAGATAAAGTGTCTACAATAGAATGGGAACAATCAGGTTTAACAATCTCTTTGCTTAATTCGACATACTTTGAGATCGATACCAGAAATGGAAGAAAACTTACGTTTAGAAATGAAACCAGACGAGGAATGCGAAAGCACGATTGGTGTGAGAAGGAAACCGCAGAAGCTTTGCTTGAGAGGGGATTAATGGAGAGAGGTAGAGTACGCGGAGTACAGCGAAATACTTGAGACCGAAAAATCGTGCGAAGAGGGAGGAATAAAGGACTATTTGTTAAATTTGTTTTTTGAGCAAAGGACTATTTTGTTAATAACATATAATACTCCCTCCGTTCTTCCATTCTTATTTATATCACGTTTTATAAGTTTTTTTCTCAAATATTTGATGTTCAAGCAAAATTAATTAACTTCTTATTATATTTAATTTTTTATATTTTTTTCATTGGTTACATTATATTGGAAATGATGAAATTTGAAGTTTCAGTATATGAAAAAGTATAAATTAAATGTTTTCTTAATTTGTATGTAAAATCTTAAACATCATATAATTAAGAATAAAAAATATTATAAATATTTGGACTTCTCAAAATGCGACATGAAACTCATTATGGTATTTTATTTTTTGATCAAATGTCGTGGAACGAAGCATCAAGCATTCCTAAATATTTTGTTGAGACTATCATTTATAATGAATAGGATGTGATGAAAGATTACGGAAGATAACTATCCAAATCCATCCCATTCATTCATCTTCGAAATTGCAGGAGGGAGATTCTACTTTGTGTTTTAACGAACGACGTCGCTTTCATAGTGGCATTTTTTTTAATTCTCTTCGCAGGCTTGTTTGTTGCCTTAAGTTGGTTTGGCATGACCAATGCTGGCTCATTACCATTCACACGTCCTTAGTGTTTGATGTGGACCATCTTTTTTATATCCGAATTTTCCTTGTTTCTTTTTTCCATTCAAATGGTTGGAACACAACTTTTAAATTGGCACCACTTTGAAAAATTTCAGACATTTAGATCATTTTCTTTAGCGAGTTCTAATGTCAGAAGCCACAACATGCATATTTGAAAGAGTAATAAAAGGTTTTAAAACATATGCGGCAATATAAAAAAAATGATGTAGTATCCTAGTATATGATTATTTGAGGGTATTTAAAGCTATATATAAAAAAATCGATGTGGAAACTATCATTTATGTAAAATCTATCTATAAATTCCATAATCACAAATTCACACGTCTACAACTCTAACTTTTGCAGTCTTTTTCCAATGGAGAGGAATAATTTCACAATTGGAAATAAGAAGAATTAGTTATATAGCTTTATATTCTCTGTTTGGAAGAGAATACTAGCCTCTGAATTTTCTAATTTTTGAAAATTTTCAATTGTTGTCACAAAGTGTTATACACTATTCAATTAATTGAGTACTCAAGGTAAAATAATACACGCATTTGACTAATCACGGGAACAATTAAAGAAAAATATTTCTAACAGGAAAATAAATATATAGTACAAAGAAAACAAAGGAATAATAGAGAATTATGAGTTTTCGTCATTGATAATGCTAAAAACACATTGGTCAAAGGACTAAATAAGTCAACTACTGCCGTCCAGATGAATCACATGGGACCCACCATATATTGTTAACCTGTTTAAGAAAAATATCTTATTAACTCTGAAGATTTCAAAGCGGTACAAATTTATTCTCTTTAATCTTCTAAATTTGTTTACACTATACGTTTATTCTATTCAAGCCAAGATTTCTTTCAATGATGTACTTTCGTTAAATTATCAGATATGGCTGTGACTGATAAACTTTTAGCGAACCCTAATTGAGAAGTAAAAGAAAGAGTGAATAAAAAGAAAGTTGTGTAATTTTTTCACTCCACAAACAAAATAAGTGGGAAGATTTACTGAGATCATAGAAATATTTGTTTAGCCCAATTATTTGACTAACAATTTACTGGTTGGCGTAACACAGCATGATATAATTATTTATAGTTCTACTGTAACAACAATGCCTATCAGTCACAAAGTTGGAACTATTCTCTCATAGTCGCCATAGGCATATAACGTAACTTCGATTTACATTATGCATAACTTTTTTTTTGGTTAATTTTTAACTATAATTAATAACTTACCCACTCTGATACGAAGTCAAAATCTTCTAATTGGTCAAGTTAGATGTCTCAGCGCTGCTCACCTATTTTTTGTTCAAGCTAAGTTAAATAAATAAACCCAATCTAATTTCAACGTTTGTAAGCCTACACACAATTTCGATATGTACGTCCTTTTTTTGAACGTCATGCTTCTTTCTATTGTTCTAAATGATATCTAATTTATAAGTGGTTGTTTGAAACTTTGGAAGTTTACATGTAAGATGTTTTAGTATTATAGATTGTGAAATTAAATATTTGATAAATTCTCAATAATTTTTGAAGAATGTTTTAAGAGATTGGTTACGTAATATATACGGTATTTTGGTCAAAATTAAACATATATGATTGAATTCAACTATTTTTTTTTTTTTAAGTTAGTGAGGGAAGAAAGGGGAAAGGAAAAGTCTAATAAATAGGAATAAGCCAATATAATCTGATAGTTCAAAGTTTTCAGTTGGTTGGTCTACGTGCGGGCGGGTTTGTTTTTTTTCAACTTCCCCCTTTTTTTCTCTCTAAACACTTTCCATGAATTTCCATGAAATTCATCTTCCTTCCCCGATAATTTCCCCACCTTGTCGAGGAAAATCGTAGCCGAAGAAGACGACGCTAACGTTATTGGAAGAAGAAGAAGAAAACGAAGAAGAAGAGGAAGTGGAAAGCTGATGAAGATGATGACGCGTGTGATCATGGCGGATGATGATTCTGAGTCACTTACCTTGGTTTATTTCTTACTCTTTGTTTTGATCACCGGTAACTTTTCGCATCTTTTGTTTCCAATTCATGTTTCGTTCAGAGATTTTAGGGAATTACACTGTGTTCTCTGCTTGAGTATGAGTTTCAGTTTCTTTGACGTTTACTTCAATGGGTTTAGGGTTTTAAATTTTTCTGTGTCGAATTCGACGTTGTTTTTTGGGGGTTTCACCATATTTTGTGGTTTATTGTTGTTTACATGAACGTGATTTCGAGAGATGAAGCGCGAGTATCGTAATTTTGGGTTTTTGCATTGTTTGTTGATGAATCGCAGTTCCAGTTTTTCCTCTGTTTGTTCATGTCTTGGTGGTAAAGTGATATGTAGCTATATCTAAAGATTTCGTTTTTTTTTTGTGTTGATTTTTCCTATGGCAGCCATAGCAGTGGCCGGAGATTCACTGGACAGTGATAGAGAAGTCTTATTGAACCTGAAATCTTACCTCGAATCTCGTAACCCAACGAACAGAGGAATCTACACGGAATGGCAAATGGAGAAGCAAGACGATGTGTGTCAATGGCCTGGAATCACATGCACGCCACAGGGAAGCAGAGTCACAGGGATCAATCTAAGTGATTCAACCATCTCAGGTGCTCTGTTTGGGAACTTCTCCGCCTTAACACAGCTCACATATCTCGATTTATCAAGGAACACCATCGAAGGATGGATTCCAGATGACCTGAGCCGTTGTCACAACCTAAAGCATCTGAATCTTTCTCATAACATCCTTGAAGGGGAGCTTAGCTTATCCGGGTTATCAAATCTTGAGGTTCTTGATCTATCGGTGAATAGGATTGCCGGTGATATTCACTCTAGCTTCCCATTGTTCTGCAACAGCCTCGTTGTTGCAAATCTATCGGCCAATAACTTTACTGGCAGAATCGATGACATCTTCAATGGTTGTCGGTATCTGAAGTATGTCGACTTCAGTTCCAACAGATTCAGTGGAGATATATGGAGTGGTTTTGGGAGGCTGGTTCAGTTTTCAGTTTCTGAGAATCATCATCTCTCCGGGAACATCTCAGCTTCCATGTTCAGGGGGAACTGCACTTTGCAAGTCTTGGATTTGTCTGAGAACAGTTTTGTCGGGGAATTTCCAGGCCAAGTTTCGAATTGCCAGAATCTGAATGTACTGAATCTGTGGGGAAACAACTTCACAGGGAACATTCCAGCTGAGTTAGGCTCCATATCCTCTCTTAGAGGTTTGTATTTGGGGAATAATAAATTTTCTCGAGACATACCAGAATCTCTCTTGAACTTGAGCAACTTGGTGTTTTTGGATTTGAGCAGAAATCATTTTGGAGGAGACGTACAAGACATATTCGGGAGATTCACTCAAGTAAAGTATCTAGTCCTGCATGGGAACTCGTACGTTGGTGGCATCTATTCTTCAAACATCCTCAAGTTACCTAATCTTCTCAGGCTAGATCTGAGCTACAACAGCTTCTCTGGCCAGTTGCCTGCTGAAATTTCTCAGATCCAGAGTTTGAAGTTCTTGATTCTTGCTTATAATAACTTCAGCGGTGATATACCACAGGAATATGGGAACATGCCGGGTCTTCAAGCACTTGATCTCTCCTTTAACAAGCTGACCGGTTCGATACCAGCTTCATTTGGAAAATTGACGTCTCTTCTGTGGCTAATGCTTGCAAATAACTCTCTTTCAGGAGAAATCCCTCGAGAGATTGGAAACTGCAAGAGTCTTTTGTGGTTTAACGTGGCAAACAACCAGCTCTCTGGTGGATTCCATCCTGAATTGACTAAAATGGGTAGCAATCCTTTTCCAACGTTTGAAGTGAATAGGCAGAACAAAGACAACATAATTGCAGGTTCCGGTGAATGCTTGGCGATGAAGAGATGGATTCCTGCAGAGTTCCCTCCTTTCAAGTTTGTATATGCAATTCTCACAAAAAAGAGTTGCAGAAGCCTATGGGACCATGTTCTTAAAGGGTACGGTCTCTTTCCTGTTTGCTCTGCTGGTTCCACAGTACGCACGCTTGATATTTCAGCCTATCTTCAGCTCAGTGGAAACAGGCTATCCGGTGAGGTACCTGCAAATATCTCTCTGATGAAGAAGTTGAGTACTCTTCATTTGGGGTTCAATGAGTTCGAAGGGAAACTGCCTACAGGGATTGGGGAGTTGCCTCTCGCATTTCTCAACCTGACCCGAAACCATTTCTCAGGCCAGATTCCTCAAGAAATCGGAAATCTCAAGTGTCTGCAGAATCTTGATCTGTCCTACAACAATTTCTCAGGAGATTTTCCGACAAGTTTGAATGACTTGAATGAGATGAGCAAGTTCAATATCTCATATAACTCCTTAATCTCTGGTGTGATACCGTCGACGGGACAATTAACAACCTTTGAAAAAGACTCCTTTCTTGGAAATCCGCTGCTGCGGTTTCCTAGTTTCTTCAACCAATCAGGGAACAACAACACGAGGAATCAGATTTCCAAACAAAATCTAGGAAACAGGCAAAGAACTATTCTTTTGGTTTGGATTTCCTCAGCTCTTGCATTGGCATTTATCGCTTGTTTAGTGGTATCAGGTATTATTCTCATGGTTGTAAAGCGTTCAAGGGAAGCGGAAATCGATCTCTTAGATGGATCCAAAACCAGACATGACATGACTTCCAGCTCAGGCGGATCATCTCCATGGCTGTCAGGGAAAATCAAAGTCATTCGCTTAGATAAATCAACATTCACATACACTGACATTCTGAAAGCAACCAGTAACTTCTCTGAGGATAGAGTCGTAGGTAGGGGAGGATATGGAACTGTTTACAGAGGCGTATTGCCTGACGGAAGAGAAGTTGCAGTCAAGAAGCTACAAAGAGAAGGCACAGAAGCAGAGAAAGAGTTCAGAGCCGAAATGGAAGTTCTAAGTGCCAACGCATTTGGCGATTGGGCACACCCGAACCTCGTGAGGCTATACGGATGGTGCCTAGATAGATCAGAGAAAATTTTGGTGCATGAATACATGGGAGGAGGGAGCTTAGAGGAACTCATCACAGACAAAACAAAACTTCCATGGAAGAAACGTGTTGATATAGCCACTGATGTAGCGCGGGCATTAGTGTTTTTGCACCACGAATGCTACCCTTCCATCGTTCACAGAGACGTGAAAGCAAGTAACGTTCTTTTAGACAAACACGGAAATGCGAGAGTTACAGACTTTGGACTAGCAAGGCTCTTGAATGTAGGAGATAGCCATGTGAGCACTGTGATTGCCGGCACAATTGGGTATGTAGCTCCCGAGTATGGTCAAACTTGGCAAGCCACCACAAGAGGAGATGTTTACAGCTATGGAGTATTGACAATGGAACTCGCTACAGGCAGAAGAGCAGTTGATGGAGGAGAAGAGTGTTTGGTCGAGTGGGCAAGACGGGTAATGACAAGTAACATGACAACCAAAGGTTCACCATTTACTCTCTCGGGGACAAAACCAGGGAACGGAGCTGAGGAACTAACCGAGTTACTAAAAGTGGGTGTGACATGTACCGCGGATCATCCTCAGGCAAGACCGAACATGAAAGAAGTCCTAGCTATCTTAGTTAAGATATCCGGTAAAGCTGAGCTCTTCAATGGTTTGTCTTCACCAGATTACAGAGAAATGTAAAATCTTTCTTTCTTCATTCAGATTTATACAGAACAGCAGAGTTTTATATCTTCCTCTTTTTGTTATCATTGTTTCTAATTCTTCTTGTACACAGAACCTTATTGTTGTTAGATAGCTAGAGAGAGAGAGAGAAAGGTAGTTTTGTTCGTTATGTACAGAGAGACAATTTGAAATAAAGATCTTCTCTTCTTCTTGTCTACATTAACTGTAACAACTTTGGCTCTATAATTCATTCTCTCATGTGTCTTACAACTCAGGAAACAAAAAGGAACAAAGAGACATTCCACTGAGTTAGGCTGAAATCTCTCTGATCAGCCAGTTTAACGTCGGGAAAGCGAAATAGAGGATGAGAAACGACGGGACAGCCAAAGCAAAGGTGACAAAGAAATAGAGTCCGAGAACTGCAGCACTCACAGGGATTGCATATAAAGCCATCAACAGGAATATGACTACCAAAGGAAACTTAGCCAACAAATGAGCAACAAGAGCCATTGACTTACATACCGAGTCATGAAGTCTCCCAGTTCTGAAGTATCCTCTGGTCACAACATTCCACCAACCGCGATTGTTCAGCAAATGTTCATCATCTGAGGCGGTATTACTCTCCCCGTCACACCTCTTACTCAAATCTCTCTGCCCTGAAGTGACCCTTTTGTTGTCGGATCTACAGCTATTCATGCTTTCAACCATCCATAGTAGGTAATAGTTCTTGGAAGGGAATTTGATGGTTCCATTGCAGACTAGCCTCAACGAGAGTAAATTGCACCAAGGGCAAGCAACGAAGAAGGGAAGCTGGAAAGGTAAAGCTGAGGATTTGATCACAACAGCACGTTGAAGCCCTAAGAGACAATACTTGCAGATGGTATGACCACACCATAAGACGTATGGCACATTCTCAACGACGTTGAATGATTCCCAGCAAATGGGACACTCCAATCTTTCTTCCTTCGTTGTCTTTCTTCCATCTCCAGAGGGATCTAAAGGAGCTTTTCTAGATTTTGTGGCAGCATCTTCTCCCTTTGATTTAAAGCTTTCTTTGGTGGATTTTGAAGCTAAATTCCACATAACAATGGCGAGAGGGAGAAAACAGATTCCTTTTCGTTTCCTCAAAGGTAATAACAACTCAATCCTTCAAAGAAACAAAAATCAAATTGAGAAAACTTAATAATGACTTCATTTCAAATGAGAGAGCGATGCTAAGCCAAAATTCATATAAACAGACATGAAATTCATAATTCAAACCTACAGAGATTCAACCCAGAACATTCAAAAAAAGCAACGAACTTTATGAAACCCAAGAAATCATTAACTGAAACAAAGTAAAAGAGGACGAAACATACCACGAAGAATTCAAAGAGAAATATCTCTAGAGTTGCAGAATTTTTTTTTTTTTTTTTGGGGTCAGAAGTTATCCAATCGAAGAAGATGAAGATAATTTGCAAAGAAATATCCAAAACTCTCTATTGCAACATCGACTGAATGCGACACGCGTCGTAAAACATGGTGACTCTGAAAACGCATTTCGAGGTTCCCGCCGCCACCGATTTCCTCATCTTATTCCGACGCTGTTTGGTTCGCCAAAACGCACCGTTTCATTTTCACTCATATTATACCGCCAACGAAAACTGTTTCCGTTATCCCTCCGTCACTGAAATTTAATAAAACTAAATTACAATTACATTCCCACTTACGAAAATAATAATAGTAATATTTTGTCGGTGTGAGTGAGCTGTACGCGTTTCTTCTCCATCTGCTTCTAGATCGAGCGAAGCATTTTCCTCCGACAATTATATTTTTAAGTATGACAATGTTTCCGCATTATTGGGTTTAATTTTACTTTTTAAATTAGGGTTCTTCAGATCGACAATCTTTTCTCTCTCTCTCTCTTTCCCATCGGAATCAATCATGCTAAAGATCTGAAATTTCCTCAGATCCGTGAGCAAGTACAGAGAGAGAAAACTACACAGACTGTGTTGAAGAATTCAAAAAGATAAAAAAAAACCCCAATTTTGATGGTCGCAAATCTTTAAGTGAAATCTAGAGAGAGGGAGAGAGAAAAAATGGGTCAAGATGGTTCGCCGGCGCATAAAAGACCCTCCGGAAGCGGCGGAGGACTTCCGACGTCGACGGTAGCGAACGGCGGAGGAAGGGGCGGTCGTGGTTTGTTGCCACGAGGCAGGCAGATGCAGAAGACGTTCAACAACATCAAGATCACGATTCTCTGTGGATTCGTCACCATCCTCGTCCTACGTGGCACAATCGGCGTCGGAAACCTCGGAAGCTCCAGCGCCGATGCGGTTAACCAGAACATCATCGAGGAGACTAACCGGATTCTAGCTGAGATCCGATCTGATTCGGATCCTACCGACTTGGATGAGCCTCAGGAAACGGATATGAATCCCAATGCGACGTACGCTCTAGGGCCAAAGATCACGAATTGGGACAGTCAACGCAAGGTATGGCTTAATCAGAACCCTGAGTTTCCTAGTACTGTCAATGGCAGAGCTCGAATCTTGCTCTTAACAGGGTCTCCTCCAAAGCCCTGCGATAACCCGATTGGTGACCACTATCTGTTGAAATCCGTGAAGAACAAGATTGATTACTGTAGGCTTCACGGGATTGAGATTGTGTATAACATGGCTCATTTGGATAAGGAACTTGCTGGGTATTGGGCGAAATTGCCGATGATTAGAAGGTTGATGCTTTCTCATCCTGAAGTTGAATGGATCTGGTGGATGGATAGTGACGCTTTGTTCACTGACATACTGTTTCAGATCCCTTTGGCTAGGTACGAGAAGCACAATCTAGTGATTCATGGCTATCCGGATTTGTTGTTTGATCAAAAGTCTTGGATTGCTTTGAACACGGGTAGTTTTCTGCTGAGAAATTGTCAGTGGTCATTGGATTTGTTGGATGCTTGGGCGCCTATGGGACCTAAAGGGCCAATCCGTGATGAGGCTGGGAAGGTATTGACGGCTTATCTGAAAGGAAGGCCGGCTTTTGAGGCAGATGATCAGTCTGCATTGATCTATCTCTTGCTTTCTCAGAAAGATACATGGATGGAGAAAGTGTTTGTGGAGAATCAGTACTATCTACACGGGTTTTGGGAAGGTTTGGTTGATAGGTATGAGGAGATGGTAGAGAAGTATCATCCAGGCTTGGGTGATGAGAGATGGCCGTTTGTTACCCATTTTGTTGGGTGCAAACCGTGTGGTAGCTACGCTGATTATGCAGTCGAGAGGTGCTTGAAGAGCATGGAGAGGGCCTTTAATTTTGCAGACAATCAAGTGCTCAAGCTGTATGGTTTTGGCCATAGGGGATTGTTAAGCCCCAAGATTAAGAGGATCAGAAATGAGACTGTGACTCCTTTGGAGTTTGTAGACAAGTTTGATATTCGCAGAACGCAAGCGGAAACCAAACCGCAGAACTAGAGGAAAACAAAGAGAGGATAGTCACAGGCTCTCGTGGACACGTATAGGTAAAATATATGACAACTCACAAATGCAAAGCAAATTTGTTTGCCTGTACTTGCTACTTTACTGTTTCTTCTGCTTCTTCTTTTTTTGTTGTTGTTTGCAAGAATATTTTAGCTGCAAAATTCTTTTTCCATAGATGTTTTTGTGTTTTCTTCAGTCAAATATATGGAGAATTTTCATACTTTATTATTGCTCGTAACTACTGTATTCAAGTCTGACATTTGAACTTGTTGGCAACTACTAACTTCGGAAGAAAAGTTAACGGATCCATGATTGTGGAATCAGATGATTGTTACATTACAAGTTTGTTGTAACTATTGATCGGTACAAGACAGATCAGTTTAGATACTAACTTCCTCTATCGTAGCTACTGATCGCTCACCAACTACCAGATCCTAAGATTTCCGTACAAATTGAGAATGACAAAAGTGACTAACTGACTGACCAGGAAGAGACAGGCTGTTCTTGGGTGGATCATTTCTTCAGGTGGATTATCAACTTTTTGGCTGCTAGACGTATCCCTGCCATTTTCTGATAATCATAAGGCTCGAGTGACAAGTATGCATCAACCAGGGTACCGGGAAGTAAAGCTGACTCAAGCTTTTCAAACTCATCGCTACTGAAATTGAGCTTTTGAATGGTTTCCAACGGTTCTTCTTTCTGGTATACCTCTGTTCCATATCTGGCATCATCTCCATTCGATTCTGAGCTTATTCTGTCAACCAGATAAGCATGAATTCAGAGGTTAGGGACACTCAGCAAATTCGTTTTCGTATGTAAAGGTTAGAGAGAAGTCAAAACTTACTGCAATCTGGCTGTGGGATAATTGGCAAAGCCTTCTTTCCTCATAACGGTAGGCCTCCAATCTGAGCTTGTGCCTGAGTCAATCAACAAATTATGTGCAACATCATCGGATGCGTCCAAGATCTTGCATAAACCAGGAGGCACGTCGACAACAATATTCAACCTTGGACGACCTGCATGATCCACAAACTTCCGGCTTATTCCAAACCGAACTTTCAAGCTATCCCAATAGAGTTGCAGAGGGGAATCGTTGTGAAACAGCTTCATTCTCAGGCTCCCACGATAAGACGGGGTAAGACTTGCCCTGATGCTAGAAACAGATACTTCATCAACGCCCAAATAAATTTTATCTTTGGCGTCGGGATTGGGTGATGGAGTTGACTCATCCTCCTGTCTTGTTGTAGTTTCTGCATCTGTCTCGGGAGTTTCAATGTGTAGTTTACTTATCAAAGTGGTTATATCACACGGATTAATTTCGCAACAAGATATATCATTTTCTGAGCATTCTGTGAGGAGAGCAACGATGGGATGGTTTTCTTTGGCTGTGGCATCCACAGAAGACAAACTCGGATCAGTATTAGGGCTCGAGGTCGAGGAGGAGGAAGACGAGCTTTCTTTGACTCCATTAGGCAATGACTTCTCATTACTTCGCGTTCTTGGACTTTTCCTTGGGGAAAACCAGCTCATTTCTGTTAGAATGTCAGGAACACTGGCCTCCTGCAAACACCAAGTACGCAACTTTTTTAAGTCACGAAGTGATTTTCTGATGGACTCAGCTTTTGTAAACTTTAGACAAAAGTCAGATATGTCTCAACCCTCTCTAATACTTAAATTAAGGGTTATCCTTAATCAAGAAATGAGAAGACGGCGTTACCAGGAACAAGACAGTTGCACAGGACTTGACAACTTCAAGATTCATCCGGACATCATCTAAGCTCCTGGTGAATCATATCCATGTTTAGTCCCGTACGTATTGAAACAACTGGTGAATTGCTAAAAGGCTTCATATTCAAACGGATTAGTTTTACCTGTGTGCCTGATCTCCTAGCGCGAAGTATGTAGCAAGTGATGCCATCTACATCAGTTAAAAGGAGAAAACTTTAGGTACTTTGGTGAATCGTTGAGTTTCACAAGGTAGTTCATATCCAAGGAAGATAACAAGGAAGCTACAGGCTTGAGATTATCAATGAGAGGAAGAGAATAGAGAGACCTTCATGTCCCCAGCTCTCTTCCCAAACTTCTGAGACAACAACGAAAGCGAATCGATTGTAGCTTTCGGCTCCGGCGGATATTGACCAATGTCTGCAAATGCTTCTTTAATTCTTACACAATCGAATCTCCTTATGTTATGTCCCGCCCAAATTCTTCCTACAGAAACACCAAAATCAACACTTACAGAAGAGAGCACAGAGAAAAAGAGAGAGAGAGAGGAAGAAACACCTTACCGTGGAGAATGTCGTAGACTTCATCGGCGATTTCGGAGAATGTGGGTGCAGAGAGGACATCGTCGCGCGTGATGCCGCTTCGCCGCTTCGAGAGCGTTTCGATAAGAGAAAGATCGGTGGGTCGAACCAAGGTGGAGTAACTGTAGAGCTCCACTAGCTTCCTAGGGCAAACTAAGATAGCCCCAAACTCCAAAATAGCGAAAGGCTGTCCCGATTTGGTCGGAACCGCCACTTCAAGGTCAAAGAAAGCTATCTCGCTTCTCTCGTCGCCTCCCGGAGTCAAAGCCATAGTCTTGAGAACGCAGTCAAGTGGACGATAATCAAATTAGTGGGTTTTAAAGCGTGTGAACCTCACGCACCACCCTCCTTATTAGCTTTTCTCCTCTCTTTTTTTTTCCTCATTTTACGATAAAGCCTCAAGCTTTAAACCCCAGACCCGACTGTATGTTGCGTCATTTTTTGTCTGTGAAGCCTCTTGGATTGATCAACAAATCAGATTCCTTTTTTCTACATTATTATCATACGAAATCGCTTAAATCTAACCACACCTTGAAGCATCATCTTGAATCAGGGGAGCCAATCAAAGCACTCTTGAATTTTCGGCATCGATTCAGAGAAAGTCCTAGTTTCATAGACAGTTTCTCTGTCTTGTTTGCCATCAAAGCTTCATCAGCTCAGAAAGCTCCCTCATTTGTGGGCAAACAGATCCACGCTCTTGTAAGAAAACTAGGGCTCCATAGTATAATCCAAATCCAAACATCCCTTATCGGGTTTTACTCTGCGGCAGGTGATCTCGCTGATGCACGCCAAGTGTTTGACGAAACGCCTGAGAAACAAAACGTCGTCTTGTGGACGGCTATGATAGCTGCTTACACTGAGAACGAGAACCATGTGGAAGCCATTGAGCTCTTTAAACGAATGGAAGCAGAAAAGACCGAACTTGATGAAGTTATTGTGACTGTGGCTTTATCGGCTTGTGCTGGTCTCGGGGCGGTGCAGATGGGAGAACAGATTTACTCACGCAGCATCAAGAGAAAACGGAGGTTGGCTATGGATTTAACTCTCAGAAACTCGCTTCTTAACATGTACGTAAAATCTGGGGATATTGAGAAAGCGAGGAAACTCTTTGATGGAACTTTGAGAAAAGATGTGACTACTTACACATCTATGATCGTCGGGTATGCTTTGAACGGTCAAGCTCAAGAATCTTTAGAACTCTTCAAGAAAATGAAGACGATTGGTCAGAGTCAAGATTCATCGGTTACTCCAAATGATGTAACTTTCATCGGCGTCTTGATGGCTTGTAGTCACGGTGGTCTAGTGGAAGAAGGAAAACGACATTTCAGGAGCATGGTCGAGGACTACAATCTGAAACCTAGAGATGCTCATTTCGGATGTATGGTCGATTTGTTTTGTCGTTCAGGTCGCTTGAAGGATGCTCACGAGTTCATAAATCAGATGCCGGTAAAGCCAAACGCTGTGATTTGGAGAACACTGCTTAGCGCTTGCAGTCTTTATGGGAATGTTGAGCTCGCGGAAGAAGTTCAGGGACGGATATTTGAGTTAGATGATGATCATGTCGGAGATTATGTTGCGTTGTCGAATATTTACGCTTCGAAAGGAATGTGGGATGAAAAATTGAAGATGAGAGATCGTGTGAGGAAGAGAAGACTGCCTGGAAAAAGCTGGATTGAGGTAGGAAGCATTATCGCTGAGTTTGTTTCAGGGGATGATGATGAGAAGCTAATGATGGGAGAGATTAGTGAAGTTTTGAGGTCTTTGGTTGCTTGTATGACAGGTTATGATTATGTGGTGGGGAATTTGAACTCCAGTTATTGAGGTATAAAATGTGATCTATATAAATTGTAATTGTTATAAATTCAAGTGAATCTCAATGTTCTTTTTTTCTTTCGTATTCATCAAAATGTATATTACTTCAACTAAGAAATTTTCCTCCCCTTACTTGTTCAACAATTCCCACTTCCTGCTACGAATCTTTCGTGTTAATCGTGTGATTCAGTAATGCGTGCTAATCAGGGATTGTTAAACTTGATGCGAATTTCCATTAAGTTTTTATATCTAGTAGTTGTATCTATAAATTACACATCAAAATTTAAGTTTACTTTACAATCAAATTAGTTTCATTAAAATAACAAGAAAAAGTGAGAACAAAAAAACAGTCAAATTAAAAAAAAATGGACTTTCAAGGTTCTTTAACATTTTTTTAGCCGGGACGAAGAGATTTTTCGGATTTATAGATTTTTGTTAAATTATTAAACAAAAACAAATCGAAAAAAAAAACAAAAAAAACGTCCGTCTTCCTTGCTTTTCGAGCGGTGTCTTCTCTCAACTTCCATGGACATCTTACCTTCAGAATTGCCTCAACCAACCACAAAGCATCTTCTCCTTTTCTAAGTTTCATCAAACCCTTAAGAGTTTTCTCTATCAATTTTGTTTTTTTTTTCTGCTTCTTCTTCTCTTATGGATGCGATCCTGCCTCCTGCCTTGGAGGCTGAAGGAACCGTCGACTCAACGATCGACACAGTTTCTCGATTGATCGCCGGCGCTTTCTCCGGGGCTCTTACTGGAATTTTTGCTATGGGTAATTAATTTTTACCTTTTTGATCGTCTTTTTCTGTGCATTTGATATATCGAAACTGATCATAGATTTTCTGTAGAAGGATCAAATATAAGTTCTTTATTTTTACTACTCTAGTAGATTCGTGATCCCCTGAAAAATTAATCATTTGTGAAAGATTACATTTTTTTTTTCTTTCTGAGGTGGTTTGCTTGAATGTCGGTGAACAGAACAACGACAGAACATGTAAAACAGAAGATGTTTCAATCGAAGATTAAAGACACATATCTTTTTAGTTCTGATATCTTTTTGGTTCCGATCAAATACGTGATATTTTCCTCTAGGATCAGAACAAACCATCAATTTCCATCATCTCTGTATATCCCTCTAGCCATTTTGTTATGCCTTGGCTCTTTTTATTGTTTAGTAAATTATTCTTGTTCTTTTAACCGGTTGTAGCTGGAGCTTTCACTGGAGCAGTGACTGGTGCGGTGGCAGGCAGAGCTGCCCAGTATGGAGTCCTTCGTGGGGCTGGACTAGGTGCTGTGGCTGGAGCTATTCTTTCTGTTGAAGTGTTGGAGGCTTCTCGTGCTTACTGGTATTTAGAGCTGTCAGGATCAAGGGGTCCATCATCTATGGTTAGTCTTCAATTCTTCTTTCTGAGCAATCTAACTCCTTTGCCAAGTTTAGGAAGATGGGTTTTTGGACTATTTCGACTGACTTTATGGTCGATATGGAGAAGGATTCTGAGATAATAAGAAGTTTGGTGGAAGAAATAACTTTTGACATGTTACTGGTGGGCCATCAAAATTTTGGCATTATCAGTACCTTTTAATCGTTTGTTCATATATATAGGATGATGAAATAATCTTCCCAGAGCAGTAGGAATGGTTTATTGTTATAATGCCGTCTGCCAAATTGGCCAAAGGGATGTAGGCATTTGTATGTCCAAGTTTCAGTGGGTTAATTTGATAACCGCCAAGTCATTGAAACCATTTTTCCGTGCTTCTACGGAGGATTCTGTTGAAGTCTCTGTCTGTTTTCTTTATCTGTGTGAAGGACTTGAACCAATAGCAGCATAGAACTGTATTATTCCACCTGTTAATTTGGTAGCTTGGACCGTGAGTATGAGTAAGCTGAACCTTTGGTGTTTTGGATTCAGGCAGATTTTGTAGAGCAACTGTTTCGTGGGAGACTAGTAGATGAACAACTTATGTCGACAGTGTTAAATTCACACCACTGGCAGGTTCTATTCTAACTCGCAGTTTTTCGGCACTCATCTTTATTTGTATAGTTAAAAACTCTTATATGGAAATTCCACTTCTGAAAGCTATGAAGAACGAGATGAAAATGCTTTAAGTTCATGAGTAGTTTTGTCTACTTTTTGCAGTTAAGGATTTCCGATGTAAGCTATGAAGAACGAGATGATGTTTATGGTGAATTGGAACCCAGAGGCTTGTCGGGTGAATCTTTAAGGAAACTACCATGCTATATCATGTCAAGTGAGATGACCAAGAGGCAGATCATTCACTGCACAATTTGTCTGCAGGTTTCATCCTGTTTCATTCTTTGACACAAACTGATCAAACTTCTTATCATGACCCTTTGTTTATCTCACACCTGGGATTTTATAGGACATCAAAGCAGGAGAAATCACACGAGGCTTACCAAGATGTGATCACACGTTTCACCTGGTTTGTGTTGATAAATGGCTCATCAGACATGGGTCATGCCCCATTTGCAGACAGGCTGTTAAAGATTAAAACACCATTGTTGCCAGGCAGTGTACATAGCAAAAACCCATTACCCCTATATGTTGTTGTAAGTCTCAGATCCTTTCTTCAATCTCTCTTTTTCATTTCACTTAAAGAAACTTAAGCAAATCCATAGGTTTCTAATTTTGAATGTATATCGCTGTAGACATGAATAAGAGCACCTTCAGTTGTATTGGAAAAAATATAGAACTCGATCAAGTAATGAACGGATACATGTAGTTAATTCTAATATTCCTAACGTGTCTATTGGGAAACTCAGAAATTCTTGACCTCACAACACCTAGTAAAGAAAAAAAAGACTATTCATCTCTTATTCGTTTCAGCCATGGGACCATGGCGTTTGGGAACAAGGCTCCATTGACCTTGCTCTCATACAGTAATGATCATGGCCAGTCCCGTTCTCAACCTTGTTTAATATCCATGGCTTTAACCCTCCAAGGCCGTGAGCCACGTCCACGACTGAGGACCACGGGCTTGTGACAACCAGCACATCAGAACAACTCAGAAGGTAAATCTCAGTCCATGCTCTCCTGCCCTCCATTTTCCTCTGTGTTTTTTGGTATTCCTTTTGGCTCGGCTTGTGAACACTGATTATCTCTCCCGTCACCGTCGGGTTTTCCCAATATATGTTCCTGATACTCTCAAAGTACCCTGGAGAAGAAGATGAGATGAACACTGCCTTTGATTTTCGGTTTAAAACTTGGCTTGAAGGGAGATTTCTCTGTTGTTCTACTTCAGGAAGAAACTCATGTCTAATTCCACAAGCTAGAATCTCGTTTACCAATTGTTGGAACTGATCATTTCCAGTATCAGAGACCCCAATATGGATTCCTACTCGTTGATCAGCTGTAGCAAGATAAGCGCGATAGTATCGTGTAATGAGACCCCAGACAACATTAGTTGGGTGAAAGAGATGCTGACCCAAGAAGTAAAAAACCGTTTCTTTTTCGGGGAAGAGCTTTTTGAGTTCCTGCTCAAATGAAGAGACCGAGAAGAGAGATGGGACAAAGAAACTTTCCGCTTTCATGATCAACCACAGGGTATTGTTCAACAAAACTTGACTCTCCTCACAAAAGAAAAGCTTTTGTTGGTCACTGGAATCACGAACAAGATGGCGATATGCAAACGATGGGTTGCCAGAATCGCGAAAAAGAGAATGCTCATTGAAATAGCTCTTGAGCGGAAACTCTGAGGGAAGAAACCAAGAAGTGTTTGGAAATGGCTCGCAGAAAAGATCAGCCATTTCAGCTCCTGGTTCCACAAGCAAAACCCGGTTTGTTAAGAGAGCATAAAGAAAAGCTGAAGCTAGACTCAGCATCCTATTTCCAAGATCACCATCAGAGTTTAACCATATTACATAACTACAACCAGATACTCCACCATCAGACGAATCTCCCGACTTGAGTTTGTCCAGTGTTAAGTTATAGGAACTAGTGAATGGTCCACACCGTGTATGAAGATCTTGGTATCTTTTTAATCTAGAATCCAGGTAAGAAGATTGCTTAAAAGGCGATTCCTTCCGATATAAACTCGCTTCATACCTGCTCAAGCATGATTCTTTATCTGAACCAGGGACAAGATTGTTGCCGACCTGATCCTTCTTCTCGGTTAATTCACCATCTGATTCCATGGATAAAAACCAGAAAGTCACCAAAGAGTGTAATTAATGCAACATTGGCCGGAAAAAGATAAACTTTTTAAAGATAAAGTTTATGCGAAAGGAAACATACGCAATTAGCATTTGTAGGGTTCCCAATTACAACACAAGTACCAGTTTCTCTTTTCCTGGAAATGTCTAGAAATTTTCTAACTTACTGAAGCATCAAACTATCCTTATATAACATACATAACAAACCATTTTGGAGAAAGATTCATGCAAAACAAAAAAAAAGGCTACCTTTTTATCGGGACTTTGTGAGCTAACCAACTAAAGACAATTTCCGCAAAAATAAATGATAGGGGAAATGAAAAGTTTTACCTTGGTGGAATCTGAGGGGAAGAACCCTAGAGGCAGCTTCAGTCTCCAAAACATCATCGGAAGGTGGGTCTCTCAGTACCACCGACAGAGAAAACATAACCGAAGCAACCATAAGAACTGCCAGAAGTAGACCCATCGATTTCATCGAGCTCAAACTTGGTTTCAGTGCCTCCAATTCGCTAGACCCGGTTCGAGTATCCGAGTTGACCACTGGGCCACCCGCGTCAGAGTTCTTCTTGCCCCGCTTCATAGGGTAGGACTTAGGAGAGAGAAGAAGGTACGTGAAAACCGGGTCGGGTCCTAAAATGAGTAATCGGGTCTCTAAGAAAGACTTGAATAGAGTTGGTGAGGAGTGTGGCCAGTGGAGAGGGAGATGAAGTCATCATGTGATGTGCTTGAGAGAACAGACTCAGAGAGAGCGACAGTGAGTACGTGGCAGAGACAATGACAACTTTTACATTTGTACTACTAATTTTAATAATGAACTGACACTAATGTTTTTTTTTTCAAAAAAAAAATTAGTGGCCGTTTCTATTGTTACAAAAAGATTTGTTTTTACGGGATAATAATAATATATATTGGGATTACGAAATATTAGTAGATACTCTATATTCAACGACGCACAAAAAAAAAATAGTATAGCTATAATGATGAAGATGACTCGGATTTGTCTGTGTAGTGTTTTTAAAACAAACGCAATGTTTGTAATTATAGAGAAATGTATAAAACTCTACTATAAATAATTCAACGAAAATGCCAAATCTTATAACGCAACTCTATATTTTGATGATTAAAAAGCAAAACAAATTATCGTTGGTGCACCTTTTGTCACGTGTGTGATACATAGAGAGTCATTGTTCTTAATTTGTCAGGTTTTGTGACATGTTTACTTTTCTTAATGACTTTTACTCTTAAATCCTAATATTTGCTTATTTACATTGCGTTCAACTATTCTTCCGTCAAAATAAAGATGACAAACATACGAATCAGTTTCTAGGAAGTAAATTTATTCTAAAACCTATTAATTATAGACGAGGGATTAAGAAATTGTTACCTTACATACAGTATCAGTTAATCCTCTCGTCAATTAATAGATTTAGTCGAAAGAGAAATTCGTATGAGGGCGGCAGTCTGTGGAGTGTGGCAGGTGTCTCAAAGTCACGACAGCGTCTAGCTTATCGTTTTTTTCTTCTTCAAACTTATCCTTATCTTTCTATGTTCTTTTTTTTTATTTGATTCAATAAATAACTTATACATTTTGGTTTTCTCCAGACTATTCAAGATTGATTATGTTTACTGGATTAGTTTTTATTGTCATTGTTCTTCAAAATTATAATAACGGATGCAAAAATGTCTTTTATACATGCGTAACTTGTAATGGACAATCAATTTCATAAAAAATATTCATCGGAATTCTTAAAAATTTCTGATCATTTTACAATAGATATTTCTGATGGATCTTTGAGAACATATTTGATCGCAAATTTTTCGACAATTTTTGATAAATCATAATTTTTGGAATTTAGATTATGATGGATCTTTATTTTTGTCGTATTACCGAAAAGATTATATTGACAAAGAATATTAAACTAATCTGCATAATAATATACGTTGAAGATTTAAAACTTGTTGGTTATAATACTCAGTTTTAAGAATAATTAGACGTGTTCGTCAATTATGTATTATGTGAAACACTTTTCTTATAAACGGGCTTGTCTTTAATGTTTAGCTACATCAGCTAAGATACTATTATATCACAAGAAAATGTAAGATCTTGTCTGAACATTTAATCTGAAGCCCCCTCACTTTAATATCGGATTTTAATTCAGCTGACAAATCATAAGATTGTGATGCATTTATAGTGAAATGTAATACTCCTATCGCATATCTTTACGCGTTTAGACTTGATGACGGCTTCTCTCCTTGCAGGTTCTGAAACTAAATATCAGGAACAAAACGAAACCATCTTTTTTTTGGCCCAACCGCGTGTTTGATATAAGTACGTAATTGGATACACGTGGAAATGAGAGAAAACATGGAATTGGAGACAAACCTGACTTGCCAAATTTTAATATCATTTTTAAGACTAGTCAAATGTTCGTGTGGGAGTTTGAAAACTATAGTTATAATTTTAATTGAAAAACTACCACATTTGTTTCGTAAGCGTGTGTTTTTTCAGAGTCCCGTAGACGCCGGTCAAATTCATGAGAATGGTATCTATAGTTTATTTTCTACTACAAGTTTATTTTACTCGTCGGATTGCATACTCCATCCCTTAATGAGAATGTTATCAAGTGTGTCGAACATATTAAGGAAGAGTTAAATAAACACTCTCGATAATAATTTCTTACAATTTTTGAGAATTTTAAATTAAGATGGACCGAAGGTTTGATTATGGTCCAATGCCAGATGCTGTTGACCCGAGTACCTTGGTTTTAGCTCATTTTTACGACGACTTGAAACACAAAAAGACTCAACAAATTATAGAAAACGATGGAGGAGATGGACTCGAAATTTAAAGATGTCGATTTCTAGACTACTTTGATGAAGAACGTATTTTCCAAATTAAGTGTTGCCTCTGATGATAGCAAACCAAACCGAAAAATATGTCAAACAAAAAATACCAAACCGGAAACAATGAAAACACACAACACCGACAAGAGAGTTATCGAAAAAATATTGTGGAAATGTATTGTTAAACCCATTCGTCGTAATAGCCATTTGTAATGATCCTAACTTCCTAAGTAATTTTTTTATAAAAATACTATAAACCTCAAAACTATTGGTAATGTGGTTGTAGAAACCAATCTAAAACTACATATATTTGAGTCACTCGCAAATGCAAATATCATCTCTTACGTACAATATAATTTTATATTAATAAAACTATACCCCAAAAAATCTCATTTGGGTGTACAAAATTACAAGGAAAAAATAACACAGTTTGAAGAATCAAACAACAAATAAACGGAAAGGGACGCAATTGAACTTCAAACCATCCATCTAAAAGCTTAAACGGCAAACATCTATTCTTGGCGAAGAGAAATCCGCGTTTTCTGAAACGCGGATTTAAAAAGTTACACAGTGGTAGAGTGTGTAGACAAAGAACCCGTGCGGCCCACCATGATGTCATGTTATCAATTCATTTTGACGATTAACTCCTCGTCAAAAGAATAATAATTAGTACTATTCATTTCGACAATTTACGAATATTCAACATGTATTCTGGATATCCAATTATTCATGTTTTTTATTTAACAAATACGAAAAAACCATATTCAAAACGTGGTCCAACACAAGAGTCCAGGTTAGTGAGAAAAGTCTACACATAACTTGCATATATGTACATACACACATGATCATGACTTTTGAGACCTAACGTCAGTACATTATTAATAATAGGGATATCTACTGTGTGATAAAGAAAATCTCATAAACAGCATCCAAAATATATTAGAGTTATGACTCATAGAGAAAACAAAAAAAAGTCCATCCAATCAACATTAACATTAACTCCACACCATACGGATGTCATACATAATATATTTAGACCATGTCCATCAGTGAACTCTTTAGGAAAGGATTCATCTGAATATAATAATATTTTTTTTATTTTTTTTTTAAATTCGAAAGTTATTTTTTTGAACCAATTAGAATGTTCCGTGTGTGATAATACCATCTCTTCAGGTTCGTCGGGAAGAACTTGGGCCATAAACTTCTACTTTTTTATTATTATTTTATTAGATTTCATCTTAAAACCTATGCCATGAACTCTTAAAAAAACCCCTGATGGACAACCATGATTGTCTCAAACTATCTTTACAAAAATTACCATACATATTTACGAATATTTAATGTGATAAAAGTACTTTTTTACAATAATGTAATCTTTTAAAAGAACTAGCGCAATGTTTGGATGTTCATATTACACATGTTAAACAAGAGCAATACATAATTACATTCACATATATATATATAAATATATATATATATATATATATCACTTGATATAGAGCTATCATTGGCTTAAATAATTTGGATGATTTAGTTCACTAACTTGTGTTTGTGGGTTTAATTCTAAATATTAAAATTCATCAAAATGGTTATAAGTTGTGTGCATACAATTTGTGGACTAGCAATGATGGATTTTTTTATATATCTAATAATTGATTTCGGGATTGTAAGATATTTTTTTTTGAAAAGACATGTTCAGTTCGAATTTAATCAATTAAAATTATGGCGTAATTAATAGGCGTGAACTATTTTCTATCCGGTTAAATTTAGGCATGAACATTTGACGCTGATTCAAATAAAATCTTCTGCTAGAATAATTTTTGAATCAATGGATATGAAGCAAACCATCGTAGAGAAAACCAAACTTGCTGACAACAATGAAACCAGAAAACAAAAAATCTTAATTTTAAATGATCATTATATGTCTATATTCTTTTACAAGATCTATAAAAAAAAATCTGAGTGGTTTATGAGTTCGAGGTGGGAAAAACTGTTACCGTAGCACCACGGTCATAATTTGTTTTGTTTTTGTACCTTTCGTAAAAGAACAATTCATCACTTTCAGTAACGTTATTGATTTTTGTCCGAAAGAAATGGAGCAAACAAATTTTGATCACACAATAAACAGAATTTCGATAAAACAAAAATGCTTTTCCTGCTTATTATTTTTAAAATACTAGTAGATAATCAAAACTAAGATAAGATCAATCTCAACGTGTGTATTGAAAAAAAATGAAAACTACAAACACGTCAATACGAAACCAAAGGAAAAAGATGTTCACAAAGTAAAGACGCGACAGAGGAGGGACAGTGTCTTTTGGCAGTGAAGGGACCATTTACCATTCTTGATATTTTCTTTTAATTAATGCATTTGAAATTAGCAAAATAGTACTTCATCCGTTTCATAAAGAGTATCGTTTTAAAGTTTTATTTTTGTTTCACAAAGAGTGTCGTTTTATATTTTCAATGTAAAATTTTAAATAATATTCCAGTTTTAACCCTATTAATTTAATGTATTTATTAGATAAAAACAAATGATTTAATGTATTAATAATGGACAAAATTATACTTTTAATAATTTTCTTAATATGTGTGAAAAATATCAAAATGACACTCTTTATGAAACGGAGGAAGTAATCAAATTTGGATAATCCGTAAATGTGAATGTCATCATTTTATTTGTTGGAAAACAAAATCAAGTATTTTTAAATTTAGAGTAGGGTGCCGAGTAATTCCACAAAGAAAGGTTAACTAGACAAAAACATTCTGATGTCTTCAATAATTCTGTTATTCTTTATTTGTTACTATCGAGGGTCCTACTATTTATGTTATTTTCATATTTCCTCCGTTTCATAATAAGTGTCGTTTTAGATTTCATTTTTTGTTTTAAAAAGAATGTTATTATGCATTTTCAATGTAATTTTTTACTCTTATTTCCTTTTTTATCCTTCATTTAAAGATAATAGTCTTTGTAATTAAATGTTATAAAAGTATATTAATTAAGAGTATATTTGTATATTTTATTAATTTCTTAATCTGTGTGAAATGTGTTAGAATGACACTTATTATGAAACGGAGAGAGTACTAGCAAATTTCAAATTCCCTCTAATTAATCCTTTATATAAAATATTTAGAAATTTTCTTTGTTTTCTTGTATTTTTTTGTACAAGTTTAGTTTATATTTAGTTAATATGTTAAGAGTATTCGTATTTTATACTAGTATTTTTTATTGGTTGGATTATTTTTCATTAAATATTAAATAAATTTAATTTAGAGGGAGTACTTAACAAAGATGTGAGCATTCATCGAGTACGTACTTTATTCCTCATTCACCAACGTGTATTGTTATTACATAATTGATAGTTCACCTTTTAAAACGGCGTTGCCTATAGATTGTGTAAAGCAATTAAATATGCTAAAAAGAGAAGGGACTATACTTCTTTTGTAAACAAATGTAAATATAATAAAACGATAGCTTAGTGCTTTTTCTACAAATCATGAGTTTTGAAATTTTGGAAAATCATTATGAACTGGTCGGTCTATCAAGGGTAAATCTCATGCGAATAACAAACAGAAAAAAAGAAGAAGATGGGTAGTAGTTTTGGAAAATCAGTACGGTGTTAAGCAAAGACTTATTCGATGTCAAATTAAAGTCACGAAAAAAGAGCAGGAGCTTTGGTCAAATACCAAAAAGCAGAGAATGAATGAGGATGTGAGTTACATGGAATCATAGAATTTAGTTTGCGGCATGTTATGATGCCAGGCCATCTAGAGAATTTTTCTTTGTGAAAATACAAAATAAAAAAAATGATAAGTTTTAGAGAAATGGAAAATACCAAATGTATGAGTTATGCGTGATGATATGTAAAAACGGACCCCTTTGAAGCAAGAGAGGTGGTGACAAGCATATACATATGTAATGGCCTTTTGCACCAGGTTAAGGAGTTGGGTACAAAGATCCAAGGTCGTTGACTATAAAACCACTTACTTTTGTGTTGACGACAATGTATATATGCAATAGAAATATATCTATATATTATCTCTACAATATAAAGTTAAACATGGATAAGTGTAATTTGCAAGAGTTTCTTGTTTCTTTAGAGGTATCTTGAGACCTTTGAGGATCGATTTATGAGTTATATATATGAGATGTTCAAAAAACAAAGTATTTGAAGGATACGACTGAACGTGATTTTAGCCTTAAAATAGAAGTATACTTGTAAGATCAATATGAGAAAATTTAAAAAGAAAAGATCGATATGAGAGAAGATAATATTAAAGCAAAGTATGTGGTGTTAAGTATAGTGCTTGAATTAAACTAAATTTGTGGCTATTGAGCGTTTTATATAGTTTATTCGTATTAACTAACTGCATGGTGTAAACTGATTTTTTTTTTGTCAACGTGTAAACTAATTCATCCAAACGTGACTAACAATTTCATCCCAAACAAAATTTACATTAGTTTTATGGTCAATCAAAAAATTCAAAGAGAATTGCAAGAAGAGTAAGAAAAATAAACAAAGGCAGTTTTTTTTTTGTTAAAGAACAAAGCCAGCTTTGCCCATAATAAATAATCAAAATAAAATACTAACTATTGCTTCTGAAGTTCTTATAGTCAAGACAAATTTGTTAATCTATAGAATTATTGTTCAAATACAGAAGCGCTAGACTCAAGACAAAATATACTGCCGTAGTCTTGAAAATGATCATTTGATGATGGGAATATGGGATGTGAATACGCTATATGTGTGACTTAACCTCTTGGAATAATCACGTCTACATACCGAATAGTTTTTTAATCTAATTATTTTTAAAAGCAACATATTAACGAAGAATCAAGAAATGAAAAGGATAACTCAGCATCATTCATCAAGACATACATATAAGAATCCAACGGCTGAGAATAAACTTAAAAACAAAAACAAAAACAAAAAGAAGAACGGGACTATATATATATACATAGACGTCCCCAGTTTCCAATCTAGAAAAGAGTTTTCTACTTCTATTTTTTTCTATGTGAGAGTGTGAGAGAGCCTCAGATAAATGAAAGCCTCTTAATAAAATCATATCCTAAATAATAAAATATTAACAGTAATCAATAATAATTCACTTGTTCTTAAAGATCACCCTTGATCGATCAATAAGACGACTCGAGTCGACTGGAGAACAAGTGATACGTGGCGAGATCTGATTGGTTCGCCGGAGATAAATGGGGAGGACGACGTGGTTCGACGTCGACGGGATGAAGAAAGGAGAGTGGACGGCGGAGGAAGACCGTATGCTCGTCGCTTACATCAACGAATACGGTCTCGGCGACTGGCGTTCCCTGCCTTCGAGAGCCGGTATAAATCTATACTTACACACTTAGATACATATGCATACATTGTGTACGGACGACCTATGTTTGTGTCTCTTTCAAAGCTAGGTTCTCTGGATTTCAGTTTCTGTCGGACCAAAGATTTTGTTTTGAGTATGTGTTGATTTTTTGTTGGTTCTAATTTTTCTCCACTAAGCACATTATTTCATCGTTAATATCTGTTTAAGATCTGTATTTATGGATTTCTCTTAATTAATCTCTCACAGTTTTTTTTTTTTTTTTTGGCAAAAGAAACAAATCTCTTATATACTCCCAAAAATGGTTTTTTTGTAAACCAAAATGTAAACCAAAAAATTAAGAAAATGAATCAAATATAAAATCTTGCCCAGCTTTTGTAACAAATCTGTGTGTGCATTACAGTTTTATGTTGTAGATGAGACTTATACGAATAATTGACTGATACACTTCCATAATGGACTATGTGAACCCATGGAAGCCATATATATATTTTACTGAATATTTTTTTTCTTCTGATTTATTAGTATACATTATATAAATCATTTTCCTAAAGTGTAAAGCTATAGAAATGAAAAACATTTCTAATTTTAGACCCATAATCAGAAAGATTGTGTGTGTGATTGTTGTGTTTTCTCCTTTTCTTCTGATGGAAAAAAACGTTTCAATCCTTTTGTTACTTATCTGTTTGCCACTATGTTAAAAGTAATGATCTTTTTTTTTTCTTGTAAAAATAAAAGTAATGATTCTTTCGCATCATCTTTCTAATAATTCGTTTTTTTTTGGGTAAATGCTAAAAAAAGGTCTGCAAAGATGTGGAAAGAGTTGTAGATTAAGGTGGCTTAATTATTTGAGACCTGGAATCAAAAGAGGCAAATTCACTCCTCAGGAGGAAGAAGACATCATCAAATTTCACTCTCTTGTTGGAAACAGGTAGCTAATTTGTGACTGAAATCACTTTTTTACCCTTCTAACTAAATAATTTCATTTGATAATCGTTTTATTCGTGTACATTCTTGAAAGTAATATCCCTATAATATATACTCGTTTTTAAAATTGATGATGTACATATTTGAAAGGTGGGCAGCAATAGCAAAGCAAATGCCGAACCGTACAGACAATGACATAAAGAACCATTGGAACTCATGTCTTAAGAAAAGACTCGCTAGAAACGGAATCGATCCGATGACCCATGAGCCGATCGTCACAGTTGAAGCCTCCTCCTCCACCACAACGACGTCGTCTCCAACAGTACTGACCCCTTCTTCTTCTTGTTCTTCTTCCTCCGTTTCCTCCACAGGCTCCGCACGTCTACTTAACAAACTCGCTGCCGGAATCTCCTCGAGAAAACATGGACTCGACATGATCAAGACTGTGATATTGTCGGAACCAAGACAAGCCGTCGAAGAAAAGACGATGATGATGATAAGCAAGGACGAGGAGGAGGAGGAAGTGATTGGTTGTTTCATGGAGATTGATGAGAATATGATTAGTACGACGTCGTTTAATGAGTTACCTTGTGACGACTCTACTACTACGACTGGCTTCGTGGCTGCTTTTGATGACTACTCATCAGTTGAACCTTACGATCTGTACCAATCTGATTTCTATTACGAGACTGATGAACAGCTTGACCTGTTCCTCCTTTAAAATTTCACTCTCTAGGACAAGTTTTTTCTTGAATTTCTTTTTCTTTTGTATGCGTTTTTCAGTGTAATGAAAGTAGAAAAAGAGATTTCCGAAAGAAAAAAAAGCAAGTGCGTCGTACGATAAATGACATGCATGGTCAATGTTTCTCAGTTTTGACCGTTAAATCTTTTTTTTTTCCTATTTTAATATCTCTCTCTCTCTCTCTCTCTCACGCATGCCTATGATTCTGTGAGCTTACATGCAAGTAATCAAGTATGAGGGTTTCATGCCATTTCAGTGAAGAAGTCTATGACTCTATCGAATGGTACTATATTGTTATAGGTATTTTTTGTAAAAATGGTGTGTGGTTGAAACTTTATTATGTGTACAGATCCGAACACATCTAAAATATGAACAAAAACAAAATTTAATACCTTGTGGTTCTATCAGTATCAAACATTCAAACCAATATCATCAGTCGAGCATAAACACCAAATTCCTTTTTTTTTTTTAAAGTATACTTGAATATATTTTATAGTTTTCTTAAATACTCAACGAGATTTAATATCCTTTTTTTAATACAATTATATCCCGAGAGTAATCTGAAACTGAGGTTACTATAGTACTGAAGTAGCTAGTGTAGCTTTAATATGAGTACTGAACTATAAGTACTGAACTATACTTGTTTCATTTGTTTAGTGCTTTGATTTAATCAGTTTTGCGTTTACAAAAGAGGGTGCTAACATAATCTGTTGATCACTATAAAATGGACGAAGGAGTCCCAATGTTTCCGGAAGTGAGTACCAAAAATATCAAAGGGATCCAATATAATTCGTAATTAATAATCGGAATTTCATTATCAGAAACTGACAAAAGTACTCATAACAAATTTGTTGAATGACAGGACACGTATTTGGCTTACTAATCACAAATGAATGTTTGTGTTTTAATATGAGGCAAATATTTTTTGTCGCCATTTGTGACATTTAAGTATCATATGAATTTGGGAACATGTGGAGATGGGTTCGAATCCTCTATCGCATAAGAAGACTCCATGTGTTGAAAAGTTCTATAAAAAAAAGTGTTTTCATTGGAGATGATTTGTCTGCGCGCTATTGTCGTCTGTCGAAAATGATTCCGGAGGCAACCAAACTCCCGGAGGACTCATTATCTTTTGTGGTGACCAAAAGGACACTTGGCTTCGGGGTTTGTTCATAAGATTGCATAACTCTAAAATAGAATTTAGAATGGGAAATGGAAGTGAATTAGAGATGCTTTTAGGATATAAACCTTTGAAATCTCCGGATTATACTTCTGAAATGGTACTTATATACTCCGTTTATATTTTTAAATTTCAGCATGAGAAGTTTATGTCTAATGACTCTAATGCGATGTGGATTCTTCTGATCTTTCATGAATCATGTGTACTTCGAATCGTTATATTCATGTACTATTTTTATATTACTGAAAGTGGGTTGACAAAAAAAAGGGTATAGATCAATAATTAAAAAATGTCCAAATCTTTATACCAATTGAGGAAAATCTTTATAACGCATGTGGAGAGTTTATGTCGTGGGACTGGCTTCCGCGTCTCTGGTCCATACTTATTTTGGACTATTTCATTATTATAATTATTTTCTAACTTTCATATGATCATTTTCTGCAGAATTAAAATGTTATCTAATACAAACAAACTGCGTTTTCGACATTAGAGTGAACGAGAAGTACAGTGTACGATCTTCTTTACACATTTTAAACAATACTTCTATAGTTTACAATAGAAAACCCAAGTTATGTTGTAAAAATATAGCTGCAAGAAGCTTAAAACCAAAAAAAAAAAAAAGAGGAGATTTTGAGCAAAATGCACTATAAGAAAAACAAACAAGTTGCGAATAATCTTAAACAAAAACAGAATCCTCTAGTTCCTGATGTTCCCAGAAAAGTGAAAACAAAAGTATAGAGCGGAAATATCTGCAGTGTGAAGAAGAAAGCAGTGTTTAAAAACATCTGCAGTGGGAGTCTAAAGAGAAGAGAGAAAATGAGATGAGTCTAAATTCAAAAAAAAAAAAAAAAAAGAGAGAGAAGAGTCTCTCTAATTATGTGTCTCTCTACTATTGGTTTAATTCCTTTTTAAAAAAAATTAAAATTAATTTATAAAACTCAATTTTATTAAACTACTATTATTATTTTAATAAGAGATTCAAAATGGGTCTTTCACCAATGCACCAATGCAGATGGTCTAATATCATTATGATTGAACTCTGTTTATATAGACATGGGATGGGAGTATAATTATTTCTTCTTTCAATCATTTTTGGTTGGATTGACACCCCAAAAAAAAAATTTGTGTTGCCTTCAGTTTTTGTATTAAAAGATTCTTGATTTATTCGGTGGGGTCAAATGGACTCACATGCTAATATCTTATTCAAATTCTTCTCAATAATGATGCCCGAATAAGTATTTTGTTTTTCCTTGATAAAAACTTGTACGATTTTACCTTAACCTTAACTTTTGTTTATCAAGGAAAATAAACAAATCAAAACGTTTCTTCGTACTATACTGACAGTCTCGATTATTGTTTATGCATCATATTCCTTTCCGATTTTTATTTTCATTTTCCCTCAAATTCCTCGTGACACAAGTTTATCGACGTGGCAGATTAACACATTTTCTCATGTCCAGAAATTATAAAACGAGCTTATACAATGACTTACACGGGCTTGGGCCTCATTACAGATTATCATCATCTTATGCTTTGTGCTTGGTTTATATCTACATTAACAAAACAACAGCCATTTCTGTCTGAATCACACGGACTATATCGGAGCTTACGTGATCTTCTTCTTCTGTTTCTTTTCTCTCCATTCCTTGATTTCACTCTCTATCTTGGAGTTGACACGTGCTTTGAATCCAGGGTATGGCTCGTAGCTAAAAACAGACTGCAGCACCTGCAACTCTCATTCAATAATCCATTGTGATTATCAGTTTTAGGCTAACATAAACAAGGACCGAGTCACAGAGAGAGGGAAAAAAACATTCAACCTCGAGCAACACGAAGAACGGACCCATCAGAAAAGCTTGGACTAGATTGTCTAGAAGCGCTGGAGCTCGTTTCTTGCGAATAGATTAAGATTTGTAGTTAGGTTCTTCAGAGGAAAAGATAAAAAGAAATGATTTTTAAGAAGAGTGTGTGTATATATATATATATATATATATATATATATATACCTCAAACACGCCATGACCGAGGAACTGACCGATCCAACATAAGAGCTGAGAAGCTACTCCGACCTGAGAAAGCAAGTCAAATTATAAGCTAGAGGAAGCTTTAAGGGCGAAGCAAAACAAACACATTACAGCCAAACACTGATTCAAAAAGTGAGATGTTTAATTTATTAGAAAAAAATGCAGCTTCTTTATAGTTCTGTCTCAAAAAAGCCAACTTTGTTTTGAACCAAGCGATGCAGGCATTTCCAAAAATCAACAATTTGATAAGAGAATCCTGAAAGAACAGTATCTATCTTCTTACAAGCACATTGGAGTCAGGGTTTTTCTGATAAGAGGAACTTAAAAGGGGCCACATTTGTATTAGACTAACTGCAATAACTGATCAAAAACCAATCGATTTCTTCTGTGAGTATGAGCAAAGATACAAAAAGGCTTTTCAGTCAAAGCATGGACAAAAAATTGAGAATCAAATGCACGAAGAAACCAGATAGAGTTTACTTTCTTACTTAGACATCTAATGCACATAAATTTCCATAACACTTCGTGAAGGGAGATAATTGGATTAAAGAGCAAACTCACCTTGAAGGTTAGGGAATGTCCTATTCGAGCTGCGAGAAAGCTGGAGCCGATCCAACAAGAGAAACATAACAGAGCAGCTAAAAACCCAGATTTCTTATCCAAACAGAGGTAGAAGATAGCATACATCACAGTGAGGAAAAACCCAATGTCCAAACGCAGGACACCGCCACAAGTCAGCGATTCGATGAACCCTAATCGAGAGGGATCTAGAATCGGTGACGTAGAGTAGAGGAAAAGGAGAGTTGCGAAGACGTTAGGCCATACCAATAGAGTGTGGATGATTATATTGATGTGATTGCTGTGATAGGCTCCGTAGAAGGCGAAATGCTTCTCTAGATCGAGCAGACCGATACGATTGCTCATAATTTGTAAGGGTTTCGAGAACTTTTTGTTGGTGGGTTTGCTTGGTGATTGAAAGAATGAAAACAGGGCATCGGAGGAAGAAGAAAGGAGGAGACTTTTGCGATTATTAGCGTTTGCGTCGGCGAAAAAAGTATGCTAACATGCGCACATGCGATTGTTAACCTACGCGGTTTAGGTGGTGATCGTTGACCAAGTAATAAGCTTTGCGGTTGGCGGTTGCGTTCTTAACCTTTGGATTATTGAGGGGTGTTGTGGTAAATTAAAGTAGTGGAGTGACCTCAGCTTAGAAGTCAAAATTCAGAAACGTAGTTTCGGAAACAAAATTTTAATAAGAAATCATTTCGGAAAATTTTCAATTTCTTTTGTCTATTTTAAAAGTAATAAGAGGAATCACGATTTCTAATGATTAATAAAAATCTGTAAAATCCACTATATGATCATGCAATTTTTTGGAACTGATAGGCAAAAGTAAAAGCAAAACTATAACCAAAATATATGACGAAAGTGGGTACAATTGCCAATATTTTACCTCCCATCAACTAATACTATTTTTCATTACGAGACCTATAAGTTATCTTATAGTCTAATGATTCTAATCTAATCATATAAAGAGCTTTGCACAAAAGAAAAAGAAAAAAAAAGCATATAAAGAGAATGATATGGAATTTGATGTGGTAACCCAGTGATGGGTGCAGCTATCTACTTCAGATATGTTATGAACGTTGCCTTCCAAATCATGGACCACGTCCTTTAATCTCGGGTCTCTTATTAGTATTTTATTTTTTCTCCTTAAAACAAAATCTTTCAGCGACCAAATCTTTGATTTTCTTGTATTCGTATAATCTGATACTATGGACACTAATTAAAAAGTTTGGAATTTTGGATGGACACTTATTAATAGAACATTAAATAATGTTTGGTAGTTTCAAATAGACATTAATAAATGTGTCGAGTTTTTTTTTAAAAAAAATTTATCTATCATACTACTTGTATTCGGACTTTCTAGTCCGATTCGTGGTTCAAATTTAATTTGAGATTATTTTCAGTTTTTTTATTCTTTCATTTTTGATTTATCAAACAAACCAAATAAAAACGAGTTTTTGGTATGATTTTGACTCATATTTAGATTTAGTGTTTTGGTATCTATGAATTTCAGTTATTCACATAAGAAAATAATGAAATCGAGCCATTTTAAAAAAAAAATTTGGAACATTAATCCATCTATTTCATACAAGATTTTTGTACAAAGTTTAACATACGTATGGTTCGCCGGACGAGGTCAGTTCATCAGCAGTTTGTAAACTATATAATAAAATGATGTAATATAATCTTTCTTGATGATTAAAAAACTGGAACTTATTTGACCAGCGTGAACCACGCAAACTGCACGAATTTTATCGGTCTCTTAACAACTTACAAATCTCAAGAGATAGTCAAAACTTAATGGAGAGTTTGTCTGTCATTCCATTTGTTAATCAATTTCCTCCAGTTTATGTCGATTGGAACTTGTAATTCTCACGTGCTATACATAAAATTACTACTACTATTTACACGTGATATTATCATATTTTATTTATATTCAAATTAGGTACGGTCTCACTTTCCAGATATTGAGAATTTTACAGAATAGACAGAAAAAAATATTATTACAACCGAAAATATATTTGCTTAGTTAGAAAATAGTTAAAGTCTGTCTGATTAATCAATGTTGTGTACATCTTACAGCTTACGTCTTGTATTAATCAAATATAAAAAACCATCGTTCAAAACTTAAAGATTGGTTCAAACATGGTTTTCAACATTTGAATACACATCCTTTACTCTTTCTTTTTCTTAATTGTGAACATCGTATTCAATTATTCCTGTATCCTTATGAATTTTAGAAACGAAATTGTCTTACTAATGAGTTTTTTTTCAGATTATACAAGCAAGTATCACACCAAAACTTTCTCCTTTTTTTTGCGTCATGAGTTTTTAGGTAAAGCAGAAACATTTTTTAAAGAAAACAACACGTCCGTAAATTGTCCTTGAGGTTTTCTAGAATCGAATCAACGGGACCAAGTCGTCTCTCTCTCTCTCTCTCTCTCCATTACGCGCCAACTAAGCCTGAGCTGTTATATTGACGCCGTCTCCGTCACACTTCCCAAGTCACGTTTCGCCACGTGGCACCCGTTACTCCATCCTTCACAGCTGGCATATCTCACAGCCATATATGTCTGCGCAGGTACTTAATCTGACGGCTGAGATTTGGCTGTGACCCCTCCCGAGAGATTGTATTATGTTTCCTCTCCTAGTTGCGTGATTAAGTTGACGTGTTAGCTGCGTGTTTCGGACGAGTCACAAATCAAATAAAATTAAAATTATAACAACAAAAATAGACAAAAAGATATTTTTCGTTGGAATGTGAAACTCTAATAAGAGCAACACATTTCGAAAAATAGAATAAGAAAATAATATACGAAAAAGTTCAATATTTTCCAAATTTAACGCAGAAAAACACATCAAAAGACAAGGTCAAAATCCTCTCTCAATAATCCATATAAAGCCCTTCTCTTTCCCATTAGGGGTTTTATCATTTTTTAACATCATCACTCTCATTTGCTCTAAAATCAGAAAAAAGGTTCCTTTTTTATTGTTCTAGAATGACAATTTCCTCGCTTGAAACCTGATTCTCCATCGGATTCTGATTATCAATCTCACATTTCAATCTGTTCTGATTTCTGAGGATGCCAGCGACGGAATACCACAGATCATTCGGGAGGTCGTTACTGAATTTGCGGCGTGACTCGGTACACTCGTCTGACTCGGCTGACTCGGCGACGGTGACCGACGGCGGAAACGAGTTGACCCAGATGGAGGCAGAGTTGGATTCGTTTCAGAGACAAGTTTCCGAGAGGTTTATCGATCTCAACGCCTCAGGCTCGGAAGATCTACTGTCTCTCGAATGGGTAGGGAAGCTTCTCGATTCGTTTCTATGTTGCCAAGAGGAGTTTCGCGCCATTATCTTCAACCATCGCTCTCTGATCAATAAACCACCCATGGATCGATTAATCGCAGATTACTTCGATAGAAGCGTCAAGGCCCTCGACGTCTGTAACGCGATTCGCGATGGTGTTGAGCAGATCCGTCAATGGCAGAAACTGATCGAAATCGTCATCGTCGCTTTCAACAGCAAGAGACCGCTCGGTGAAGGTCAATTCCGCCGCGCGAGGAAGACGCTGATCGAATTAGCGATCGGAATGATCGACGACAAGGAATCGTCTTCGAGCTCAGTGTCGCAGCATCGTAACCGTTCGTTTGGGCGGAACAAGGATCATCTCAGCCATCGATCAATTGGGCATTTCAGGTCGCTCTCTTGGAGCGTTTCGAGGTCTTGGTCAGCTTCAAAGCAGTTGCAAGCCATAGGGAACAATTTAGCTACGCCTCGAGCTAGTGACGTAACTGCGACCAATGGTCTCGTTGTTCCTGTCTATACGATGAACTCGATACTGTTGTTTGTGATGTGGGCTCTTGTTGCGGCGATTCCTTGTCAAGACAGAGGGCTTCAAGTGCATTTCAATGTTCCTAGGAACTTCTTGTGGGGAGGGTCTTTGATGTCTTTGCACGATAGGATCATTGAGGAATCCAAGAAGAGGGAGAGGAAGAACAGTTGTGGGTTGTTGAAAGAGATTAATCAGATCGAGAGGAGCTCGAGGCTGATGAGCGAGTTGGCTGATTCTGTTCAGTTTCCGTTGTCTGAGGAGAAAGAGACGGAAGTGAGAGAGAGGGTTGAGGAATTGGCGCACCTTCAAGAAGCTTTGAAGAATGGTTTGGATCCGTTTGAGAGGAAAGTGAGGGAGGTGTTTCATCGGATTGTACGAAGCAGAACAGAAGGTCTTGATTCTGTTGGAAATGCATCCTAGTTCTGAAACATGGAGTAAGAGAAGCTAGAGGATGTTTAAAGTATCGTTGAAACATGGTGCCAAACATATTCAATGGGAAATTTACGGTTTCGTTTGCTTGCAAAGAACATGGAGTACGAGAAGCTAGAGGAAGTTTTTTTCGATCTTTGTTGTTTACTTATGTATGATTATTCTTGCAAAGATTGTTATTTTATGAATTTGGATGGTTCGGTTTACATTACCAAGTTGTTGTTCATTTCTATTTGCTTTCATTATGAGTTACATCAAGTAACTGAGGAAATTATAATTGTTCTTGGAATATACAAGAGGCGATATAAGTTGGTATTATTTCATAATAATAAAGCTTTACACTTTTACTTGCAAATCATCAAACGATCTTGGCAACTTAATTCTCCATCCGCATCAAGACTTGAGTATTAAGCCTAAACTTGCGACAAAACGATTGAAAGGGAATATAATCTGAGCTTCCTGCATCGTCACAAAGTACAAATCTAATTTAAGAGAGCCTTCATATACAGTCAAGAAAGCTGATTACACTGGGTACACTTTTGGAGCCCAATCAAATTTTAGGCTACAACAAAACAACCCTTCATATCTCCGTTCTTAGATGCAATCACCAGGCTTAACATAAACTAACAAATAAACAAAGCAAAACGACAAAGAATATGCCTCAGAGGTAGTGACAATTGTGATTACATTCATCACCGTAAAAATCTGATGAAAACACATCAATAGATATACATCATCGGCAAATCACAAAGATCATTTTAAACAAAGCTTCAAAACAAACTTTCAAACAGGTTTTGTTAAGTGCATCAGAGAGATTCCCATTTAGACTTTAGTCATCATTCTACTTCTCCTTGCGGAGAATCTGATGTCCCTGGCTTTTTATCATCACTTGCACTTATACCAAATCTCCAAAAAGAAAAACAAACAATTTAGAGCGAATCAACTAGTACCTATATAAACAAGAAACTAATTTCGAATGCAACCTTAAATTAGCGCAGGAAAACAATTGACTACCAGGGGAAAAAAAGGATTTAAAATGCCTCAGAGTTGTTTCTTTTTTCCTAGAGACTAAGCTCTCAAAGTATATTTAACACCATCACAGGCATTCAAACATCAAACAAACAACAACAAAAGCAGAGATAAAGCTATAAACTGACGCTCGCGGAAGACAAACGAACGAATCTTTACAAAACCATCTAATCGATAAGAGAATTTACAGAGATACAAGACTAGGGTTTTCACGAGAAGCTGCTCTGTTCTTCTCTAACAAATCGTGATGGCTTTAAGTAGAAAAGCTGAGGCGGCGAAAATTAGGTCAATAGAGAAGGAAGTTAATAGATTTGACTGGGCTCCTGTATAGAAGAGAAGATATGAAAGACCCATTGGACAAATTTAAAGGCCCAAACAGATTGTAAGAAAAAAAAAACACAAAAGGTTCAAATTTTCGATATCATTCGAATAATAAAAACGAAACAGGATCATTAACGAATTAAACTGTCTTCTTCTCTTCCTACGCAGAGCACACATTTCCGTTGGTCGACGCTTTAAGTTTCCCTGCGAAATCAAAGGCTGTCCTTTCGTCTGCTTCTGCAAGCTCTCTGTTTCACCATTAATCTTTCCTTTTTTATTTTTCTCTGCTGGAATCTTTTGTGCTCTTTTATTCCTCCAAAGGTTTTTATTTCTCTGCTTGTTCATCTACTTTAAATTCGTCTTCTGTTTCTATCGCCCATCACATTGTGCAAATCGGTTTTGGTTTTGGGATTCTTGTCTTCCGTGAGAATCTTATGGTTTAAGCTCTTGTGGGTACAAAAAAAAATCCAAACAAGAAGTGATTTTGATTTTGTTTGGTATTTGAAGTTAGTTAATAGCTTCGTAGAAGAAAACAGAGATGGAAGAAAAGTTTGTTATTCTGGATAAGATGTTTGTTACACACGACCTCTCCTTTTATATGAGAGAAGATCAATTTATCCGGTTTAATCCGGTTACAACTTTTATAACACTTAACCACCTAATATTAGTGCCTTAGGACTTGTTCTGTCCTTTTTTACATTTTTTCTGCAAAAAAAAATGTTAGATTTAGATTTGCAGAATGGGAAGGGTTAAGCTCATGATGAAGCGGTTGGAGAGCAGTAGCAACAGGAAAGTTACATACTCAAAGAGAAGAAGTGGGATTTTAAAGAAAGCCAAAGAGTTGTCTATATTGTGTGATATTGATATAGTTCTTCTCATGTTTTCTCCTTCCGGAAGGCCTACCATATTCCATGGAGATCACAGGTAAAAACTGGAAATCAAGTGGATCATCTTGTTTTGATGTTTACTTATTTTCCAACTATGGTGTTTTTCTTTACTCTTGAACTTCTCTTGACTCTTGAAAAACTTCATGGTTTCTTGTTGAAACAGATGCATTGGAGATGTTATTGCCAAGTTTGCGCAGTTGACTCCCTCAAGAAAGGACAAAAAGGTATATCTTTAAGTATGATTTCTCTCTCAAATGTCAAAGTACATATAGGCTTTGATCTTATTGTATGAAACTGATATTTGTTTTGAACATCACAGGAAACTGGAGAGCCTAGAGGTAAAACCTCACTGAATCTCTCTTCCTTCATCATAATATCTATTGATTTTGGAAACATATTGAGATGGAAACATCTGCCGTTTGTTAAGAATATTTTTATGAAACTGGATCATGATGTTAATATACACGAATTTTAAGGAACAAGTTACTTGATACACAAATTCCTTACAACTATGAATTCAGTATTTGTCATTAGTATCCCCTTTGAAAACACTTGATTTGTGGTCCATTGTTTATCCTGCAGGAACCAAACTATTGAGGTAGAGATGATGGATCAACCATCATAATTCACCTCCTGCTCACTTTAAAGTTCTTGAGTTGAGATTGCTAAAACTATGTATTGAAATTACATGAGCAGGGTCTCACTAACCAACTAGCATTTTTTCAAGCTCAGGTTATGGAGTATCATAGGAGACTGAGGTGGAACTTTTGGAGCTTTTCGGTTTTAAGTATCATTTTTATTTTTATTTTTCTATTTGTTTTGTTCAACTCTCTAAACATACTATGCTGATGATGGATTCTTTTTTAATCTTGTTCTGGTGTGTGTGTGTGTATTTCAGCTGTTGGACGAACATCTCTAGAACTGAAAATGTCGAGCATCTAAGGAATTTGGAAGAATCATTGAGAAAATCTATTGAAAGAATTCAGATTCACAAGGTATGTAATGAATGCAACTTACATATGAATTGATGATGATACACACACACACGCAAGTGAAAATGTCAAGAGTTACTAATGGAGGCAGCTTTTGCCTTGCAGAAACATTTAAGAAAGAATCACTTCATGTCACTTAAGTGTACAACAACACAGGTTATGTAGAAATTATATATCACATGTCCCTCTTTTCCCTCTCACAATTCTGAGCCAGACCAAACCTTCTGATGCAGTTTCAGTGCGGAAATTCGCCACCTTTGATGATGAATGACTATAAAAAAATCAGTTAATCTCATGGCTTCCCGACAACAATAACCAACAAATGATTATATCTGCTGACTTAGTTTTCTTCCTCATCGGTGAGTGAAATTTTTTTTAATTCTCTTAGAAATATGCTTCGAGTTAATATGTTCTACTCATCTTAAAGTTTTATGATCAACAGAGAGATGGAAAATAATGCAGTTGCATCCCTTCCGTTTTACTCAAGCTTCTTCGAGTCTGGAAATCAAGAAGATCAGATATGCAACCCGGAACAACAATTTGATCACTTAAGACAAGAGGGCAATTTGTTAAACGAGCTAAACGAAAAGAGCTACGAGATTATTCAACTCGGCGAGGAATATTCATATCCTACACAATTTGATATGAAAGAAGAGAAGGAGTTCGAACCGGATTTCGAGTTAAACGTCCAACAAGATCCAACTATGTATCCGGTTAGCAACAGCTTCCAATTTCCTGATCATCCAGTATTTGCTGCTACTGATCATCATCATCAGACTTGGATTTCAGATTATACTAGCCACTTTGATAACAATCAGGTTAGTTGACAGATAAATTACTTTTATCCACAATCAAAATCCACCAACTAATCTTACGTTTCTTTATTTTGCAGCAACCAAATTGACTCATAAAAGGCCATGAGTAATATTTGTGTTCTGATCAAACACTCGTTTGAGTCACTGTAGCAATGTACATACAAGTTTTTTTTTTGTATATACAATGTATTAGCCTACTAGGTAAAGCATACATGTCTATATGTATGTGTGTACATACATGATATTTAACAGATTTTATATATATATATGTGTGTGTCAGTGTGTGTGTAATATATAATACAACACTAATAAAAAAAAGGAGTTTTATTTTGATGAGCATCATGTGATGTTTCCAACTCAAAAGGTTTATTTCCACAATCAACGGTAGAGATCCAAAGAAAATGAGAAAATTTCCACGATCCTCTCTACTTTAATATCTATATCTTCTTCCACGATATACCCTGATACTGAAGATGAGCACACAGGGTTTTTATATAAAGCTTTACATGAAGAACAGAGCAGAAACAAAACACATCTTCTGTCTTTTGAGAGAAATTAGATGGCGAGAACTAGACACCTCTTTCAACTTCGAATGTTCTTGATTTTGGCTGTTCTGTCTCTTATGATATTATTGAAGCCTGTGCTAATCACTGCAAGTCTGTAATACTTCTCTCTCACTCTCTCTAACCTCCTCAATAATTCTTTTTCTTGTTCTGTTTCTTTCTTGCTTTAATTTCTTGCTTACTGCAGGAACCGAGATATCGACAGATTGTGAAAACAAGGGACAAGAATTACATCAGTTTAGTCACCTGGTAAGAATCCAATCCACACACACACACACACGCATACAATGTGAGAAAATATCGAATCTCTTCTGTATTTTGACTCTTATTCTTGCTTTTTTTTTTTGTCTGAATGGTTTCCATAGAGACGAATTGAATCCTATGCTAAGAGAAGAACGAAGACACGGAGGTTGATGAACGTTGAGGAGCTTAACGATTATCCAGGATCAGGTGCTAACAACCGCCACACTCCTCGACCTTAATGTCCTAGTTGCTAATTCTAGCATCTTGTAATTTAGAGCACCTTGAATATTGTAATAATCACCTTTTATGATATTTATCAAGATTTAACATGATGGAATCTTAATCTAAATGGCTATATGTGATGATATCAAATAAGTATTTGGTAAGACACGAACTTTATGAAACCCATGTCTAAAAAGCTGACTTTTTAAGCATTTTATTTTAAAAAATCAACAATTAACTAAGCTAAGTTAGTTAGGTCATCCACTGAAACACAAAAGGGTTTTGCTCTGTTTCCCCCCCTTACTCTGTTTTATATATGCCATGTTTTGTTAATTATCCCAACTTTTTCAACCTTTAATTATTGTTATTTTCGTTTTATTTGGTAAAGAGGCACTGAGACAGTGGAGGACACAACCACCTCAAATATGACATCTTACTATCATCAGACAAATTCTGGAATTAACCAATACAACAGATAGACGAAAATTACAGAAAATAATACATTATTTCACCAAAGAAATAAAAAGATCATTAAACTTAAAGGACAAGCGAAACTCCACAACATGATCAACAATATACAGAACTCGAAATCATTACATAGAAGACATCGATCGGTTTAGTTAAGTGTCTGGAGAAGGAGCAAGATCCGGGGCCGGAGAAGGAGCTTCGGTGGTACCGTCATCGCCACGCATGAAATCGAACCTTTTGATGAGAATATTAGCAACGAGCTCGTTAGCTTTATCGGTGGGATGATACTCATCCCAAAACACATACTTGCTTCTGTCTTTACACAATGTCGACGCCGGTATACACGTCAGCGCCGGCCGGATTCTGTAGAACGAGCAACACGGCGAATCTGAGTTGTCAAATCCTGTAAATATATTGGCATAGGCACACAAACATATATATAAGTTAACCTGAAGATTATCATAAGAATAAAATTAAAAAAAACAGCATTGGTGAAAACAAATTATCGCAACTAGTAGTAGTAGGATTTTCTTTCTTTACTAAATGTAGTAAATTTTAGTACTTTTATAACCTATTTTAATTTTTGTCTCTAGAACTCTTAGAATAATTTTATCATTTTTAAATAGTTCTTTTGAATTTCTCACAGTTTATCAGGCCATATTTACCGTATTTTTGAGGGTTAGTGATGACGTCGTTGACGAGGTCATAAGCTTCACCGAACTTGTAGCTTGCATTAGGGAGCTTGGTTTCGAGATCTAGGAGCATTTTGGTGGCAGCTTTGTTGAATCTCACTGCAAGATTGCTAGCTTTGTTCTGACATTTACCATCGAGACTCAAAGCTCTTTGGAGTGGAATACAACCCATTGGTCCTAACCCAAACACCATAAGCTTCCTCGCTCCCAAACTATGCAACACCTAAAACATTTGTATCACAGAAAGTACTTTATGAAAACAAAACCGATGAATGTAATATTCTAAGTGTTTTTATTTAAACTAACTAACCCTGAGTTGAGAATCAAGTGTTTCCATTAAGTAGTCGACGAATGTTTCATCATTGTACTTCCAAGAATCGCTATAGACAGGCATCAAGTAATTGTTAATGAAGTCATTGCTGCCTAAAGCGACGACGTATCGAGCTTGTTGGAAGAATTTGTCTGCCTCTTTTTTCCCTATCTTTGCAACAATTACATCTTGTGTCCCTTGGAATAACTCTATTTGCTTCCACAGAGAAAATCTTTGGATCTGGACAAATACAGCCACCAATAAATTAATTAACATCATCAAAGAAATATTCTTTGAATCTTATTAATCATTTAGTTTTGAGAAAGAAAAAACAAAATTAATTCAGAAACTTACGAAATAACCACCGGTTTCATTCAAGATTCCACCACCTCCTGAAGCATAGTTAACTCCATTTTCAAGTATTACATCTTCATTCATTGATGGATCCAAGAAGGCTACTGGTCTTGGTAACCCGATTTTATCACCTGAAAAATTAAATAAAATTTCTTATAAGTTTGTATAAAAAGTAATTCACATGTTCTACCACATTCATCATATAACATGAATCATTGATTGTTTAATAGTTTCATACACATGACTTACCTATAATGTCTGAAACAGTTCGGCCATTAGTGAACCTTCCATTAGGCAAACCATTGCCAAAATCTATACCGTAAAAGGGCAGGTTCGCCTGCGCTAAACTCCTTGGTAGATTCCTATTGTTGCCTACATCAGACAATGAATCCCCAAATATAAACTGGACGATCTTGCAATCGTAGCCATTGATCGCATCAAGCCCAAGAACGATGAACAACACAAATATAGCGCACAGGTACTTCATGTCGCAGAAGAAATCGAAATGTTTGTTGATTGAGAAAGATTTGTTTGCTGGTTTTAAAAGGGTTTTTGGAGGTGAAATTGTAAGACTAAGTAAGAAAAGTGGACGAGTAATGTGAGAATAAAGAGGTAAAGGTAGATTTTGAGTTGATGAACCAACTGATTTTGTTTTTTTTAATATAATTTTTTGGTTTATGTTTGATTCAAACCTACTTTCAACTACTTTTTCCTCGTGTAGTCATATTGGTGTCGTAAGTTGTAACCGTTTCTTGTCCGCAAACTTGAGATTTAGTTTTTTTAAGGAAAATGTTAAATTGTTTTTTGTTTTTCTTGTGGTAAATAATTTCAAGTTTGGGGTTATGAACTCATTTATAGAGTAAAACGACAAATGAATTTTACCTTAAAACGGAATACTTCCTAGTAGTATTATATAAGCTAAAATTCTTTATCAACTTCTTAAGATTTCCTTCATGTATTTATATATTCATCACGTACTCTTTCGTGACTATGGCCACTCTTACTAAAAGTATCATTAAAATCAGATGTTAAAAAATGAAACTCTCATGCCAGAACCAAAAAAGGAAGTTCTGCTGCCGATTATTTTATAAAATGTTTTTCTTGTTCGTATGTAATTTCTGTTCTCTTGAACTAAGATTGAAAGATGATGGTAGACGACAAGAAAGAAATTGAAAAATGATGGTAGACGACAAGAAAGAAAATGAAAGACAGTAAACTATAGGCCCAGGTCAAGCCCAATGGACCATAAAAAATTCTCGGTCTCGAAAAAAAAACTAGGTGATTAAGTGGCAACCTGGTAAATAATCAAAAGTGACTGTTGGACCGTTGGACAATGAAGGGCATTTTGGTAAGTTCAGGCTTCTTCTTACCGAAACAGAGTACGTGAAATAAAACTGATAGAAGACATCTCAATCATGAACTCTAAAAATAAAATGAAGTGAAATAAAACGTTAAAACTTCTTTACTGTATAACACGTTAAAAAGTAGTAGATATATAATTTAAATGAACTGAAATATCTTGTGAACCATTTTTGTGTGAACCTAAAATCCTACGGATGTTTGCCATGCCCATGAAGAATCACAAGATGACAAAATGAACCATTACTATCCGACGTGGTCAAAACTCAGCCGTTTACAGCACCAAATGGGAGCCACAGATTAAAACCCGTAACTTTATCCTCATCTTATCATCACCGTCCATTATTTAATCCGACGGTATACACGCCTCGGAAATCCCCAGCGATATCTAATCCACTAAAACAAACTCTCTACATTTAAACAAAAAACAAATTTCACAACTGAAGAAGAAGAGAATCCTTCACTGAAGTTTCCGACGACAATGGCGACATTTACACTCAAATCCTTCACCGGACTTCGTCAATCCTCAACGGAGCAAACCAATTTTGTCTCCCATGTTCCGTCGTCACTTTCTCGCTCCCAGCGAAGGAGCTCTCTCCGAGTAACCGCCGCCAGATCCAGTCCCAAGCTCGCTAACCGTAATCTCCGCGTCGCCGTCATTGGTGGAGGTCCTGCAGGCGGAGCAGCTGCAGAGACTCTAGCCAAGGGAGGTATCGAGACGATTCTCATCGAGCGGAAGATGGACAACTGTAAGCCTTGCGGAGGAGCGATTCCTCTCTGCATGGTCGGCGAATTCAATCTGCCGTTGGATATCATCGATCGGAGGGTGACGAAGATGAAGATGATCTCGCCTTCAAACATCGCCGTAGACATCGGCCGCACGCTTAAGGAGCACGAGTATATAGGTATGGTGAGGCGAGAAGTGCTGGATGCGTACCTGAGAGAGCGAGCGGAGAAAAGCGGAGCCACCGTCATCAACGGCCTCTTCCTCAAGATGGATCTGCCGGAGAATTGGGACTCGCCGTACAAGTTGCATTACACGGAGTACGACGGGAAAACCGGAGCCACGGGACAGAAGAAGACGATGGAGGTCGACGCCGTCATCGGAGCTGACGGAGCCAATTCTAGGGTTGCGAAATCCATCGGTGCTGGCGATTACGACTACGCCATCGCTTTTCAGGTCAATTCCAAGTTTCAATTAGTCCAAATTAGTAGATGAATATCATGTTCTTATGGGATTTAGTGGTGAAATTTTTGGGGAATTTTAGGAGAGAATCAGAATCCCAGATGAGAAAATGACTTACTATGAGGATCTAGCTGAGATGTACGTCGGAGATGACGTGTCGCCGGATTTCTACGGCTGGGTTTTCCCGAAATGCGACCATGTAGCTGTTGGAACAGGCACTGTTACTCACAAAGGTGACATCAAGAAGTTCCAGCTTGCTACTCGTAACAGAGCCAAAGACAAGATTCTTGGAGGCAAGATCATCCGCGTCGAGGCTCACCCGATCCCGGAACACCCGAGACCTCGCAGGCTCTCCAAACGTGTGGCTCTTGTAGGTGATGCTGCAGGGTACGTGACGAAATGCTCCGGTGAAGGGATCTATTTCGCTGCAAAGAGTGGAAGAATGTGTGCTGAAGCCATTGTTGAAGGTTCACAGAACGGTAAAAAATCACACCTTTCTGGATTTCTCCGGTTTAAGTTTTGAGTGAATCCTAAAAGTTTTGAGATTTTTGTTTGGAACAGGTAAGAAGATGATAGACGAGAGTGACTTGAGGAAGTACTTGGAGAAATGGGATAAGACATACTTGCCTACGTACAGAGTGCTTGATGTTTTGCAGAAGGTGTTTTACAGATCGAATCCGGCTAGAGAAGCGTTTGTGGAGATGTGCGGTGATGAGTATGTTCAGAAGATGACGTTCGATAGTTATCTGTACAAGAGGGTTGCGCCAGGCAACCCTTTGGAGGATTTGAAGTTGGCTGTTAACACCATTGGGAGTTTGGTCAGGGCTAATGCTCTAAGGAGAGAGATTGAGAAGCTGAATGTTTAAGTGCTAAAAAAGAGAGTTTTTTTTTTAGTATCTTCTTCACTAATGTTGCTCTTAATAAGTATTCAGTATCATAAATTTATGTTTCTGTTCAGTTGAATCAGTCAAAAGAGCGTTTTGGCTTTACAATCCAGTTTCTCACTTAAAAACAGAGTTTTTCACAAACCACTAAACTCACTTGTGAAACCACACAAGAGATACTTCATCTCTTCATCATCACTCTCTATTCCTCCTTCATCAACCGACTCATCACTGACGACTGATCCGCTGCTTGAACACGAGGGTATAGACATCTGAGACTGATCTGGCTTGAGACTTCCCTTCTTCTTCCTCTTGTGTGTAGCCTTGAAACAAGCTTGTCTCAGCCTCTTTGTCTTATCTTCAAACTCCAAATCCGGAAATTCTTCTATCATCTTCTTCTCCTTCTCAAGCATCGCCAACGCGTTCTTCAGTTTTCCTGCATTCTCCTCGCCTTCCATCTTCTGCAGCTCCTAATCACATGATTCAAAAGAAACGCAAACACACACATTTGACTTCACATTTCTAAACACACAATATAATACAAACTGAGTGTAGTGACGTGTTCTACATACCTTGACGTTACTGATCAGAGTTAGTAGGCTCATGAGTTTGCGATGAGGCCATCTACGAATACCTAATTCACGACATCTCCTTTTCAGAAGAGTTAGACCAACGTTCAGCTCCATTGCGGCCTGAGTTATGGGCATGTAGAAGTAGCGAGAGATTGTTTCCATCGACAATGCCTTTGAAGCTGAACATGTTGTGTAGGTAGTAATATCTCCGACGATCCTGACGCTATGTTCTCTGTTGATTTTCCTCTTCTTATTTCTCTCTTGCACTGCTTCGTGTTCAGTATTCTTCTCCAAATCACCTTCTCCTCTGTTCTGCTCTGTTTCGTTCCCTGATGCAGAGCTGTATGAATCGAGTACATCTACAAGACGAAGCAAGACCCATGAGACCTCTACGTATATACGTATAAATAACTTTGTAGCGATATTGAATACCTTGAGACAAGGGTTCAAGATCAGGTAAAGGCAGAGAAGGTGTAGGCAAAGAAAATGCTTGAGAAGCAGAGTCTTTGTGGAGAGGAAAAAGCTCTACTTCCCAGTCAAACAAAGGATAAGTTAACGAGCTGCGTTTGCCAAAAAAAAAAAAAAAAAAAAAAAACAGAGAATACACATAAGATATTAATTTATAGGAAAACAAAAAGTTATAACAAATTAAACTAAACAAAAAGGTTCTGGAACTGACCTGTGATCAAAGAATGGTGAATGGGCTAGAAATGAGAATGGCTTCTCTTCGTTGAGTTTATGATCAGCCATTGTAGAAGAGAGAGAACGAGAGAGAGGTTGTAGTGTAAAGCTCGATGAGGGAGAAACGATTTATATATAAGCAGGAGAAGGAGTAGTAAGATATGGAGAGAGAAGAGAAGAGAAAGAAAAAGTGATGATGAATCTATTAGGGGACGTGGGGTGACGGCAAATTGATTGCTCTGTTAAATTTGGAGTTACGAGAGATATGATTAATGTTAATTAGTGGTAATTATAGGGGCGTTTTAGGTTTGGATTAGACTTCTCTTTTCGTCTCTCCATGCATACATCCATGCAATCACTTTGAGTGAAAAAGTAGTGGTATATACTACAATACACATATGTTATGTATGTACATCCAGTACATGTGCATCACACACTATACATAACAATGATCATGATTGTGCATAGTTAATAGCCAATAACTGAATAATATCATTAATGTGTACTAATTAAGATCCAAGATGTAACGTATGGATGAATCTTTATTATAGATCATGGCCGTGTTTTTATTTTTATTTTTCCTGATTGATAAAAGTTGTTAATGAAGTAAAAAAAAAAAGTTTTTACTCCACACAAAGAATTATCCAAAACAATCACTATCACTACCAATTATATGTGTGTAATTATTGAAATGCTCACAGCCAATAATGTGTGCTAATTCACAACCATAATCTATGACATTGACAACCATAATCTACGACATTCACTTATTTGTGTTAATCTAAATCCACTTGATTTAACAATAGTGTGAATAATATTACGACAATATGGATACTTTACCAGATATATATACTCCTACTCTACATAATACATATATGATCACTTTTACAACAAATTACTTCTTTTCGACTAAGGACGCAAGGACGAGGATTAATATCACTGAAGTTTAAAATATCGACTGATGGTTATGTTTTAAATAAACCCAAACCATCTTCATTAGTACTTTGGCCTACATAACTTTTATTCAACTAAAATCCCCCAAAAAAAAAAAAATATGTGAAAAAACATAACCCGATCTGTGCGAGAGTTAGAACCTAGTCAAGACATTAAAGCCATAAACATTTAGTCCTTAGTTGTGTCTGAGAAACCGTTTTGAAGACATGGAAGAAGAGTTAGCACCAAAACTTTTGCTCCTACTCTTTCTATGTCTTGGAGTCGGAACTTTCTCAAGAAGAGACAAAACCTCAGGCATCGATGGTCTAACCTTAACATCTCCAATACATTGTAAGGCCAAGAAAGACATCATAAACGCTGCTTTCTGAGGGTACTGACCCACAAGCTTAGTGTCCATTATCCTAAACACTTTTCGCTTGTCTCGCAAGTAAGGTTTCGCCCATTCAACTAGGTTTTCTTCTTCTCTAGCTCTGGTTTTGTCTATGGCTCGACGTCCACAGAGAATCTCTAGCAAGACTACACCGAAGCTGTAAACGTCGCATTTCGTTGTTAGATGACCTGGCAGAGAACAGAAAAGAAGAAGCCAACATGGTTTAGAAATTTTCCCGTTATGTGGTTATTCGAAAAGTGAATCAAGAAATAAAGGAGAGACCTGTTGCTAGATATTCTGGAGCTGCGTAACCTTGTGTACCGATGACTTCGGTTGTCACGTGTGAACGGTCATCGGTTGGACCTTCTTTAGCCAATCCAAAGTCAGAGAGTTTGGCGTTGAACCCTGAATCAAGAAGAATATTTGCTGCTTTGAAGTCTCTGTAAATGACTTGGTCCTTGGCTTCGTGCAAAAAACATAGCCCTCGAGCAGCACCAATTGCTACTTTCATACGCAGTGACCAAGAAAGCACGTTGGAACGCCCTTGTGGTGGATAAATCAGATCATGATCAGAGATGCAGAGAAGAATTGAAAACATAATTAAGTTTTGGAAATTATTAAGTTTAATACTCACTTTCAAACAAATGATTTTCCAAGCTGCCATTAGGCATATACTCATAGACCAAAAGACGGTTTTCGTCTTCCAAGGAGTAACCAATCAATTTCACCAGATTTGGATGATGCAATCTCCCAAGATAATTCACTTCCCTCTTTGGAACAAAATACATTCAAAGGTAAAGATTCCAAATAGAGTAGCCTCCAAGAAGTCTTAGTTAAATGTTTGAAAGAAGCTTACCAGCCACTCCTTGTGTCCCTGAAACCCTTCAGTTTTAAGCTTCTTTACAGCAACCGCGAGTTCGATTCCCGGTCCACCATTAACGCAGCCTTTGTGAACAAACCCGAATCCTCCTTCTCCAATGAGACTCTCTGGACAGAAGTTTCCTGTAGCATTCTTTAGCTCATCTAACGTAAAGGACTTCAAATGATGGGAAGGCATTATATCTCTTTCTTTGGTCGGTGCAGGTAAAGCGCTGCTAGCTTCACTTTTCCTGGTGATCAGAGGTTTTAAACTCCATGGATATGACAGATTCGAGCTTCTTCCAGTATCACTATCACCTCCTGGACCAGAACAGTGGCATCATTCTTACATCAAAAAAGGAGAATTGATAAAACAGAACTATCAACAGCAGAGTTTAACAACAGAGGAATCGAGCTTTCTCTGCTTATGTCATCATTGGAGAATGGAATCAGAAAACTACACAAACCCATCCCTTCTTAGATTCATCCATCACACACAAACAGTAAGGACTCATAATTAACTCACTAAATTCGGAGAATCCAGGTCTGTGTATTACTCAAATCGGAGGAAACAACTAGAGAAATGCGAAAAAGGGACAGTTCTGTATAACGATTCCAATATGAATTTTTTAGTTAAACTAAACACAAAGCTAATGAGATAGGTAAGAAAACGACAAGAGCTTACGTGAAGAGGGTTTCGAGTTCACTGAAGAACCAACGTTTTCATCCTCATTGACATTCCTCTCTGAGCACGACTCAAAGCAATTCCCCATTTTGATTCTAATCGTACAAAAACCCAAAAACCCTAGACGATGGGAAACATACACACTAAGCAAAAAACGCTAAGGATCAATCTTTCGTCACCGTCTCCGTCATTGACGTTCTTCCTCCGGCGTAAGGAAGAACGTAGAAACGAGAGTGAGGGATCGAAATGTGTATAGATTTCTAATCGATACAGAGGTTGGAGTCTGAGGGGGGAGAGAATAGAGCGGAAAAAAAAAGAGAGAAAAGGTTGATATGGTAAATTTAATTATAATTGGATAAACTATAATTAGAGAGAATGGAGAGGGAGTTTCCGTGTATTAACTTCCTGTCAGAATCACCCTATTAATTACCAATTGACTATTCTTATGTCACGTGCAACTCTCGTGTCCCGAATCTTCCCATGAATTTTCGGTTTTTGTTTTTCCTTTACTTGATTAGTTGATATTTGAATTTTGTATCAAAGATATCAGCATACTGAGAAATAACATGAAAAGTTTATAGTCATGATGATAATCTTTTTTTTTATTCCGGCAGTCATTACAATCGGTTAATAAAATAAGTAACTAAAGAAAGATTTTGTATATGTAAATAACTCTTATGGTTAAAAATTGGATTTAAATTAGAGATCCGATTCCCTTCCAACATAAATTTATCTAACTATTTTCATTTGTTGAATGAGTTATTGGAAAGCTTTTGTCATCTTACAAAGATTAGTCGGATAATAAGAAGATGGATGACCTCCTAGACTTTATAATTCTCTTGTATGTAATTAATTATTTTGTTTTTAGTTCTCTGATATGTAATTTAAAGTAATATACTATTATTCAAAATATATTCTATATAATAAGTATGCTCGGTGGGAGGAAAGAAAACTACAAAAGTAAAATATAAACAAGTGAAATAAAAATCGAAATTAGGTTATGGCATAAAATTTGCAGCTTTTTGTGCTTCTTTTGAGTGCATAGCGTCAAATTCACCCCATACTTTATTGCCCATAAACATAATCTTCCGATCCTTCAAGATTTGAATACGCGGGAATGAGAGTTTCATCGATGCTTCGGTCTTAAAGTAATTACTTACTTGATCTTTTATTAATCAACTGTACAACATTTTCGGTTATTGAAAACCCTTTTCATAAAAAAAAAAAAAAAAAAAAAACATTTTCGGTTATTCTTTTGATATTTTGAAACCCCATGCATAAAAACCCATAATGGTTCCTTATTTATTTATTTTTCTAAACGTATGGCCTTCGACAACATATGTCGTCTAAACTAGCTAGTGGACTATATTATATATGTTCTTAGGCATTTTTAGTTATAAATCAAGGTACTTTGTTTTTTTTTTTTTGAAAAAGATTATTCAAATTAAAATGCTTAAAAGTAATAATACATGACTAAGGGTAATATAGTTCGGTATTGTGTTTCTTAATTTCCTGTATATATCAGCTTTCACCCTTTTTAGTGTTCCAATAAATATAACATTTTGACAAAAGAAAATATAAAATTAAACTGTTAAATGTCATGTTATGTTACAAGTTCATAGTTTGTTATGTGATATCTCTTTATATAAAATGTTTTAAATTACTAATAGAAAGACACAAAAGAAAGGTTAGAAAATGAACATAGCTAAGTCGTTGGGTGAACAAAACCCTAACCGAATTAGAAGAAGAGACAAACAGAACAACCGAGAAAAGGGCAAGGGTTTGATATAGGAAACAAGCGAATATTTATGACTGAAGCAGAAGTGACGAACTTGTATCATTAAACATCTATAAGGTCATCTCCTGTAGAAAAATCAAATCCGAGTACTATTATTATTATTATAGTAAAAAAAGAAGAAGAAGAAGATGATGATGATAGGAATTATTGGGTAAGTAAGCTTCTGATTAGAGCAGCTTGAGCAGTGTCTGTGTTTGCGAGTAACTCAGATAGCCTCTCACTTAGATCATCAACCTCTCTATGCAGATTCCTTATGTAGTTGCACGTCTCTTGTAACACTCTCGCTGCAGAAACCTGTCAATATTTTTTACATATATCATCATTTTCATGTGTCTATATATACGTACATATATATTACATAACTTAGATTTACCGTACCTTGTCGGAGCGGCGACTGTCCCTGAGCTCAGGAAGAAGCTGCTGCAACTTGATAATGAGCTCATTGATTTGATCTTCTGAGATCCTTGAAGTTCCTGATGATTGCCTCGAACGGGATCTTCTTCCCGACATTTTCTTTTCGAGTATTAATTCGAGAATAAGTAGTAAGAGAGTACTTGAGACTTCTTTGTCAAAAAAAAAAAAAAAAGTAATAGAGACTGAAGCAAAAGACACTTTATCCGTGAAACAGGTTATGGAGTTTAGGATCACAAACAAGTTATGCCGGAAAAAGAAGAGAGAGGAGATGAGAGTATGTATGAAGGAATCAAAGTGAAGTGACGGTTGTATTTATGTAGGCCTTTTTATTATTTGTTTATGAAAATATATTTAAAAATAAACAACAAAATTGGCCTTCTTATTTTAATTTAAAATATATATGCGAATCTTATTTTTTTTCAAATATTGAATTATATGTCTCCTTCCTGACAACTTTTGTTATAATAGATCGATTACAGAGAATCTCGTAATTGAAATGTATAGATCTAAGTCTGATATGTATAGTATACTATTGACTATCGTTTAGCGAAATCTTGTTTTAAAAGGAAACCCTAAGTAAATTTTATTGATACGTTTTGAATTTTGAGTTTGACACAGCTAGCATTACAGTTTATAGGCTAAATTTTTTATTATTCAAACATGGGGTAACTAAAAGATAACTGGTAAAAAAATGTCAGTCCAACGTTAGGTTTTCTAAAGCTATGCTTAAAATTATATTAACTAAAATAACTAAACTTCAATTTTGTTAGCCAACACCATAAGAATTTGCTGTTGAAATATTTATATTAACAATCTCTTTTACACGAATAAACGTCATGTAACAGAAAATAAACATGTACCAGTATCTGTTTATAAGATTGTCATGTTATTTCAACGGTAGAAAATGTTAACTAAAAGAGGATATGAAATTGAATTTTTGTGCGCTTATCAAGATAAAGTATTTCATATCTTATATTAAGCCTATCCATTCTTCGAAATAAATCTTCTTTTAATATACATAAAATTCACATTATCGATGTCTCTACCACGTCCACACATGTACTTTTTATATTCATTTAGTTGTCTTTATTGCAATTTATAAAATGGTGTTTTTAAATAAGTAAACACTAAACACGGGTTTCAATCTATAATTTAGTTACAACTTCTAGTTATGCAAATTATCAATATCAAGGTTTAACCATTTTATATATGTTAACAAATTAATTTCATTAGCGTTTAGGGTTTAATTTGCGTCATTAACTTGCTTCTAGAATTTTATTTTGCGTTGATAAAAATGTTCAGTTTTTTTACACTTGAAATTTTTTTTTGCGTTAAAATTTAAAAGAAAAATTTAACATTTGAAGTTTAATTTGTGTCAACGAAAATATTAGGTGGGTTACACCTTAGCTTTATATAAAAAAGTTCTGAGTTTTTGTTGCAACTTTTCCTACTGGATATAAAAAAATGGAGATATGTTTGGAATTAGTTGTTTTTTTTTTTTTCTTTTAAGACCATCTCCAATGCATATTTCTATTTTTTCCTGTAAAATTAAAGAACTTTAAAATAGAGGTGCATTTGTCTCCAATGCTTACCTCTATTTTTTCTTCTAAAAAAAATATTCTCAGTATATTCTTTTTGTTATTTATTCTTAACACCTTTCATTAATAAAATTTATGAATTAACTCCACTTATTCTTTTTTACAAAAATTCACATAACTTATAATAATATTAACTTTTAATAAATAAAATTTGTAAATTTATCCATTATTTTACTTTTTATAAAAAAAATTCCATAAATTATAGTAATACTAGTCTTTGATTGATAAAATTTATAAATTAACTCAATTTATTTTACTTTTTACAAAAGTTTTTACAAATTATAATAATAGTAGAAGTAAAAATTCATAAATTATAAAAAAACATTACATTACATCAGATTAAAAAATATAATATTTTAATCTTCACCATTAATGTGTTTTTTCCACAAATAATCGTTTATTTGTATGTATTTATAATTTAAAATTCTTTTTTTGTAGTAGAATTTGCAATGAGAACTTTCATATTTAATAATATTATATATTTTTTAATTTTTTCTAAATTATAACTAATATTATCATATTTATATTCAATTAAATATATGAAATTCTGTATTTATTGCATAAATATAAAAATTTAAAAATTAAAGGATTACTTTACAAATAAAAAAGTTCATTTCTATTATAGAAGAAAAAAACAGAATTCTTCTATATTTAAAAGAAAAAATAGCAATCTTTATTTTAAAAATAAAAATAGAGGTGGGTTAAAACATAAATTCTATTTTTACTTTTAAAATAAAGGTGGTTTGAAGATGCCCTGATACCAAAACTAACATTTCTTAAAAGTTAATATTTTTATAGCAAAAAAACACATATTTTCTTAAAGTTCAACAAATAAATCTGGTATTAAAGGAAAAAAAATATATTCAGTATTATTACGATGTGCGTGTAATTATATAGTTTATACGTATACGTTGTCTACGTATCCAAATGGGGTGTCTATGGAAAGGGCCAAAGAATGAGTGGTTTGACTGGTCAAAGGGTTCATACACATAAACACACGCCCATGTTCTTTGATCAAACAATACACACGTGGCATTTCGGGAGGTGCGTAACCTTACACCGACCGACGTGGGCACTTAATTCATTCATACGAGCTCATTAGTATTAATTGGCCTTTATTTATTTGTGCACTAATCTGCTGCACCACTAAAATACGTATCTATGTAAATTTTGAAAAAAAAAGTTTATAGACAAATTTTTTGTGCCAAATTTGTATTCTTACGCACTGTTTACATGTTTATCATATTAGATACTTCTAGGTTTCGAGCCAGAAAAATACAGTTTCTTCATTATTAAAGATGACATTTTCCAGTTATAATTTATAAATAGGCCAATAAAACGACAATAATATACGTAAACTCGGAGACAACAAATCTCAGATTTTAATACATTGGAGAGATATATGGCAATATACTTTTGATTCATTAGATGCAAATTCGTTTTATATACATATATGTTGGAAAGAAGCGACGACCTTTCGTAAAATCTTCTAGAACTTTGTTTTCTTAAAAACCGTGTAGAAGAACTTAATTGTAGAAGAACTTAATTGTAGTACAAACTGAACTCCATTATCATTCAAAAAAAAAAAAAAACTGAACTCAATATTATCATCATTCGTTGAAATGGTAGAAAAATGGCAATAAGAAAATATGGTGAAAAGGGAGTTTTAAAATAAAATAGTGGTACAAACTTTTGCACCTGCTATTGTGTTGTACCACCATAATTTTCGAGGCGGTAAGATATTTTATAACAATATATTACAGTGAGACGGTGGGCGATAAGCTTCATCGTCGAGTTTAAAAGTAGATGTTTTTCGCATTATTTGGAGGAAGGTAAGATATTGTATACAAATATCTGTTTCATGTTTATTGAAATGTGAGTGAATATATCGTTCAAAAGTTTAATATAATCTGTGCTATATTGCCATCTCTTACACAAATTACAATGATAACCAAAGTATCATCTCGTATCCATGCATAAATTTTGTTTCTAATCGTAAGCGCCATTGTTTACCACAAAGTGTGCATCAATCAAACCCATTATATATAACAAAATTGAATTCGTTATTAATTCTCATCTTTTTGGCTAATTGAGTAAGCAAATGATGTGCCTATATATACTTTTAGTATATTATAAGATCATCAAATGCTTTTTTGGCATACCGTACCGAAGGATATTTTAATTAGGAAAGTAAGGGTACACAACCTATTTATGCAATTATACGTTAAAAAAATATTTATTTACGGTTTCCATTATGTTATTTTGTAAACAAGCCTCTAAAAATTTGCTATCTGGCAGATAAACCCTAGTTTTGAAACGTTGTCTAAGAGAAATTAAATTATACACATGAATTACGAACGATGGTAAAAGGAATTAGAGGAATATATATTTTCGATAATTCTATTTCAAATCAAACAATAGCGGCGAGCATAATATATCTCGTGGATAAGATTGAACATGATGAGAGAACTAACATCATCTCCATTACTCCAATGGAGGGTCCTGTTTTAAGAACTCATCTCTCCTCTTTAAGAACTTTTTTCTCTTTTTTTTAATATGATTTTATTTTATATAATTTTTTAAGAACTTTTATACAAATTTTAAAAAGGTTGGAGATGCTCAGAGTAACTAAAGAGAAAAGGCTTGCGTGGAGGTTTGATTTAAAATAGCGGGCGAGCATAATATCTTATTATACAAGGTCAACCAGAGCAATCAATCGTAACTTTTCTTCGCAATTAAGAACGAAAGAAATATATTTAAAAGTGATAACATTAGAGAGATAAGATCTGAATTTCTAATTTTAGGTTTCATTTGCACAAAAATGGAAAGAAGATTTGATTTGAGTTTATATATTTTTGATGAAAAAAACAAAGAGAGCTCAGATGTGTTTAATGGAGGTCAGCGTGTCTCTCGCAGCACATGATCTTTAGCTTGACAGCGATGATTAAGCTTTATTTCACGAGCATTCCATTCTTATTGCGATCTTATTTTTGGTTTTTAAGTTAAAAACTTCAAATTCGTTTGTTTTATTCGTTTTGCTCCTAGTTTCGGTTTGTCTAGTTCTCCTCGATTTTTAATATTAAAGATATTGGTGCATCAATATTGAACTGAGAGATAATTATATGGTTTTATTACGATAAACCAGAAATTTTGATATATATATTTACACTGATCTTTCTTGTCAACTAAAAAAACTCCTTATATCAATAAGTACTCAAGAGGAGATATTCGACTCAAAAAGGAGAACATAGATCATCCTGCTACAATTATTACAGTTTGGAAAAAATGAATTGAAGAAGAAGAAAAGTTTTTTTCTTAAAGATGGAAACAACTCCAACTCTGTAAGCAAAACACGGTTAATTTGCTTCATTATCGATTATCTTCAGCATGATCTCCATGCAATCCGTTTCGAAAGCTCCTCGTGTAAAATTGATAGACACCGGCTTGATCCAATACAAGACAAGATTCTATTGTTGCCAATATAAGGATTCGTAAGTGTTTGTTAGGAAGAATTATAACCATCCAAGAATGGTGGAGCAGTCGCGTTATGCTTCATTTAAGAACTTTATGAATAATTCTTACTAAGAAGTAATTAAGAATAGTATAAATAGTTTCATACCTTTATATACTACTGTGTAATTACCATATTTCATATAGTTTAATGAATATCCATCAAAT